GATAGATCAGAGAATGAACCCACTCTCCACAAAGAAATACACATCTCTATAGGTACCTAAGCCAGGTATTAACCAACTCTGTATGTATGTATGGACACTGACATATACCCCATAGTAAGGTACTCCGTACTCCATACATACGAAAACAAGGCAAGATAAATCGCAAACTCACCCAATAAAAAAAAGCCAAGCGTGATGAGACATATGATTCGTCCATGCAAAATACCAACTAGGATCGACAAGTGCAGTGAACGGATCCAATCAGTCCCACGATTATCCACTGCAAGTTACTGTGCAGTGTACACATACACAGTACTCCGTAGTGTGTACGGTGTAAGGTAGGGTGCTGTAGGAAGGCCCTACGATGTACGGTGTACAACCTTCTGGGTACTGATGTGGGCTTCATCCGAACTAAGGAACTAAGTTAGTATCGTGCCTCTAGTCAGGTGTCGTGGCACCGAGCCACTCCCTTTAGCTCGCGTTCTTCGGTAGGCATGGATAAAAAAAGATAGAGATGCAGATGCAGGTGGGTAGGAAGTAGGCTGGTGTCGTGGATGGAGGCGGGGGCCGGAGGAGACAGTCCACAGCGTACATCTGAGAGTAGATGCGTGTACTTCGGAAATACTACCCTGTAGGTGTGACGGTTCTTGATCCCATGTACCGCCATGTACCTCCTCGTACCTAAACCCGGAGGAGTACGTCGTTAGGCAGCATTGGAGACGGTACCGGGTATTGCGGAGTTATGTATTGTATGTATCGAGACCATGCGATACCCAGTCATACATACCGATACATCCTGCAGTCCCCAACGTAAATATTACCTGCGTTGGTCGTGCATGCATGAAGAATCAGTCATGTGAGGCTGTCTATTCACTTGCCCAAACATCCACTCCAGACTGACGCAGGCAGACGGACAGACGGACACACGGATAGACAGACAGGCATATGCTGACGGCTGCCGGTCTATTAGGCCTGCATACATGGGATGGAAATAGAAATGTTGCTGATAGGCTCATACTCAACGGTCGCACATCAACTGGGAACTGGAGGTCAGTGCCCAGAGAGGGGAAAAGAGTGTGAGACGACACTTACGCAAGATAAATCGAAAAGAAAAAGGAAAATTAAAAAAAAAAAATCCCTCTCCAAACCACCAGCGAGCAGTATACGCATCAGTGTAAACCATGCTGTGTAGTTACCCTGACAGCTTACAGGGTACACCGCATTTTTCTCTTCCACCCGATTTCTCTCATGGGTGGATCTGACCTGAGTTATCAGGCCGCGGTTTGATTGCCTTCCTTTTGGCCGCAACTTTTGTTTTATTATTTTTTTTTCTCCCCTCCCACACCTGTACGGGGTACCTACTGCGTACAGAGTAGAGGTAAAATTAATAGAAGAGAGAGCAAATCTGATGATGCATCATCGACGTTATCCGGGCGGCTTCAGCTGCCTCTCTTCCCCACTCTTGAGAATTTGTTGCCTACAGCGGCAGTGCAGGTCAATCTGCATGGGGGGGATCCCTCTCTCCTCTCCGACCGACGCCAAGGGTGAAAGAGGGAATGCATCGAGTAATCGACCCTCTGGACTCCGCACTCAAAAGGCTCGGTATCGACAAGACCATCTAGCTTGCTTCGGTGTACGATCGCCCCAATAGGGCCGATCACCCCAGGCCTTCTCTTTCGGAGTACGACGTGGACTCCCGTTCAAACGGACCGTTTCCTCCCGCGAGAGTCGTCGACGCTGTTCGAGGATATCGATTCCTTTCGCCAATAATGATGTAACGTCGGTCTGACCCTGGGTCATTGGTCGCACACCGCTTGGGTATTATCAAGCGGACAACGCATGGTCCGTTGTTGTCCCCAAAATCTGTAAAATAATTCGCTGCTCGAGGGGGGTTAGTATATGCCATTCAGTGTCGAGGTCAAACCATTGGGTGGCTCTTGTCTTAGTGCACCCCGTCGAAGGAATGGGTGAACGCGCTAGTGGAGGTGCTTTTTGTTTTCATGTCTCTTCCCTTCCCCGAATAATTCGGGCCTTTGTTTGATGTATGTGATTTTCGATACCATTAAGGCCTCAGGGTCACCAGGTAACGCAGGAAAGAATCTCTCAACTGGCAGTCTGGCACAGACCTTCCGACAGACGAGGGTGAAAAAAAAGAACCGGTGATCAATGCAGAAATGTACTGAGTACACGGGTCCGTTACAACGGCTGTGTCACAGGGCTGGATTTCCACTGGTAGGAAAGGGGCAAATGATAATTGGAAAAATACTACTCCGTACTCCCGTCCGTCATCGACACATCCAAGGCCATTCGAGGCGGAAGGGGAAAGAGACCCTGGATACGCGTGCCGTCTCTGCATCTAAGGAACGCTTCAGAAACCAGGGACCGGAATTGGACCCATCCAGTCCCAAGCCCAAGCGCTTGTGTTTTGTCACGCAGCTGCTCTAAAAGCCTTGGGAATAGCTGCCGGCAGCTAGATATTCGATTCCAGACAGCCCACGGCCCCAGATGAAAAACAGTCGGATCCGTTCCTATTCGTTCGTATCGCCCCATTTTGGGTTCTCTTTCCCCACCGACGCCCTTGTCTGGAACAAATGAGGCGTAACACGGGAAGGATGCCGCCCCCCGGCAACTGTCAGCTAACGCTCCAAAAGTTGGTAGCTATGTTGCTATGATGACTTGCTGAGATTGAGATGGAATGGTGGATATTTCCACGGGAGCTCTGGTTTGAATCCATTAATCTAAGCGTTAATGAGAGGCTTCCTGAGACTAGACCGTATTTTTCTTTTTTCTTCTCCCTCAAATGAAACTTGCGTTGCCGGCTGCTGCCCTCTCAACATTTGGTCCTCACGTTTTGCGGACTCCTCAAGTCTTCTTCACCTGACATATGATAGCTCAAGTGGTGGAGACTGTGCCTTGTTGCAGAATTCAATAATGAAGTCTAACAAAGGTCCGGCGGAGTCAATAGTTTGGCCAGCAACTGGGCCGGAAAATTACGCTTCTGGGTTTGGTAAGGTAGCTCGAGTGCACTAGAACTAGGAGGAGCGTCGACCGTATTGCGTTTTTGTTTTGGTTTCGTTTATCGGAGGGTTAAACTACGGAAGTCCTGAGTCAGTGGCAGAGCTGATGATGGAAGCAGAGAGAGAAGTAAGAATAACAGAGTAACAATAATACCCCGTAGCTAGCTACTAGCTGCAGCTCCAGAAGGAGCTTCCTTCGGTCCAGAGTCCAGACTCACTCGCTCAGCAAATAAACGAGGCCGCTATCTGTCGCAGACGATGCTCGAGCCATAACATCATCGACGCGCATCCCTCGAATAGAGCGGTGAACGTGGCGACCCACTGATAGGTGCTAGTTGATTTAGTGTGGTTTGGACGGGGGAAGCGAAGGAGGAGCCGAAGCAGGGAAAAGAACGTACTTCAGACACTAAAAGGCTAGACGGGCTGCCTGGATGCAAATGAGGTGGGGACGGGAAATATGGAAGAAAAATCAGACAAGGATACGATGGGAATGGGATGGAGAGAGATGGGGAATTTCGATCGGGGAATGAATGCGAGGGCGACTTTTGTTCTGCTCTTGTCTGTCCTGCAGGCTGCCGTTATGTAAGCATTGCTGGGATGCTGGTTAGAGCCTGCCTAACAAGGAAAGGTGACTCCGATAAGGCAAATGAAGATAGAATGGACAAAGTACGAAGACGGTTGGACTTGGGCGGTTTGAATAGTTAATCCTAGAAACTATAACTAAGCCTTTTCTTGTTTGCATGTTGGCTAGCCCCTAGGCTGATGTCTCACACAATCGGATATGTCACAACCGACAGAGTCAAACCCCTAAGTATGCGGCGTACTCCGTACTTATGTCAAATGCACATCGACCTCAAACAAGTATCAAATTCCAATGTTTGCTAGTTTGACATCAAGTATGACGGGTAGATCCCCGTCAAGGGCCAAATTTATCGCATGCTACTTGCTTGGGCTTGCTGTCAAACCACAGCCAAGCCTCCCAAGATTTATACATCTCAAGAAAGCTTGTAATGGCAGCAGGACAAAGAGCTATTGTTTCAGCCATCAATGTGCGTATGGTACTCGATAGACATGCTAGGTCTTCTTGTATACGTATCGGAAGTTTATGTTGAACAGGTATCATGTAACGATCTACTCCGTAGTATAAATTCTTTTTGCAGTATCTTTCCAGGCCCGGCCATATTACAGGCTATCGGGTGGCATATCAACAGGATTAATTTAGTCACATTCATTGTAAGAAAGACAGACTGGTCCAGTAGGCCAAACCGACAACACTAAGAGTGCTATTTGCGGACTTCGTTCGGACCCGAAATAGCACAGTAGCAAACATGATGCCTGTCTTTGCAAGCTCCATAAGTCCAGTTCAGCACTTACCTTCTATGAATGTACGTATATTTGGCGCTTGGAGATGCCGCTCGTTTTGATACTGGTCTGTCTTAGACCATCCGTAATTGGCTGCTATCGCAGTCAGCCTTGGGCCTAATACTCCCGGCGCGCCAACGTTGATAGTTCAGAACGATTCAGGGTGGATAATGAGTGGATACTTGACAACTCTCCGTACATCGTACAGAATGTTATGCCTCACTCTTCGGACCTAAGGTGTAACCGGGAGGTGTCCGAAACATACGCCTCGTACAGTGCCTTCGAGGCATGTCAAACTCAAGGCGAGCGGAAGTAAGTGAGGCCTAGAAAGGCAAGATGTTTTGACACTTCCCTGGTGGGGCCGACAACCCCGCAGTGGCCGTCACGTGGCCAGTCGGGTGAGGGCCCGACGAGGACAGAGTTGCTCGTCGATTTCTGAACGATTGAGTTGCCTCTGGAGCGCCTCTGGAGCAAGAAATAGCTTGATCCTTTGTCTTTGTGCTACCTCTGTGCTATCGTTGTCCATCTCTATTCGACGGGTGAAACTGCCGTCATTGTCGATCCCAAAAACCGAACCCCCCCCAGCGGAGACAAGGGAATTGGAACTGTTCCACTATCGTCATGGCCACGTTCCAAAAATGGACGGTTTCTGAGGTATGCCTAGGGCCCCTGTGTGATGAAGCTTCTGTTGTACCTGGGTCGAGGCCTGGGTACAGAGACATATCCAAAAAGAATAAGGGGCTCGTTCTCACGCCTTCTTTTCCCCGTTAGCCGTACGTCGATATAGCGGGAACCTTATTGGAAGGGCCTTTCTTTGACGAGGCCAAGAATGAGTTTCGTTTTGTGGACATCTGGGAGCAGAAACTCTATGTGCTGGACCAGGCTAAGGGCCCAGGCTCCCTGAAGACGTTGGACACGTCTGCGTCGATCGGGTGCGTGGCAGTCCCTCTCATTCCCTTCTGTGTCAACGGAAGTCCCCGCAGGATATTCCATACCCGAGTAGGAATGTTTCGGAGCTGATCATGGAGAACCGGGGAGCGTGTGTTTAGGGTAACTGCCAATATCGAAAATGTTGATGATAGCAACCAGGAGCAGATCGTAGTGGCGGCGAAAGAGGGATTTGCTTTTGTGAACCGCAACACGGGAGACCTCTCGTACATCAACAAAGCATGGGAAATCCAAAACGAGCCGGAGAAGGCAGCCAGGTAAGGCCCGATTCCCTCCACTGAAGTCTTCTCTGCGATCCGCCTATCCCCGTTCGATCTGACTCATCGGAACCGCAACTAAAACAGAATGCGTTTCAACGATGGAGCGGTCGACAGCCACGGTCGATTCTGGGCGGGCTCTATGAATGATCCCAAGGTGCAGACACCGGTCAACGAGGGTGTGTTGTTCCGGTTAGACCCCGATATGAAACTGCACCGCATGGTGGAGCAGGTCACCATTCCCAATGGAATTGGATGGAATCTCGCCAACGACACCATGTATCTGACCGACTCACCCACGGGAAAGATTTACGCCTTTGACTTCCAGGCCGAAACCGGGGCAATCAGCAACCGGCGTGTCCACTATGACCTGGGGGAGCCCAAGGAGCCCGATGGCTTCGCCATCGACGTGGAAGGCTGTATCTGGAGTGCGATTTACGGAGGCGGTAAAGTGATCCGAATCTCGCCCGAAGGGAAGCTCATTGGTGAAGTGTCGCTGCCCACCAGAAACATCACCTGCCCGGCCTTTGTGGGGACGGAGTTGTTCATCACTACGGCCAAGGATGAGGCTAACGACGATCAATTCCCTGATTCTGTGCGATATGGTGGCCGACTCTTTAAGATTGATGTGGGAATAGAGGGTCAGCCCAAGAACAAGTTTCGCTTTCAGGGCTAATCCTATAGGTCGGTAGCGTAGTGAGAGACCAATGGAAATAGGATCAATGAAATCGTGCGACTATTGCCTAGTTTATTTTCTGACGGAAGCAGGATGGAACGAGGATCCTTACGGTGCGATATCCATCCTTTCTGGATCCGTATGTAGTCCTGTTGAACTGGGACGAGCTCCTGGGTGCTTGTAAGCGATAAATCGCTATCACTCCAAGGGCTTGGGCAGGAACCGAAACCCAGACAGCCAAGCCACGGTCTTGTGAAGAGTAAGCAGTTTCTAGGGTCAGAACTGGTGGCTCCAGGCACAATCACACGGAAATTGATTGGAGTTTTGGATTCAAACATACCTTGGTGATATTGCGGGCTATCATTTTGGATCAAACGGGATGGTTGATAAAGAGTCTGGATTTTGGGTGATAAGTTGGATGAGGGAAGGATCGAAGGCTCGACAGGTCAACCGTAGAAATAATTAATGACGTAAGTTTGGCAGTCTGTTACGGGGTATATTACTTGGCATACAAACAATTGTACAGTACAGTAACAGTAGGTATATAGTAGGTAGTTACATGTGTTCCAGTCTGTTTTTTATTGGAGGCCGTCAATTCTGTCTCCATCAGGGGCTAGGCCCCAATACTATGGTCTTTTTATATAGGTAGTGAACAAGAACCCGGCAGGTTGGACAAGGCAAGGGGGAATGTTTGGCAAAATGCCTAAAGTGACAATGTTACACATCCAAAAATGACGAGCCCGGCGGGATTACATCCGACTTGTACCTTTTTCTTCCGCTGAGCTGGATATAAATCAAAGCAAATACTTCGAAAGTTGGAGATGGAGAAACGGGAAGAAAATAAAGAAAGGAGCAAGGAACAGAAGGTAACTAATCAGATTCCTTTACGTTGTACTTGGCGTAAAACCCGCCATGCAAGCAGATAGCGTACAGCGAATTTGTGTAAACCTACCTACACTCCAGGTAAGGTATACATACATGTATGTACCTACCTTTCAACGAAGGAAATACTGGGTATTCTTAGAGGCAAAAAGTACATACTGGCCACCAAGACAGCTGCATACATGAGTATAAACATGTCCTTGAGGGGGGAGCCAACTAAGCATGCAAAGAAGGACAATCCTGGCTGCAGGAGGCCAGCCCAGCCTGATTGAACCGCCCCCCGGAATCATCAACACACATTTTCCATTTGCTACCGAGGCGCCCCCGTGCCGCCGGTGGACGCGGGAGTGATGGGGTGCAATCTATCGCCGGGATCTGAGATGTCGGATGCAGGACGCGCTGTTCCGGCCGGAGGTCAAAGTAACGCGAGCACTTTCCCTCCCGCCAGACCAATTCGTACAAATTGACGACCGACAAGTGTGAATGGCTGTGTGTGTGCAGTCTTGCATGCATGTACAGGAGTGGCACATACACACATGCATCCGAGGGATGTACAGGTGCCACCTAAGTGCTGTAGTTACCTACCGACTCGAGTAAGGGAGGGGGGAATCTGGGCCCCGGGGAAGAAGAATCTCATTGATTGTGACGAGACAATGCCAGCGTGCTGATGATCCCAGACATGCAGGCGGATGCAGCGCTCGTGGAAGTACTGGGATATAGCGAGGTATAGGTACTTCCTATCATGTAACTTATTACTGAAGGGCTTACTGTACGTAAGTAACTACATACACACATACATAACACTTACATATGTAGTGCTATCAGTAGGTTTGCTTTTTTCTTTGCCATCTTTTCTTTTTCCAACTCAATTTGGAGGACGGGATACTGCATGATTGATTGTCTGAAGGTCAGGCACCTAGGGCAGTGTTTCTGCACGTAATCCACTGCCGATGTGTTGGTGGTACGGTTTAGTGCTTGCAGTAGGCTGCCTACACCGTACTCTCGTACTTCTGGAGTAGGTCGACCAAGAGAGAGGAATTGAAGATAGTAAAATAGATTGAATTACACACAAATTAAATTACAAAAGGTGCGACCAGGTGGAGTGGGATTCTTACTTCTAATATTCCGTGACGGCGGGTGCAGCGGCACCCAAAGGTGGATTTGTAATGTAGAATACGGGGAGGATTTGCTGGATTTACTCAGTGAGAGGGGGGCCTCAAAAGGAAGAAAAAGAAAAAGCAAAAAAAAAAAGGGACAAAAGTCCTGTAAGAGGTGAGAAGAGAAGCCGATCGCACGTCTTTGGCACTTTGCCCTCGGTGCTCATACAATATGATTCTTGCTTACAGAGTCAATGATTTCATGGGCCCCTGGGAACACTGACTAGCATCGTTAGTACACTACATAGTAAATAGTTATTGTGACGTGCAGACAAGCCGGAGATTCGAGAACGCCCGCCGAATCCATTCATTCCTCCTGTCGAACGACTACTAATTCTCTAGTAACCACTAGGTGGTACGGAGTACGGAGTACCTTCCTTGGTGCTACAACCTTCAGTTTACAGACTACGGAGTACTACACGGTGTACTAGTGTGCTATTCCCCCTCTAGCACTCCGGGTTAGTGTTTGAGATAAGGGGTAAGTAAACCAAGATACTGACCACCCCATGAACCGCATTTCTGGGAATGGTACGCGCCCCCAATCTCGAGCGTCCCTCGACGCCAAACCCGGGCGGGTTTAAGGCGTCGGCACTAATGCATCCACTCGCAGTCTCGCACATTCGCCATGATTTCTTGCCCCATCATCCCATCATTTTCCATGTCTGCCCTGGGACAGTATCCACCGGAGCGAAGAGAAAGAAAAAAAAGGCAATTCCTAGCTGCGCAGCACTAGACTGTCTAGCAGAGAAATGAGCTCAAAATGAGGCGGATTCTATTTCCGGATAGGATGCTTAAAATTTCGAATTGACTCGGTTTCACGTTCAAAGACTTGAAAGGATCATCGGATGCTTCCTCTGAAGTGACTATCGATTATCGAACGTCTTCCTGGAGGGAGTCAATAATAATTATAATAATGACGATGGATGTCATTCATCGCTGCCGAAAATCCCACACCATACCTAATCGCGTCCAAACTCGGGCCCTTCCTTCCTTCTTTCTTTTCTTCTCTCCCGTTCTCTTCTCTTCCCTTCCTTTCCTTCTCGTCCTGGTGCTATTGATCTATCCACTCTTGGAAACCATCCCGTCCCTGGCAGCAATCACCGACTCGTCCGCGGCAATAGTTTGTCTGGCATGATAAAACCAGTCCAACCAACTAGACTGAACTAGACCCAGAACCAACTACACCGTACTAACTAGTAACCACTAACCCACCGAAAGGCTAAACCCACCATATGATTATGACACACATGACCCGCAGCGTACCAACGGATTTCCCTCATTCCATGATTCCAGAACCGAAGCACGCGTTTCTGGCATTTCAGCGGCCCGCACGATCTACGGCACCTGGACTCCGTACGGACTACGGAGTCATCAACTATTTGCTTGTTCAATGTTCGCGCTTATGAGCCTCGTCTTCTTCGAGATCACCATTTGATCTGGTTCATGCGACCGCTCTCTTTCCCCCCGTTCACTTGCAATTGCGTCCGGTCCTGAGAAACTATCATCACCATCACAATTTATCGATGATCATTCCCCAACCGGTGTCCTTGCACCCATGTATTTCTCCGCGGGGGCGTTGAAGGGTTGAAACCAATAGAATTCATCAATATAACCCGCGCCTCACCCTCAATGTTAATATTATTGCGTGGTAGGCAAGCACGGACTACTGGCCAAGGAATAGGCCTCGGTGGGCTCGCTTTGCCTCTAGTTCGACCGTCTAACTGACTTCATCAGGGTAAAACCCACCCGAGCGTTCGAGAATTGACAATTCCGGCTCGAGGATCCTCTGGAGAAATCCAAGAGCGAAACGCCACCAAATCGGTGCTCGACGGGCCCCTTGCTCGGTCCGACGTTACATGGCCATCCAAAGATATTGGACTGTTTCTACTGCTAGAATTACGTCCTCCGATCCGTCCCTAGCGACACGCGAATTTGATAGATCGGCTTGAATCATCGCTAAGTGATTCTTTTCTCCTACTTTCTTTTTTTCTTCTGTTTGTTTCCCCTTTTTATCCGTGTTGGTTGCCTTAGGTTGCATTTCAGGATTTCCTCGAAGTTCGGCCTGCCAGCCATCCCCGTCTCTCCTCCACAACGTAATTCCCACTAACCACGCAGAGTAGGAAGAGGTGGAAGAAGAGAAAGAAATTGAACCATTGAAATCAATCTTTTTCAGAAAGAAAAAATAAAGAGAAAAAAAAAATTAAAAACTGTGGGATTCTTCTAACGTCTGGTGCAGATGTATCCCAAGGCGAACGAACCATTCTTGGGCTCTTCGTCAGGATGCCCAAACTCGAATACCCAGGAATACCAGTCTTCGTGAGGATAGCTCATCCTCGCTGGGCGCACACTGTCATTGATTTGTCCCCAAGGCTTTCCGTCTCTCTAGGGGTTGCCCCCCAGGTGTTCGATCGCCTGGTTTCTCGGGAACAACTTCCTTACGCTGCCCGCATCCAGAGCTTTGACCCAGCAGTGGTGTCTACACCACCAGCACATTAGGAACCAACGCGAGTTTGCTTTTCTGACTGCGATTCTACCCCAGGATGCTCATTCCAGACATGAAAGGACTCCGCGCCATAGTGGCATTGCCCAGCAAACTTTGTTCCAATTGATGCCCAATCATGACGTAGCTGAAACACGCCTCCGGACGAAATTTGGCCCGATCTTGTTGAGCAACAAAGCCCAAAGAGACAGGCAGAGCGTGCATCGTGGACCACTAAGGTCTAGATGAGTTGAGGAAAATTCAAGTTCCCAAAATGACCTGTCTGCCCTGTGCCTTGCGGAAGATAGTAATCATAACTACGAAGGACCCGGTCGTCGAGATTTAGGTAAGTTGCTTTCGGGCCTTGCTTCCTCGGAAGGTGTGGACGATTGGCCATAAAGTTGTCACGGCTAGTTACCTAGTTACTCCTTAGGGTGGGTTAATACCGCAAAGCGAGCGACGCAACGCTGGGTGGGAAGAGAATACAAGGTAAGAGGCAAGAGAGAGGACGAACGAGCACCGGTGGTGATCCGCAGTGAGATACTTTCGGACTACCGAAGCAACCCCTCGTGTGGTTGCAGCAAGGCAATCACCGTCCGTCACCCAATTTTCGGGGAAAGGAAAGTGAAGCACGCCCTCGGCATGCATGTAAAACATGATGATTTGGGTCTTCCGACAGAAACCCTGACTGGCCGGAGAAGGGGGCTTCGCCCCATTCGGCGATCTCAGCTGGACGGGCGCCTCAATTTAATTGCTGAGCAGGAGTTGGCACGGGTGGTCTTCATTACCATCTATCTTATTGCTTATCATATCTCTCTCAGCTCTACGGAGTCGGTGCCTTTTAGATAGATACTGCTACTCGATAGACACGCAGGGGGCTTACGGCTGTGGTAAGGTTAATTAGTGTTCCTAGGCAGCCGGATGGGACGAGCCGTTCATTTCCAGCCCGTGCAGCTAGAAGGAAACTATGTATCTAGGAACTTTCGAAAAATCGCCACGGATCAGCAGGAAGGACGCAAGTAAGTCACCGATGGCGCCTGGTTCGGCCGGGACTGGTATCACTAACTGCGGTCTGATGCACAGGGCAATCAATCAACAAGCATGCGAAATTGACTGTTCATTCCATGAATAGTAGATCAAACCCTTTCCTTGAGACCAACCAGAGAGAGAGACCGGGTATGAAGGGAGGGAGTTTTTTTTTTTTTTTTTTTTTTTTTTTTTTTTTTTTGATTCTGGCTGTTACTTGTATTACCGTCCCAAACAAGTGCAAGGGTAGGTGGAAATCCTTCTCGTGGGAGGTAGGATTCTGACCCGTGCTTTTCCCTTTCAATTGATAACATGATGTGGTCTGATCCAGGGCGGTTCTGAGACGAGCATCTAGCTGTTATATCATCTATCGAGGCGGTAAGGGAGGGCGAGAGCTCAGCATAGAGCCGACTAGTATAGGGACGACCCAAGTCCCCGACACCTTACCGGAGAGAGTATATTCCTGTAACCGAAAGGCCGGACGACTCAGTTGACTGGACGATAGAGAGAATCGGGCCTCCACCGATCCTGCCCACCGACTGCCCAGTGCCCACATCCATGGGCGTGGGCGTGGGCATGGGCATGGCATCGGCGTGGTCGAAAGTGATCCGGCTCACTTGCATCGTTCCCCAGCCCCGATTCCACAGTTTACATTTTAGTGAGGACGCTAGCTCGTCACAAGTGGGCTTGTCTTTGATGTATCCGTATTTCTTTCTCCCGTTATTTTTTAATTGTTCTATTTCATGTCGCGGCGGGCAGAGCGGGATTGACGGTGATGTTAGGTAAGTCATCGACTCCTAGGCCCTCTTGGTAAATTAAATCATTAATTAGTTTCCACCGTCGAGCCAGGAAATCAGTATGGCGTGTTATAGCTTCGCACCCTTCCTTCTGAGGAAAAGGAATCGTCCTTCTCCTACTCCGTCGGCACTTGGGTCAGCGGTAGCATGCCGCCAGGCGGGTGTTTTCTCAGGATTCTACCTAGAGTCCTTCCTTCTAGTTTGCAGGTCACTGGCTAACATGAGCCAACCAATGACAGTACCCATAGGGACCCAGCCAGATGAGGTTCCGATTTCCCCGGGGCCCATATGGCGTTTACGGTTAACCTCTGGCGACTACAGTGGTACCTTCGGGCGAGTCTATGCATCCATCTGTCGAGTGTACACTAGGTTACCGTACAGTACCCAGGCTGTCGGTAACATGGTTACATGACGGGAGACCGCATTACGGTACGAAAGTAACGTTACGCGGGTACCTCCCGGGTACCTGTACCTCTGAAGTGATGAGGTGGATGGATGCAGCTAAGATCCTGGTACTTTGCCGGTACGCCATGGACTGGGCTCTATCGCGGTCTCTCGCTGCATCCACTTTTCTTAGTTGTCCCATCCCATACCTGTGGTTCATCACGGGTCCCACCCGCTTTGGAATTCAAATCCTTTATTTTTTTATTTTTTTTTTATTTTTCTTCTTGTCTGAATTTTTGTTTATATTCCGTATTTTTTGGGTTCCCCTCTCCATATTGCACACCGCTGAATTGAAGTCCTGCTTTAGGTCAACCGTCAACGGCGATCTGCTGGGAAGCAAATCCGTCACGACGAACTTCTTATGTAGGATTGACTGGTAATTATCAGATTCATTAGGTATTTATTCGTTGGATTTTATGTATTATCATTTTTCATTTTTTGAACATTTAAAAAATCATATTTCTCTGGCTTTTGTGATTTGCATTTTAATTTTTGGGCTAATCGGATGTTTTTTCTTTTCTCTATTATTTTAGGTCCTTTTTCCCTTATTATTTCTCGATTTTATATTTTTTTTTTCTCTCTCTTAACTGTTTGTGATCTAGGAAATTATAATAATTCAGCAATCACCAACTTCAACATCTCTGTTGTTCTTTATTAATTTTCCTGTCCTTCCCGGCTTCTTCTTTGTTCTTTCTCTCTCTTCCTTCTCTCTCCCTCTCTCACACCCTCTTAAGTGCAATCCTTCTCTAATAAACACCCTTTCCTGTCCCTCCAGATTTGATCCTTCCTGTACTTCCTTTCTCTCGCCTGGATTGATTCCTACCTTTGGTATATATAATCTCTGTCTATCGCTTTGTAGTAAATATACTACTACTATATTGCCCTCCACGGAACCAGACGGAGACAGGATTTTGCATGAATTAAAATCCCAGTTATACCTCCTTATTTACCTCCCATTGATCTGGATTGCACTTTATTTTTCTTCCTCCCTTTCCCCCGGTTTATTCCCTTCCCCTCTTTCCACCGTGGCTGCTCTAGGGATCAGTGTGTTGACTAGTCCTCCATACCCCAACCCGGTGCATTCCTCTCACCAATATCATTCGCTGTCTGGCTACCATCTTTCCCAACCGACCGGCTCCCTCTCTCACGCCCCGCGTCAAGAGTCTCGGGTTCAGCTGGAGAGAGGGGGCCCCGCGCCATGCCCCCAGTCCCTGCGTCAGTCCATCGAACGAGACTCGGAGCATATGTCGCAGATTTCCTCGGTCTCTGGCCCTTCAGCGGACGATGCACTCCTTCGATCAGACACCCACGCCATTCTCGACAAGAAACGCCCTCGCGTAGAGGACGATTCGCCTGTGGACGGTCGTGACCCCGTGCGTCCGCGGCCTCTTTCGTGGAATCCATCGGCTCCGGTGGAACCCCCGCTGAAATCGACGCAGCTTCGTCCCATCGGCGTTCAATCCATCTTGAACCCCCCTGCTAAACCGGGCTCGATAGCCGCCGCGGGCCCTGTGGAGGCTGCTGCTCGAGAGGCACTGGGGGAACAGGCATCTGTCCGTGCGTCCCACCAGCGACTTCCGTCGTCTCCCTCTGTCCATCTCCCTTCGCCTTCACTACATGCTCGACGGCTGTCTGCCTCTCCCGGAATGAGAAATCGTCAAATGAGTACGCCTCTTTCGCCGTCGGCCCGGTTTGTCAACGCGGGGGCTGGGCTTCCCGGCAAACACAGTGCTTCTCAGTCTCCTCTGGCTCATGAATCACGACCGGGGTTGTACTCGGCGACTCCTACTTCCCCTATGCCTCTGGAGTCGGTTCCCGGGCAGGCTCATCCGGTACCAGCACATCAACAGCCGGTGTCCATGTCAATCCATTCAACCCCAACCTTTCACAGCCGGCGAACGAGTGCGGCTCCCACGCCAAACCTGAGTCCCCAGGAGACGAGCCCTACAACGCCTATTTCCGCCTTCAGTCAGTTTGGCCGGTCGTCTCCGTCGTTGAATGGAATGTCGGGACCGCCCCCTGCGCCACCATTCATGGCCTCATCTTCTCTTACGGCCAAGGACCCGGTGCCTCGCCTTCCATCCGTCGTGGCTGGAACCAGACATGTCGGGGATGATGCGATAACGACGGCAGCGGCAAACACCACAACAACAGCAACAGCAGGCATGGTAGGGTCTCAGACGGAAAACGTTCCTCTGCCTGGGATGATCCCATGCATCCTGGATCTCAAGTCAGGCTCATCCAGCCAGGCCGAGAAGCGGAAAGCCAACAGCGATGCGTCGAGGAGGTTCCGCAACCGGAAGAGGAACGAGATGCAGATGGAGCAAAAGATCACCGCCCAACAAGAGGAGATTCGCAAACAGGCCGAGACTCTCCAGCGACAGACCCAAGAGATCCGGACTCTGATGCAGGAGCGAGACCACTATCGATCGGAGAGGGATTTCTATCGTGAACAGGCCAGCCGACTGGGGCCTGCCGGTCAGGGTTCTTCCCGGCCGGCCTCGCCTCGGGCTTTCCGGTCGTCGGTCGAGAACACGCCCACGGAGCGTGATCACTATATTATAAGAAGAGTAGATGCCCCGGCAGGATCGCATCCAGCCTCGAACACCCCTCCCCTCGGGTCTGCCAGAATGCCGGGAGGCTGGTCCTCTGCGTCGTCGCAGTATCCCTCGTCGGCTATCAGCCACGCCGAACGTGGAGTTCTCGCAGACGAGCACCAGGCCAAGCCGTTGTCTCAATATCCGGGTGCATGGGCTCGTCCTTGAATAGAAGCGTGATATGTCTGTCTCTTCCTCGACATCATCGGATGGGAAGCTCTCCGCCCTCGAAGGGCGACGAAACATCGTTCTGGAGCTTTGATGCTGATACATTTCATTTCCTTGGATATTTTTCTTTCTTATATACTTTCATATCTTGCTTCTTGGTGTTCGGATCTCGATACAAGACTGCATTACTTTCTTATTCTCGCCAGAGGCGAGGACTCCGCTGCATTGGATAGCATTGCTTACAATAGCGCGATCAACCTGGTTGTTGGCGAGTGCATTCGAGCGGGCGCGGAAACACAAAAAGGGGTTCTGCTTTTCTCGTTCTTTTCTCCATCTGGTGATCTAGGCCCATTTCCCTTGGACTTCCGGACTTTTTCTTCTCTTTTATTTTTCTTTCTTTCTTGTCCGGTCATATATTTTGTTCTTTGGGGCACCTCTTTCTTTTTTGTTTCCTTTTGCTATACGCGACTCGACTTAGGAAGGCATTGGGTTTACCAGTGTTGCCAGGCTGGTTGAATTTGCTCGATTCGAGCTACTGGGAAGGCTCTCTGATGTTTAGCTGGTGTTGTTGGCATTTTGTCCTATTTGCATGGTTGCGAACTGATTTAGACAAAACGATGCCATGGGTTTGTTGCTATAGAGTCTGGGCGTCAGGCGAGGCTAGATAGGGAGAGCAAGTCTTCCTTATTTTCTTTTTCTTTCTCTATTTCTGTCTCGCTCGCTGCGCTGACGGCTCATTTGTCTTGCATCCCACTTGGCTTGTGTTATGGTGCGTATCACCATAGACTATGTATTATAAATTCATACGGGGATTCAATTGTTTCTCATCCATTATCCTGACATATAAACTAACATTTCCCGCAAAAGATTAGAGAAGAAGGGCTAGGAATATAAGAAGATAACTTCGCACTGGCGGTGAACACTGAGCAAGCAAAACATGCCAGACGGACCGACGGAGTCGCGTGTCGGCGATATCGGATGACGATCGTTGCTGTTATCAATCAAGTGGAGAGTCGCGATGTAACCTTATGCTAATGTTGGATAGCAGTAGCCAGTAGCATGGATGATGGAATTCAGCCCTTGGTCGCCACTCTTATCGAAGATGAGTCGGGCTTTTCTGCATTCAACTATTCATCCACTAATCCTTCGTGATGCCGGCCATTTTTGTTCCCACGTCTTTCAAACTGCATTGATTATCGATTCACTAGTCTGTCAGCCATCCGTTGTGAAGTGTACTGTACACCGTCAGTTTGCTGAAGATCCCTCCTGTGGACCCAGCCCAGTTTGGGTCCAAATCTATGCCAAACCAACTAAGCATTTAGCGACGGATCTCCGATGCATGTCTTGCGAGGAGAGGAGGTCCGAGTCATTCTGGTTTATTCTCAGACAGCTTTCTTGGTCTCTTCTCTCGTGCAGCTTGCTAGACTTGTTGTTTGTCCAATATATCGTATAGTTATAGGATCAATCGACAGGGAGCCCTAACTCCTGTCCCGAAGAGGGATAACCAGATTTCTCAGGCACCCAGGCACCGACCAACCGACCACCCACGTGGTCCCCGACCAGCCTATCAGCGGCCCGAGTGCCTGAATGCCTGAGGTGCCCAGCCTGACGTGTTCGGCATCAGCCATCCAGGACCCTCGCACAAGGCAAATTAAAACACCGTCATTCTCTCTCTTCTCTTTAATCTCTTGCCTACTTCAGGATGTGGACGGGGAGAATAACCCCCGGTTAGAGCGAACCTAGGCCGTTAGCTCTACAGTATTAATTGCGTTTCCACTTTCCACACTTTCAAGCAACCGCCCCCTTCCGTTCGTCCAATCTCAGTCCGACTCCGGACGGCGTGCTACGCTTCGGCCTGTGATCGACAGGGCCAATTACTCCTGGCTCTTCATTATGAGACGCGCATGATGAGGGGGCCCGTCCTATATGAGGACCGTCTGGTCCGGCAGTCCCGTCGGCGGGCTGTCGTTCGGAAATTTTTTGTTGTAGGTAGTATGGCATTCGCGATGCTGTCGTTGATGCTCTGGATTGGGTATTTCTGGGGGTGAGTTTCCCCTCTTTTTGTGTTTCTTCCTGTTCCTTTCAATTGGGGGTATGTAATTGAGTAACTAGTGGTATGTATTAACATGCATCTAGAGTCTCCGGCTCCTCAGTCGTCCATCAATCCACGGTTTCCTGCAACACCGTGGACCACGGAAATCAATGCTCCCCGCAGATCTCACACCTATGGGGTCAATACTCGCCGTTCTTCTCCCTGGCTAATGAGTCGGCGTTCCCTGCGGACGTGCCAGGCGAGTGTCGACTCACCTTCGCGCAGGTCCTGTCGCGCCACGGGGCCCGGTATCCGACAGAATCCAAGTCGGAGAAGTATGCGCAGCTGATCGCGGCGATCCAGAAGAACGCGACCGCGTTCACGGGCAAGTATGCCTTTCTGGAGAGCTACTCGTACGAGCTGGGCAGCGACAACCTGACCACCTTTGGGGAGAACCAGCTGGTGGACTCGGGGGTTAAGTTTTATCGCCGGTATGCGTCGCTTGCGAGACGGAATGTGCCTTTCATTCGGGCCTCTGGGTCGGATCGCGTGATAGCGTCTGGAGAAAAGTTCATCGAGGGGTTCCAGCAGGCGAAGAGGCGGGATTCTGTCCACCGGGGGGAGGGGAACCAGACGGCGCCGGTGATTAGCGTCGTGATTCCCGAGACGGACGGGTTCAATAACACGCTCGACCATGGGGTCTGCACGGCGTTCGAGGACAGCGAGCTGTCGGATGAAGTGGAGGAGAGGTTCATGGCGGTGTTTGCGCCGGCGATCCGCCGGCGGCTGGAGGCTCGAATTTCGGGGATTAAACTGTCGGACGACGATGTGATCAGTCTGATGGATCTGTGCTCGTTTGAGACGATGGCGGCGACACCTGACGCGAGCGAGCTGTCGCCGTTCTGCGCGCTGTTCAGCCACTCGGAGTGGGTGCAGTTCGACTACTTCCGGTCTCTGAGCAAGTATTATGGCTATGGGGCTGGGAATCCGCTGGGTCCGGCTCAGGGCATTGGGTTCACGAACGAGCTGATTGCCCGGTTGACGAAGAGCCGCGTGCGTGATCATACCAGCACGAATCGGACCCTGGACTCGAGTCCGGCCACGTTCCCCGTGGATGCCGCGTTGTATGCGGACTTCTCGCATGACAACCTGATGGTGTCGGCTTTCTTTGCGCTGGGGTTGTATAACGGCACCAAACCTCTGTCTCAGACGGAAGTGCAGAGCATCAAGGAGACCGATGGATACTCGTCCGCTTGGTTGGTTCCGTTCGGGGCTCGCGCGTATATCGAGGCCATGCAGTGCAGCGGGGAGTCTGATTCCCTGGTGCGTGTGCTTGTCAATGATCGCGTGGTGCCTCTTCATGGCTGCAAGACTGATCGTCTGGGTCGGTGCAAGTTGGAGGACTTTGTTCGGGGGTTGAGCTTTGCTCGTTCTGGGGGGAACTGGGACGAATGTTTTGACTAGATCTGTTGATGGATTTAGATTTGTGGCTAGACAGTGCAATGTATTTACTGACATGTTGTGAGTCTTGCGGTTGCCTTGGTTCAGGTAGCGCTAGCAGAGCACTGGAAGACAGAGGGACTGATATTGAATCATTCACCTGCTCATGACCCTTCGTTCTGTTACAAGCGAGAAGTTCCATTTCACAACCAACGTCTCTTTGATCCTCGCTCCCTCTCTGCCTCTCCCCCACCTCCTTCATCCATCTCCTCCCACCTCTCCTCTTCTCCACAGCCAAAATGACCTCTTCTCGTCAAGAAATCCCCCTAACCAGCCCCCGCCGCTCCAACTTCACCGAATCCACCTCCAAACCGATCATCGTGATCGTGAGCCCGACCACCCCAGCAGTCTCAGAAGCAGACTCACCACCATCTTCTCCATCCTCGCAGGAACCATCTTCCCCTCCCCCGGCCCGCCGCTCATCCTACACCTCCCTCCTGGCGAAGATCTCTCGAGACGCACATATCCTAACCATTACCTCGCTCGAGTCCCTCGAAGAAACACTGACCCAGCACGGTCCCAAAATCGCCGGCTTCATCATCTCCTCGACGGCAATCCTCCATCCAATCCATCATGCACTCGCCATGCGTCTCGCTGAGCTCGCACACAACAACCACACAGAACCCCCCACCAACCCACCCACTACCTCAGCCTCTAACCCCACCCCCTCCTCAAAAGAAGAAGGCTCAGAAAGAGGCAGAAGAATCTACACAATCATCTTCGCGCTCTCCTTCGCCAGCACCGCCATCTCCACCCCCCTCCTCTTCGCCTCCTTCATGCGCACCATCTTCCACCTCCCCTGGCGTCTCAGCGGGATGACGAACCAGAAAGTGAAAACGAAGCTGCGCGCCTCCGTGCTCCGCAAACTGGGACAGCGGGTCTACCGCGTACGATACTGCTTCCGGAGCGTGTTTTTGCGGAATGTGAAGTTGGCGGATAAGGTTGTTGTTGCGACGGGGGAGTTTCCGGTGGGTGGGCAACGGGTTTCGACTACTAGTATGGGTGTGGATGTGGCTTTTTGGTTGGGGGATGGGAGTGGGGATTTTGATGATGATGATGGAGATGAAGATGGGTATGGAGAGGGAGGGGATGGGACTGAGACGGCGAGTACGGATGAGGAGATGGAGGAGGATTGGCAGAGTGAGGAGAGTGAGGGGACGGCTGTGGGGGGTGATTTTGGGGATGGGTATTCGTTTCTCGGGGAGGAGGGTGAGTATCTTCAGGGCGGTTCTGCTGATCTTGTGGTGAACGGGGATGGGGATGCAGCGATGCAGGTGGACGAGGACGCCGGGTTTCTGGCTGATGTGGAGGATAACGAGGTGGATGGGTTGGATGTTCATCCTATCGTCACTACTACGTTTGTTGTTGGCAATCATGTCAACAGCGGCAGTGTCAACATGAACAACGGGGCCCATCAAGTCGACGACGTCTTCTCAGACAACAGCACCTTCTTGAGTCCAACTTCCCTCCTCACGAACAGTCCTGCTGCTACCGTCTCCACGCCTGCCACCACAACCGTGGCATCATCCTTCGAGGAAGACGACGAGGAGGACGATGATGACGAAGAAGCTGAAACCGCACTCGCCGCCGGCACCATCATCCAAACCATCGAAGGAGAAGAAGACCTAGACGACTCCGAGGACTTGGACATGGACTTCAACCTATCCACCACTCATATCCACGCGCACATCACCAACCACAACAACAACAACAACAACCCATCCCTCAACCTCCTCCACGCAACCAACTACGCCCTCAACCTCACCACCCCCAACACCACTGGCAACTATGACTCAGATAACAACGAAGAAAACATAACCCCACCACCCCCCCTCCACCCAACCGACACCGACTGGGTCCCCTCCGACGACGAAGGCACCAGCGTGGACCTCTGCTGCGCAGACAGCCCGATCGTGATCCACGAGTTCAAGCGAACCGTCCTGCGCGACGACGGCGTGCAAGAGAAGGTGCCGTGCGGGTATGTCGGGTTCGTGGGCCATGTTGATGATAGTCGGTCAATGAGTACGTTGATTTTGGGGATGTGTGCGGTGCCGAAACTTGTTGAGGATCCATCTGGTTAATCATTTGGTTCGGTCGATGGATGGATGGATGTGTCTTGCTTCTAGGAATGGGAGTGGACCGTGTTGATGCGGTTGGATTGTAATGTGAGAAGGGTTTTATGTGGATTGGCTGGAGAGAAAGTGGTTGAACTAGTTACGGGTGATAGAAATTGATTGATGGGGTTGATATTGACGAAAGAAAAGAACAGGAAAGATCTAACTAGTTGAGAAAGAAAGACAGAAGTCGTCTAGAAAAGAGATCAAGTGAGGTGGAATGACCATAATACTAAGAATCAAATGCATGCAATGATAAGGACACATGAACATTTCCAAATATAACCTAACCAAGATCAACCAGCCAACTCACTCATCACAGCACAACCACCTACTCTATTTATCATACAAAGAACCACGCAGAGAGACATCAAGACAGACCTCCCGACCACTACCCAGCATCCAGAATAAGATCCATACATCTAATTCCCATCCTCTTTCTTACTCTCCTCCCCCGAGGAAAGCGAAGCAGAAGGCGAAGGCGTAGTCGAAGGCAACCTCCTCTGGCTTTTATTCCCGTACGCTATAAACCCAATCATCAGTAATCAATAGCCATAGCCAGCGCAATTCAACCCGAAGGTAACTTCCGTCCGAAGACAAACACAAACACACCTCGGGTAGCACAACAGGGGAGCAGAAAATGCAAGTGAGATAGCAGAAGTAATAAACGATATAATGAGTAGAGGGTAGAAAGCAGAATGTAAAGGGTAAAATAGGGAGGGGGGGAGGGAGAAACCATACTTCTCTCAAAAAGCATATAAGACGTATACATCAAGATCGGCAATGCCACGATCGTCGAAAGCCATCTATATTGCATCAGTCGTCCAGCTCAATCCTTCATGGTTTTTCTTTTTCCCCTGGTCTTCTCTTCCTCTGCATCGCGCATCCATGTTAAATAGAGACCGCTTTCAACGAACAAGCACGCAAGAAAGCAACTAAGCAGAAGAGTCTGCCTTCCTTTTCCCTTCCATCCCAATGCAAAACAGAACTCCCCACATAAAACACACCCAGAAAGGGGGTAAAAGAGAAGAGGGGAAAAAAGGACTCACCGCCTAGCAGCAACCTTATACTCCTTCGTCTGCCGAATATCCTGGACAGGACGAGGGCGCGTCGTCGGACGCTGATAGTTGTGCGGATCCATGATGACGCGCCGTTGCGGGGGTTGGTTTTGTTGGTTGGACATGATTATCCTTCCACTCTCGATATACTATCTCTTTTAGATTGGTATGTTGAGGACTCAGAATGATTTGGCCGATGTGTACTAGTTGATTGAGTTACGAAAAGTGTGTAGGGAGTTGTATAGAAGGAAAAGTGGAGGTCGGGAAAAGTTCAGGTCAGGTGAGTGGAGATGGTTGGTGCCTTGATGCCTTAAGGCAATCATAGATTTGGATGCCACCGAGACAGACTATCTACTTTGCGGTCAATCAGCCGGGTTAATGGACTCTTTTTCAAAAGACAATCCCCAATCTCATTTATATAAAGATCCAGCTAACGTTACATATATAGCCAAGATGCTTCTCATGTGAAGAAAAGAACCCAAAAGATGTATAGATAGACACAAGATCTGAAAACAGAGCAGAAAAAGAACAAACTGATCTCACAGCTGTGATGCAAAACGAGAAACAGAAATGAAGGTGAAAAGCAGCCCGATTCGAAGGCAATAGAATACAGTACAATTGATCCCAGAATTATATGTCGTCGTGGTCTTTCATCTTCCATTCTTTCCGATGCTTGTTGAGTCTTTCTTTTCTGGTTCTGAGTTTTCTCAAGTTTCCCCTGGGGTTACTTGGTTTTTTGGTCGTTTAACTTTTTTTTATCTTTGGTTTTTGGTTTGGCTGTCTTCCTGGAGAATGGCGCGCGCCGCTCGATTTGATCCCTGGAAGGTCCAATGAACTAATCATGGCCCGGTCACCGGCGATTACACGAAGGATGGGACCCGTTGTACTCGATCTCAGGTATAAGATCATTTTTCACATGCTGGCTCTGCCCGTCTGCGTCAGCCATTGTGGAATCACTTATACTCTTCAGCGAAGCACGTTTCCCTCATCCTCGTTGTCTTTGTCAAATCTCTGGGTCTTCGCGCTGGCTGTTTGGTCTTGTTTGATTGACCAGTTACCGTTTTTCCGCGGGAGATTGCCAATTAAACGATTGCATGCCGCTCGAGTCGTTGATCCCCGGGAGGTCCAAGAAACAAGTTCGGCCCAGTCACCGGGTGATCTCACGAGGAGCTGGCGTTGAAAGAAAGGAAAGATGTAGACAAACGATCGACAAGAGATAAGAAATACAGATAGAAAAGAAAAAGATGAAAGAACAAAACTCCAGCCCACACCGGGGCAGTCTGACTTTCACGCTATGCTTAAACAAACAGATTGCTCCAAGGAGCCGCCCCGAAACGCCCAAGCCATAGAGCCGAAAGTAAACAAGCAAACAAGTAAAATGTAAACAGTAAAAGAAAAGACAGAACAGACAAAAACAGTGTATAAACAAAACAAAAGGCAGAAGGCCCATCACTGGGCCTCCTCCGGAGTCCCCTCCGCCCGCTTCTTGCGTGCGTTAGCACGCCGGGCCCTCTCCTGTGCATGGTTCTCGAATTCAGCCATCAAAGCTGCCGCAGCGCGGCGGCGAGGCCGAGATGATGACCCATGCCCAGGAGAGGCCTGCGGAGGGTTCTCCGGAGTGGCGGCTTCTGCCACCCCCTCGCTGGTGTCGGGTTGCTTGGGGGTGGCAGGCTGCCGAAGCTTAAGCTTCGGCTGCTGTTTGTGCTTGTTCTTGAAGGATAGGGTTAGCCGCGTGGGCTCGGTGGGCTGACCCTGTCCTTCGCCGCCCGAGGCCTCTTGATGGACCTTCTGCCTTTTGTTAGCCTTACCCGGCTGCCCACCAGCCTCCTCAGAAGGACGCTTTTTGGTTTCAGTTTTGGCTTCGTGGGCAGCCGGGCGAGGCATCTTCAAGATGAGGTTGGGCCTGGCCGGCCCAGCGGGAGTGGCGGCCGGCTCAGGCCCAGCCTGGACCTCCGAGTTCCCTCCTCCGATTCGACTACGGCGCTTGGGTGACTCGACCGACGCCCCGAACCCTTCAACGTGTCTTCTCTTGCGAGAGGACCTGGTGGCTTTTTCGGTGGGTGGGTTCGGAGCACCGGCCGAGTCGTACTCTTCAATGAGTCCCCGGATCTCCGCCGTGGACATGTGGCGGTCCACGGGGATGTGCCGCAGCCGGGCCTCTTCGCGCGCCCTGATCTTGGCTTTTTCTTCGTCGATATTCTCGACGGAGAAGGGCGCGCCGAAGGCACGGGGGAGATTGCGCTCCCCCATGCGGGGAGGGAACCCGAAGATCCGATCCCTCTCTGCCTGCTCGTCCGACTTCAATCTCAAGGGGGGCTGAGGGAGCCCCCCGTCCCCATATGTATTGTTGGGGCGGTACCAGTGGTATCCTGTGGAGACTACCACCACCTCCTCGCCGAAATCATTAGTTTGGCCTGTGTATATCCAACCGTCTTTGTCAGCTTCTAGTTTAGACGGCAGCGATTGGGGATGCATACTGTCGGCCCCCTTTGCTGCCTCCTCCTTTTTGGCCTTTACCCCCCCTGCCGGCGCCGCCGATGATGTCTTGGTTGGTTTGGCCCGTCGAGCTTTCGCCTTGCGAGGTTTGGCCTTACCGGCCCTGGCTCGGGCCGGTTTGGGCTTAATGGCCTTAGGCTTGGTGACCGTTTCGGCCTCGGCCTTTTCCTCGCAAGACAAAGGCTCGACGGGGCCCGACAAGTTCCCCGAGGAGTTGAGGTCGTGCGTTTGGCGGAAAGAGTTACGCATCTCCTCGAGGAACTTGTCGTCTTCGGATTCTTGAGCGTCTGGGTGCGCAACTAAGACATCATCAGCGACGCTGATGAGCCGCATGACGATGTCGACTCTCTCGGTCGACAATTCGGTCAAAGCGACCGGTGCATAAGGCACTGGAGTGTGGGTTTTCGGGGCAGGGGGGGTTGGCGTATAGGAGGCCATGGCGGAATGAATCGGCGAGGAGGCTGTTGAAGCCGGACGAGCAGGAGCGGAGTGATTTGGAGCAGGAGTTGAGGTAGAATTTATTGAGGGGGGGCGAGTTGGGAGCGAAGGGGATACAGCAGAATGGGCTACAGCAGAAGGTGCTGGCGTTGGATGGGATGGGGCAGAAGTAATTTGGGTCAAGGCCGATCCATCGTCGGCAGAGTGCTTCTTCTTCCTCTTCTTGTTCTGATGGGCATCGGCCTTCTCAGTAGGGCCATCAGTTGGTTTGGCGTTGGCATCAACCATGTCAGCATCATTGCCGTTGGTGGTGGGCTCTTCCTTGGCAGCAGGAGTCCTGGTTCTCTTGCGCTGGAAGCGACGCTCGGATTCGATTGATTCCATAGCCCGGACAGTGGGCTTTCTGGTGCGTCCTGAAGTGCGCGCACCGGTAGAAGTGCTCGTCGCAAAACTGGTTGGGGAGGTGGGTCCGTCCACTTGACCGTCATGACCGAAGTTATGGCCGTACATGTCAGGGGTGTACTCAAAATCGTAGTTTTCGCTGAAGCTATCTCCGTAGACATGCACAGGAGTGCCCTCAACGCTTTCAGCAATCTCATGGTCGTAGGAATGTCTAGGAGTGCCCAGCGCGACCGGCAAAACCGACTCCAGCGCTTTGCGACCCACGTTCAAAGTGATGGTATTGCTCATTGGGCGCCTGTTGGCACGAGAGCTGCCCTTGACAGAGCCTCCAACGCCAGAAGGGACGGAATCAATGTCCATGGCATCGCCAGAGGGGGTGGATTGTTCATGCATCTGGCTGGCAAGATCCGCGACCGACTTGCGGGTGCGGCGAGTGGAAGAATTGATGGGGGTGAAGCCACGTGACGGCCCGGGAGTGACGGGCTTGTCTTTGCCCAACTTCGCGTTGGAGCTGGGGGCCGGAGTGGCCTGAGAGACAGCAAGTGGAGTGGAATTCACGGTGGAAGAGGTATTTAAATCCTGCTGAGAGGTGCTCTTGGGCTTACGGTCGGCCTTGGTGGACCGCGGGGTTGACGCACGCGAAGAAGCAGTAAGCTGAGGCTTGGAATCCTGATTCCCAGAGCCGTTCGTTTTGGCAGGCAGGGACTTTCGCGTCCTGCGTCTGCCCGAAAAAGAAGACCCGTGAGAAGAGGTATTGGAATCCGATTTGTTTGGATCGGTCAAGTCGGCTTGCGATGCTAATGACTTTCGTCGATCTTGCGTTTTCTTCAAGAACGAATGGAGAGTTGATTGAGACTGTATTCGGGTCAGTCTCCAGTCTATGCGAGCAGGAAGCATCGCTAAGAGGAAGTTTACTTACCACTTGGGGTTCGTTGCTCAGCTTGTCGGAATGAGAGGTTCGATTTCGATTACTCTTCTGAGTATCTGTAGATTGAGACTGTGGCCATGTTATTCCCCAGTCGATGCAAGAGCAATGGGCGACCGAGTATCGCCATAGAAGTCACTGGGGTCTACATACGGCTTGAGCTTCCTTGCTCAGCTTGTCAAGATTAGAATATTGATCCTGAGTGATTTCGTGAGATGAATGGGTGGATTCGGACTGTGTCACGTTAGCTTACAATCGAGGAGGGAAGGCCGCGAGCGACCAGCATTGGCATGGTAGCCACAAAGTACTTACTGTTTGATCTTCTGTGCTCGGCTTGTCAGAGTGTGAATTTGGATTTAGATTACTTTTCTGAGAAGTATCAAAGGATTTGGCTAAGCCAGAAGAAAGATCTTTGCTTTCTGAGAGGTTGATGGATCTGTTGCCCTCGGAAGACAATGACCCTCGTCTCCGTCGACGTTTGGTCGAGGGCAGGGTCTCTTCAAAGGAAGAGTGGATGGGAGTAGTAGGTAGAGAATATGAGCGTGATGGATTAGATGAAGTATTAGAAAGCTGTAAATCTGGGAACCTGGCTGATCGGCGCGAGGCACGAGAGGAGCTGCGTTTGTTTTGGTTCTGATGTCGCGAGAGTTAGAAGGATTGTGGTGTGTGGGAGAAAGAGGAAGAGGGGGAAAAGAGAGGAAGAAGAAAAACTGACTGAGGCAGAGGGCTCGAGCAAGGAATTGGCGGGAGATCCCGGCTCCTGGGTGACAGAAGCTCTTCCAACCACTGGAATATGATTAGCATTCACTGCTTGAAGGGGCTTTCTGCGTGGAAGAAGACGTTCATGAGGCTTGATCAGGGCAACCCTATACATCAAGCCCTAAACATCCCTCCAGGGCAATGACTGGGCGCAACGAGGGCCTTCTTACTTTTGCCTGGCATGTGACAGCTACAGTCCCTTTTCTGGTATTGGTTCTCTGAGAAAACTATAGGAAGCTTCCGCTATAAACTGATTCCAGCTCCCTGACTTGCAAGTTGTACGGCTCGGCGGACCGGGGAAACAGTAGGACAACGACAGCCCAATCACTTCTTCCTCCTACTTCTTCCCACTCCTGCCTCAACCGTTTCCTTATCTCAGGGTATTTGGTTTAAGATTATTCGGAATATGGAGGTGTCCTGTCAATATGCGCTTCGCCGTTAGCCAGTGAATCTAACAAGGACGGCCCATTTGGAAACGAGGACAAAACAGGAGTAGAGACCTCCCGTCAGTGAGAAAACTTATGACGCAAGCGAGAACAAGGGGCGATCGCAAGCACAATAGTAATCACACCTACCAGTGAACCCTATTCCCAGTGGATATTATGACCAGAACAACCTCCAACCCAGAATATAGGGTATGAAATCACAGCGTGGCCCGTTCGGTGAAGCGGAAGACGAGAGTCGGCACGTCAGGACTTTGCATGCGCAGGGGTTACTCCCAGGGTAAAAAGGACGCGATGTCGGACATTTTGCGGCGATGCGAAGGCGACTATCTAAACGATCGAGGACCGAACGGAGCGTCGCAGGGAATGGGGAAGCCGTCAAAGCGATCGAGGAGCGAGGCAGAATTGTTTGGCAGGCCAACTTGAAGATGCCGGGAAATTAGGGCTTGCAAAGGCGGATGGCCGGTCACTGGACCGCGGCTTGCCCCAAAGCCGCCGGCGCTTATCTTAGCGCTTCTTCCGCCTTTTGGCATCCAAAGCGGCCGATCGGGTCATCCTCCGGAACCTCTTGTTTGGCCGCAATCGCCCTAGATCCCTCATTTGGTTTCCATTGTCTCTTCCCTTTCGGTTTTTTGCCATTCCCCGTCAAGATGCAGCTTTGGCACACTCTTCTCCAGCTCGGTCTGCTGGCTTCGACTGCAGTTCCGACCGGCGCGGCTTCCTGGGGATTTACTGATGCCACCGTGTCAGTTCACACCAAGGGCGCTGGGGTTGGTTCGGGGTCGAAGGACGAGTAAGTTGACTAGGCTCTGTGATGGCAGCTATTCTGTTATATCTGTCCTCTAAACTAATCATTGTCTTGCAATTGATAGTATTCCCGACAACAAGGCCCTCACCAAGCCGATTTCGCTCGGCGGCGCGGACACCCTCAAAGTCACCCTGACCACCCAGGAAGGCCGATCCGCTAAACGCGCCCATCAAGTGTTCCTCCTTCTGCAGGACCCGGAAACTGGCCTCGACATTTCGTATCCGTTCAATGTGAAAGAGAATGGCAAGTCGAGACTGGAGCTGGTAAGACGGGCTGGAACAATTACATTGTCTTGGATGGCAGCTAAACGTCGCTTTAGACCCAGAAAGACCTTCCGGTCCAATTCCTTTCCGTTTCCGAGCCCGTCGACGCACGATTCCTTGTCGGCTCTTTCGGCAGCTCTGAGGCTTACAATGGAGCTGCGTTCCCTCTGCTGGTCACCCACGACCCCGATGTTCCAGTCCCTACGGTCGAGACCTCGAGATACGGCAAGCTTCCTGAAATCCACCACATCTTCAAGAGCGATCCTCAGAGCCCGCCCGTTGTGATTACGCTGGCTTTTGTCGGCACCGTGCTTGCTGCTTTCCCTGTTTTGGCAGTCTTGGTGAGTGTCCATGTAGTATCTATAATGTTTGTGTTTGTTGAGCGCTATCTAACTAGTCCTCTATTAGTGGCTTTTCCTCGGCGCCAATGTCAGTCATCTCCCTACCGCTCTCAAATCGGCCCCTCTCCCTCACGCCGTGTTCCTCGGATCGCTTGTCGGGCTCGAGGGAATCTTCTTCCTGTACTATACTTCATGGAACCTCTTCCAGATTCTCCCCGCCGTCGCCGCGGTTGGCACGGTCGCATTCATCAGCGGAAGCCGTGCATTGGGCGAGGTCCAGGGCCGACGCCTTGCGGGTCTTCGGTAAATTCGTCCGGTACTGAATTTGCCGGCAGTTTGTCAGGACTGTCACTTCGCGACTGTCTTGCGCGATCTGTCTTCATGTACGAGTCTCCATATCTGCGCATGTATAGAAAATGTGGCAGATGAACCAAATCAAGATGAACATTAGTAGCTATTCCATGAACCATTCCAATTCTAGCGCCAAACTACAAAGTAAACAAACTGAGCGCTGCGTCGAACCTGACGTCACCCGCGCGGCTACGTGTCGACCAATCGGGCTAGCGTGGCGGCTGCTCTGCAGAAGATGGAGGAGCTTCTCCGAGATGCGGTCTTCAAACTGTCCAGCAAGTCCCGTCTTTTCAAATACACCACCCCTTGCTCTAGAGAATCATAGGCAAACCTGAACAATGGGCGCATCATCTTCGAAACCCGTGAAATCGGCCGCTCAGGCTGCCACGCGCCGTCAATATCCCAAGAAACCTTCTGCTCCAACCTCCGCTCCCTCCTCCGCTCCAACGCCGCCACCAAAGACTCGCAAAGAACCGGAGACAAGTCATGCTGGACCGACATATCACTCTAAGGAACGGCCGTCTCTAGTGAAATCCAACGGTACGTTATATTAACCATCGCTCGTGACCTCGATCATACCACCCCACAAGATCCCGGAAACAACGGGGCAGCGATGAGACACATTGCCCAGGAACCAGATGCTAATCATTGATAAATCCCCAATAGCCATCGACATGGACGGCCGTGACCCTGATTTCGCCGCTTCCCTCCGCAGCATTGGACCCGTCAATCCCGTTCCAACGTATTCCCACACCAGCACATTCTCCCCGCAGCCGTCTCAACAGCGCGGGCCGGCACAACCTGCTGTCACTCCGGCATCGAATCCAGCTCTATTGGTCTACCACGCTCGCGAGAAGATGAACAAGGCGGCCAAGTACGAAGTCGAGAACGTCGGTCGGCCGAGCTTCACGGGCCGGGAATTCCTAGATGCGGTGACTATCCGACAGGCGCTGTCGATGCGCGATCGTCAGGGTATCCGACCAGGAGAGATCGAGAGGATCTTGCGGTTGAAGACGGGTGTGGTGGATCGGCTGGGGAAACAGGGCGTTGTGTCGGAGCTCGTGTAAATGGGCCGACCGTGCTAGTGGGCTGACTATATTGTGCATTATCGATCGTGATCATGGCGTTTTCTTTCTTATATGGCCATCTCCTGTATAATATTTGTATATGAAGCTATGAACCTAATCTCTACGAAGGGAACTCGGGTATGGATACTCGGAGTCACCCTGCCATCTACTGTAGTAGTCAAGTGACATCGTGATACCCTAGGCAGTAAGTAGTCTCTGGGCAAACCAGCTGAAATTAACCTGCGGACAGGAAAGCCACCGGAAAAGAGGAGCGATGGCCTCGTCGACTCCTGAAATTCATAGCTACAGTATACAAAACTCAAGTCTTTTAGTTGGTCATTCAGTTGTCGATCATTGATCCACTTAACGAAATTTGTTGCCCTTCTTTTCTCTGGGCTGTCAGCTTAGATGAAATTGAAAGCAATCAAACCAATACGAGAGATCCACCTTGAACAAAAGGCAATTGAACCCCGCGGGCCGACTTATTCTTAGATTGATTACGGACGCCACGGGGCGAGCGACGAGCCCCTTGCATGATTTCCAGGGTCGGTTGTTTTATCTTGTGCTCTCCTGGTCTTGTCCTTCATCTACTCGTGATTTCAGGGCCGCTAACGTCGACCGGCTCGCACCTAAACTTGGGTCGATTGGCGTGATTGCATATCTTGGGACAAGCCCATGGCCTATTGGTTTAGGGTCTACCCAAATATGGAGAACTGGGCTCCTTGAGGCAACTCTAGTTGGTGAAAACGCGAAATGTCAAGGTCAGACTTATCGTTGATAGAAGGGACCCGGGGTCCAATATCGATCAAAGTGTAGGCCTCAGCGCCCAAGAAGAAATTTATGCAATCATACTATGTCTCTTTCCTCAGCTCGTTCGTCTTAATACCACTAGCTTTGTCCAGTAATGCGGACTAAACATGGCACCCTTGTGGTCAACGTGGGGATCGTCTTCCGTTAGCATCAGCACTTGTCTCTTTGCCTCCGTCAGGATGCTACGCTATCGAGCGCCATGATGATCCTTTTCAAAGCTTCGACTGGGTTTTACCGTTGTTTGCCATATGTCTGAAGGCATTTATCGTGTCAATGTTCTCGGCTTTTAGTCATGAGTTGCTATTTTCTCCTCCTTGATGCAGAGACAGTTCGGCCCCCAAATTCTTGTATACTTTTATGTTTCTTTTTTCTTTTCTGCGGCTTTCCTTTTTCTTATCTTGCTCATATATCCCACTCCCTTTTCTCTGTTCTCTCTAGTCCCTGATTCTCTTGGGACCTGAAAGTTGTGGTATCAACAACCCACAAGACAACATCTAAATGACGAAATCCCAACACTGGTCGAGGACCAACCTCATCGCCGCACTTCATATAACTTGTACCATCGCTGCAACAACTACTCACCCTCCGTGGTTCAACGGATACTACGTGCACTATGCGGGTGGCAACACGCAAAGTTCGTCCACACAATACACAACTCTCCTGGTTTCTATCGCACCCAGCTAACAACCATTCTTCAGCCGATACCATCAGCTGTGAAAAGACATCGTCATTCTCCACCTCAGGATCTTACGCCAACTGCTGCGGCACTAAAGGCGAGGAATGTCCCATGCCGACGACCTGTCTCGATCACACGGTGTATATGGATAACGGCGCATACTACAAATGGTATACCCCGAGCAATCCAATTCCCTACACACCATCGGAACAGACATGCATAGATACTAAAACTTCCATCCTATAGCGGCACATCCAGCGAATGCGCCACCATGACCGTCTACGAAACGTACCCGTTCGGCGAACCCTTCGTCAAAAACGTCTTCTGCTGGCCCAACTGGGACGCCAACACCGTCTACCGCCAACTCCCCACCTTCCCGACTGCCACCTCCGCAACAACAGCAACGACATCAGGCCGCACCGCGTCCGCCGGCTCCACGGTCCTCCAAGCAACCGCCAGCAGCACGAGCAGCAGCCACGCCGACTCTGACTCGGGCTCCGACTCCAGCAAATCCACGAACAAGGGCTGGATTGCCGGCGCCGTGGTCGGGCCTGTCTGCGGCATCGCGCTGGGCTTGTTTGGCGTCTGGGTGGGATATCGCAAGGTGCAGAAGGCACGCGCCATGCAGGCTGAGGCGGCGATGGCGTCGCATGCCGCGCAGGCGCAGGCTCAGGCACGGGGTATGCAGGGCAGGTGGTTTCCGCAGGAGGCGTATGGGAGGGGGGTGTATGCGCAGCAGCACGTGGAATTAGATTCATCGAGTGTACATCAGAAACCTTGATGGGTGGGGGGGAGTTGTTTACGATAGAGAAAAGTCAATGTGTGGGCCAGGGAAGGCCTGTTTATATACAGAGTTGATGAAGTGATGATACAGCGTGGATGTCAGATATCCCTATGGACTGGATGGGAAGTTATTTTCAATGTTCTATACCCGTTTTTCATGCAGAGAGTGGCTCGGACACTCCGCATGATATCATGATACAAATGTATTCTAGATAATCTATAAACCAATCTACACAATCGACTAATCGTCCTAGCCGAGGCAAAAGTCCAAGGTCGTGCATTGACTGCAATGTAGAGAGTGGCACAGAGATGGCACTTGGACACCTAAGTTACTCCCATCTATATATCCCAGCACCTATGACCTGAACTTCCAATTGAATCTCAACATCAACCACTACCAAATGTACCTACTGTCTATGTCTATACTACCCACACTACAACCTGGGGTCGTCAACAATATACCCAAAAGGGGAAGCCACACATTGCCCCTTCTCCTCAACCTTCCAGGGTACTCCCTCCACCCTAGGATAGGCAAAGTTGTAAGCTTTCGGCTTACTCCCAATTCAGCAATCCGAGGACTCCTCTCTTTCACCTCCTCGCTTCCCCATTAATCCACGGACAAGCGACTCTCGAATCTCGTCGCCCAGAAAGGCAATCCGACATAGCAACGAGCCCTCAATAGAACCTAGGCTCTATATGAATGGTGGGCTAGAAAGTCTGGTGACAAGACCTTGGATCAAGTGACGGAAAGCACTAGATTCTGATTGATTCAATTCAAGGGGGTTGACTTGGGCAGGTATGAGCGTTGGAATAGATTGGCTCTGGTGAGGCTTATCTAGATCGTTGGGAAACACTGGATTACCAGGTATGGATATCAGATAGGTAGGTAGGTGTGTGTGCGCTTACTCAACTGAGATTAGTCCGTTTTCCATGAGTCAACTATAATCTACACGTGTATGGATAGAATAACCACCACAGTGAGAAGGTATGCACAACTCTATTGTCACCCACCATACCATATCTCAATAGCCGGCCCCAACCGAGCCATCCACAATACCACAGCGAAATAACCCCTCTTCCCGAAGACAAGGGCTAGATCTAGACACATACTTGGCTGATAGATTGCCAACGCATCGCATCCAGCCACGTGAGCATCCTTTCGCGCCGCGCCCAGAACATGCATAGAATTTGTTAGGTAGGTATAGCGGCTAGAAATACGCATACGTCCTATATAGGGATGTAGGTATGTACATGCAAAGGATTGCATGCGTGATATCTGACGACTACAGGAAACTATAATCTTCATAGATTATCTTGATATATCCCATCTGGGTTAGGTAGTCGTTCAAGTAACCCCTTGCATTGGTAAACCCTACTTGATGATGGAACATAACCCAATGACCGGGTGTTAGGCATCGATCTTGTCTACCTATCCTGTGGGTAGATTCGGGCTTTCCATACAAGTCGTTCAAATTTGCTTCTTCTTCTTCTTCTTCTTCTTCTTTTCTGGATATGTTATAGTGTCTATATAGGCCACGGGACAATGCAACTTTAGGTGGACCCGTGACTAAGGTAGGTACCGACTGGATCTGCAAATAGCCTAAAACGGTAATCGTTCGTAGAAACACATCTTCCAATCATAGTCGCAGTTTCGGGTCTGGAAGTTCCGGATGTGTTCGTGTTCTGTAGTTATAGGTAACCTCTGTCCTTATACGAGAGATTCTACTCTGTGACAGAAGTATAGCATCTCTAGTTTGTTATCCTGGGGCACTTGGGCAAAGGCAATGGTTTCCTTGTATTGTTATCTACAGATCTAGTTGGTATGAGGCAAACGTAGGTGTACATTAATTAGTAGCAATGTATCAAGTATGGTTACGCAGTAAAATGTTTTAACTAATTAACTAATCATCGACAATCCCCGTAGTCCAAGGACGAATGGCCATTTACCGCATAAACGCGGTGGGGCACATACATACAATGACTGCCCGCTACTACCACCCCGTACAGACACCCCAGGTTTGATTCGTGCAAGTGCAACTGGTGCCATCTACGACTACCTACATCCTATACGCCACATATCCATACCGAGCAAACCAAATATAGGCCAATGACCTACCTAATACGCTTGACAAACGTCAACCCCGTCCCATGACCTACCTACTCAATCATTTGCTGATACCCCACAACTAAACAGTGTAAGGCGGGCTACTATGTAGACTCGTGATGACGACCTGATGTCATCTCCAATCATCTCAACTACGGTACCTATAAGTCAGGTTCGCCTTGGGAAGTGGGGAGTCGAAGATCAAGGGTGAGAAAAAGTGGGGGCGATCGCTGACTTTCGGTACCCCGGATTTGGGGTGGCTTGGCAGAGAGAGCGGTTTTGGTAATTCCGGTGTCTGGCATTTTACACATTAATGTCCAGCGGACTCTTTTCAGAGAAGAATTCCTAGATGAACGAATTAGGTACTAGTATTATTCCATTCGAGATATTTATACCTCCTCTATTTATTTTAGTCAGAGACACAATTAGTTATCAAACAGTGGGGTATCTGTCATGTGCGATCCACGCTGTCAGATCGGACGCTAACAAGGACGATGATGCATCCTTAGGTAACTTTACTCGTTAGTCTGGGTTAGGCAGTGGGTTTCACCTAGTCAGGGATGATTGGATTGTTGGGTCTGTCAATGCGTTTCTTTTTCCTTTCTGGTTACGAGATGTGCACGCGACATCTGGGTTTGAGTTTTCTTTTGCCTGAGTGGTTGTGATTGGTATTTATTTGGAAGGATGGAAAGATGGATGGTATAACTGAAGAACTAATTCCAGAATAAAATAATAGTGTAGTAGTAGTAGATACAGGGAAATGAAGAGTAACGGTCTAAGAAAATAATACCCCAGTCCAAGTCCATACGATCCCCTGTTCCCCGACACCGGTGGCGCAAAACAGAAAAAGAAAAAGAAGCAGGAAACAAAAATTCAATGATTCGTCGCCCCAAGAGGAAGGATGAGAGAAATCACACGTCATGACGATGATCCCCCAACCCTTTCCCCTCATTCGATCCTGAAATTGAAACCACACCGATAGTATCGCTCGCTATTCCGAAACGCCATGCAATAGAAAAGAAAGATTATGTAAAGTAAGATCGTCGTTAAGATAGATGTTCAAGAAGGCCATCTACCAGGCAGCGTGGCCACCGTCCATGCGCAGATCGCTTCCAGTCATGAACGTGCTGGCATCGCTGAGCAGGAAGACGGCGGCGCCGCGATATTCGTTGGGAGTGGATAGACGACCCAGCATGTTCTGCTTGGGCCATTCGTCGCGACGCTCGGGGTACTCGACGAACAGCTTCTCGACCATAGCGGTGACAATGTAGCCGGGAGAGATGGTGTTGACGCGGATGTTGTACGGGCCCCACTCCATGGCAAGGTTGCGGGAGAGCTGGAGCACGGCGGCCTTGCTAGCGTTGTAGGCCGGGCAGATGAGACCCTAGAGGAGAATTGACTGTTAGGCTGATTTGCAAAAAATGACCAATGACAATGGGGAGGTGGCGTGGTAGGACAGAGACAGAAAAGAAAAAGCGGGGGAAGTCAAGAGACTCAGACCCGTTCCACACAAAATGACAGTGAAGGAAAAGAGGCAGGCAAAGACGAGGAACGTACCCGATTGGCAACGGTGCCACTCATGCTCGCAATCAGAGCGATGCTACCGCCATTTCCAAACCGAATCATCTGCTTGGCAACTGCCTGGGCGGTCATGAACACGCCAGTAACGTTGACCTCAAACATCGTATTGGCGTCCTTGGACGTGTACTCCAACGCCGGAGTCTCCTGCTGGATACCGGCGGCAGCAACCAATCCATCCAGACGACCTTCGGTGTGAGCAATCGATTCGACGACGCTGTTCAACAACTCCGTGTCACGGACGTCAATCCGACGGTAGTTGAGTTCCGTGCCCAATTCCTCGCGCGCACGCTTCTGGATTTCGTAGAATTCCGGGGACTAAGACAGTGCAAATATTAGCAAATCATGCGCCTCTTGTTCCCGGTGGGTTACACAGATCAAGTTGTCTTGGATCACACTCACAGGTTCCTCCAAACGGTCCAAGGCGTATACTCTAGCACCGGCTTCCAAAAGAGCTTCGGCTTGGGTTAGACCAAGGCCACGAGCTGCCCCGGAGACGCAGACAACCTTTCCAGCCAGGCTGAACTCGGGCATTCTGGTCTTGGATCCAAGGCAAGGGCCATCCTGCGCGGCGACAGGGGCGGGAGCAAAGTCATTGGTTTCAATCGAGACAGACATCGTGTTATGTGTGTATGTGTATGAAGAAGTTGGGGGGATCAATGTAGACGATGAGGAAGGAAGAGAGAAAGGACACGAAGAAGTTTCTGGTGTAGTTCAAATAACCAAGTAATAGATGAATGTTTCGAAGAGAGATTCAATTGATGATAGCAACGAAATCATTCCCCCGGACGAGGAGAGTTCTTAAATACTTGAGACCATGGGATATGGGAGGCGTTCCCCAAGGGTAAGGTCGTACTACCTAGATCTCCGGGGAAAGTGGTCATGAGGACTCATGTGAGAGGGTCGATGCCCAAGAAAGGACAAATGCGAGGGCGGGTTCGGTCTGGACCCAGAAAGTGAATGCGCCCTCCGTTCGTGGCAACAGGAGGAAATGGGTGGGTGGAGTTTTGCCCTACCACGATACTTGCACTGCCCTCATTATTCCCTACTTACTAGCTACCTACTATTCATAGATTGACCGTCTTTTGGCCTGGTTTTTCCTGGCAAGGCCAACTTTGGACTGTAATATTGAAGCGATCTCTACGTAATTCATATCGAATGATTACCAAGGTGGTAAGGTCCGATTAAAAGTACGGTATATGTTACTTGGTAGGCTGGAAGGAAATCCCATTTGCAAGATTTGCTGGTGATGAAAGAATGACTCCTCGCGATGGAGATGCCCTCCGCCCAAGGCCATCAGGGCCGTGGCAGACTCTCGGGTTGCTAAAACGGGCAAGCCGGGGGAACCGGGGGCGAACCCGGGCTCGGCGCGCGGAGGACGCTAAACAGGAGCGAGGCGGTTCTGGAAGGCCATTTCATGCCGGTCGAAGATTCGATAGCAAGGCCCTTCATGGTCACGGGGCCCTTCGGAGATCCATCCGGCCAATCCGTTGCCGGTCTATTGGATATCCATGCGCCCCTTGTACAAGGAGGAATTGGGCTATCATGCCCTCTTCCTCTTACCAATCAAGGACTGTCTGGACTCTTCATTTTCCAGTCGTTCCTGTACTAAAACTATCCCGGTAAGCTTATCAGTTGTCCTCGGCTTCATTGGCCAATTCCATTCCTGTTCGACAGATTTTTCCTCCCAAATGTGGCTGAACTTCCTGCACTGTCCACATCGATCGTTCGAGAATCCGGGTACTCAGGTACATCCTGCGTTCCTTGAATTGCTTAACACTGATGGTACTTGTACTTCCACTAATGATCAATTGCGTAATGTTGAGGGGCCCATTGAAGATTATGACCGGAATCCTCCTAATGTCTTACTCGGTAAGCATGGTCTAAATATAGACCCGGGGTATACAGTTCACAGGGCATCAGACACAATCGCAGAACCATGGATGATGCCGGATGGCAAGTCAGTAAACACATGTACCGTATCAGGTGTTCACCCCCACAAGGACAGCGCTGTACAACTAACACTACATCCTGTATTTGTTGGATACCCCAAACTTTTCGCACACATCCAGGGGCACATTTATCTGATCGACCTCCCGGGGCCGATCCGCCAGAGTACCGTGTGACCTTCAGAATTTTTCAGAGCATTGAAAAGTGGCGTCCTCGATCCGGGGGCATGGAACCATAAGAACGGATGAAGTGTCATGGCCATGGTTAAAGCTACTTACCCGATTGGGAACTTCCGGGGAGCTCCCCCCTCTCGGCCCCGCTGTTTCTGGTCCGCCTTCCTGCCGTCTCTTTTTCACTTTCGCGCGGAACCCAGATGTATATCCGTTATCGTGAGATGCTCTAGCTAGGGACAATTGATCCCCCAAATTGGCCAACGAGGATTCCTCCCATCTTCCGGTCCATTTAACAGGTGTCTGCTTACTACTATCGAGCGGTTAAAGCCAGCGCAACTGGAATGTTCTGATGTGTTCTAGATTCGGCATCACAGAGATCAATTAACCTGGTTCTATATGGTTTTCGTGTCTTGCGACAGCTCACTCTGACAGCCGCTGGGGTTATTCCAGAGTCATAATTGGATTTCCATTCCTAGGAGGTATCTACAGTACTTGAGGTGTATCCTCAGAGACCGCGCTTTGTTAGGAATTATGGAACCCAGCAGTTACCGAGGTCACCTGGACAAAAAGCAGCCGCCACAAAGCACAGAGCGGACCCCTCGAACTACTGTACAAACGAAGTACGGAGTACTAGTAGATAGACCAGGGTTCCTTGTATAGTACAGTACCTGACGATCGGAGATATGCCGACCTGACCAATTTGAAAGTAGGCACGTGGGCAAGTCCCAGCATTTTGACCCGTGGTATTGGGAATAGAGCACAGTCTCCCACCTTAACCGAAAGCGGGGGATAACAGCTTCAGGCAAACCCAGTTATCAATGGGATGTGATAGCAAGCGCATTCATCAGCATCTCCAGTCTGTAACCAAATACACGCCCTTACTGAACGGATGCGCGCGTCTCATCCCCGGAGGAATGATTCAAAACCATTATCTTCTCCGCTGGGAAGCCGCATATCCGGTTGTGTGATGGCCACGTCAGCTTTTATCTACCGCGATCTTGGAAATTCCAGGATGGTCTGTGTGACGGGGACGGGCTAGTCTGGCCTGGGGACCGCGACCGGGAGTTGGGAATTGGGAATCAACCGGCTGCCGCCAGAGAATCTTCTGGGAGAGTCGAGGCCGTTAGCAGATCAAAAGTTTGCTGGTCACACGGCCAGTCGGGATTGGGCCCATTGCAGTTTAGCCCTGAATATCAATCGGATCTGGCCGCACAGACCAACCGGGGTTCTGGATCCTGGGGGACTGGGGTAAGGTTTCCATGCGGAGTTTACAATGTTCGTTCTATTTCTATTCCTATCTCCCGGTTTCTCTTCTAGTACGGAGTACATACAGTCTTCCGCGTTATGCCAGTAGCCGATGACAAACTTACTAGGCTCTATCAGCGAAGGGAAGGATTCTCCGCAGTCTAAGTTTTCATGAAATTAGAGTCATCTAATTTCTTCGTTCTATAACATCCTCGAGACGTGTTGCAAATTACGTAAAAGTCTATCTGACCGAGCAATCAGGCCAGTTGCTGACTGACTGCTGTGGCTTGTCAGACTTCGAAAAAAACAAAATAATGTTACAAGACGCTTGTCGCAAGAAGTTTTATTCGGTTTCGGGAGAAGATATACTCGGCGGCGATTATACATGTCGCACTCCTCATCTTCCTTCCCTCACTGCTCCTTGAAGTTCAATGTTACCTGTCTTTCCCATCCTTCTGGGCTTCTTGGTCGTACTTGATCTATACTATCTGGCCAGCATTTTCTACTCGATTCGAAACCACAAGTCCATAGCTTCGGTTACGTATCAAGGGGTATCTTTGTAGTTTCCCTTGTGACTGTGTATTGTTTGTGAACTATTTGTGTCAAGCACAAATATATCGGGTGAATAAGTGGAAACTTGAATTAGCATTGGAAAGCATGGGCTTGACCTCGACGAAGATGCGCCTGAGACACGAGGCAAATGGGACACTCTCCAGACTATCTGAAGCTTGTACATATTCACACATCCAGCATTTCCGAACAACTTTCTTTCACCATTCATCGTTCAACTCGTCTGATACCCGAGATCCCTTCTTTGAAAATAGGCGCTAGACCTCTTTTCCTTCAAATCCGTCGTAAGGATCAGTTACCGGGTCTCGCAGATATCAGACCTGAGTGAACGGATCACTCTACATAGCACTTAGACAATCCTTGTCGCGTGGTAGAAACAGCGCGGCATTCTTCATTGATGAAACCTCTTGCCTCCACTGCTTATCGCGCAATTCGACACTAAGAGCGGCGATTCAAGGGGCTTTTCTCCAAACGGAACAGGAGATCGCCCATTGCACTCGGATCGTAAGTCGACAAAGTCATCACTCCAGCTAATGCAGGCAATCCGGCTGTGTCAGCCCAAGTGGCTATAGATGCGACCTCAATTCCGATAGCACGATCGCAATAGACGCAGGGTTTGTTTAACGGGGTCCTTTCGGGCGACTCTGTCTCTCAGATTGTGAGCGATGGTAGATTGACCGACGCTGCGTATGATTTGTTAGCTTGGTTGCTTGATATCGCGACGGACCTAGGCCTACATTGGTCGTGCAACAATGATATTTCAAGATATTGCAGTCCCCAAATTGGGCGGAATAGAAGTCTTGCTGACCATATCCATATATTTGATAAATCTGTCACCTTCTAAGCCTGTTCCCTTCGGCGCACGACAAGAAGACATAGAATTCCTCCTTGGTCGCAGTCGACAGATGTGGTCAGCCAGACCAGCAATCTTGAGGTCAGTGAGATTTGCTGTCAGGACTAGTAATACTATATTATTCGGCTAGAACGGCGCGATACACATCGATGAGAGCTTCCTGGGCCTTCCCGTGATATGTCGGTAATTTCATGTTAAATTCCGGGTCCTGATCCCGGATGATTCCATTTTGGATCATAGAACCTTCCTTATAAAAGAGGGGTCAAGTCATTCGATTAATTCATTTCTTGATCATCCAAAGCTCATATCGGTGGGATCTGGCGTTTCGATTTACTCAGCACCGTTTAGACAAGGACAGAAAGAAAATAACGAAAAGGGGAAATAGGGGGAAAAGAGTGCCTATCTTTGACGTTTTCACAAGTGTGGGTTGGTAGGTGAGAGAGCCCCAGAGTACAACGTGGTTGGTATCAACTCTTTTATTTAAATTTTCCCGCCTTCACTCACCCACACTATCGAATTTGACTTCTTCAAGAGGCCTGTCCGTGGCTGAGCAGGGTTTTAGGCCCCCATATCGCGGCTGATCGACGTGAATTGTCGGGTCGTACGACCATTCCGCACCGTGCTGCCTGCTGACAGCCTGACATTCAGCCTCCAAGGCTGTGATTAAAACCAGGAGTGACCCTGCTTCGTTCAGTGGTACTACTGTAAGTCAAGTGTCAACAGTCGGCCCTAGCTTGCTTTTACATATCCATAACCCAGTCAGGATTCAAGCTAGAAACATGCCTACTGAATTCCTCCCCGCACAAGCGCCCGCAGGCGTCCAGTGCCACAAAATCGATTTCACAGCAACCGACCCACCTCTGCCCAAATACAAGGGCCTGTTCGCAGCTTTGATTGACAATGTCTTGACCCCGGCAGAATGCGAGGAACTCATCCGCCAAGCAGAAGCGTCCACCGTCACCTCCACCTCCACTACCCCGACGTGGGAGCGGGCCATGATCAACGTCGGCAATGGGAAGCAGGCCCTAGCGACCGAGACGCGAAACTGCGGGCGGATCATCCTTGACTCGCCGGAGCTGGCCCAGAAGCTTATGGACCGACTGATGCCTTTCCTACGAGACTTTGGCCTCAAGCGTGTTGAAAACCAGCTCCGGGTGACCGGGTTGGCTGGCCGCAACAAGGTTTACCATCTCACGCGACTCAATGAGCGACTTCGCTTTCTGAAATACGAAGGGGGCGAGTACTTCCGACCGCATTGGGACGCTTTCTACAGGACTCCCGACCGCCAGGAACAGTCCCTCTACACCATCCATCTGTATCTGAATGGAGATGGGGAGCAGGATGTCAAGGAATTGAAACGCCAGCAGAAGCGCGTGAATGATGGCGGGGATGTGAACCTGGACGTAAGTGGAAGGCTTCTGGGGGGTGCCACCTCGTTTACCCCCCGGTATGAGGAGCAAGAGACCCAGGTTCGCGTGTTTCCCAAGACCGGATCGGTGCTGGTGTTCCAGCAGAATGACCTCCTCCATAGCGGGGATCCGGTTTTTCAAGGCACGAAGTATACAATGCGGACGGATATGATGTATCGCGTGCAGTGATTCCTGATCATATCATGTAATGCATGATGATGATATAGGAGTACGCTGTGCTTGGTGTTAAAAGGCATGTGGATTCCAGAGAGAAATTCCCTTGGGCTCCGAAGTTCTTCCGTGAGGGTTGGATAACTTTGTGAGACACGATGGCAATGTGTTTGCCTAGGGATGTCGAGTCAGATACGCACCACAAGGTGCACACACTACGAATAGAATGACAACTACAACCGTGCTGAGCACAGCAATTTAAGATCTCCAAAGAACAAAAAATCCTGAGGCATACACTGAGTAGATAGAGTATGAACGAGCACGTTCCTGAGTAAATCAATAGAAAAAGAAAAACATTTTTTTCATGTTAATTTATACTAGAATTTATGCAATGCAATGCTGGCATGCTGACTCAGTGACCCACTGCTCAGGCCCCTCAGGCATCTCAGACTCGTATTCGTTCTGGTGGCCTCTCACGAACCGGATTTCATTTCTTTCATTTCCCTCCGACCCACTTAGACTCGTCCTTACTTTCGATCCTCTTGCGATCATGCATCTCGCTTGTCGATGAAGGCCCGATATCACCGTGTATTCCGTATGTTTTTCGCCCGTTTGCTTTGCTGACTGCAAGATGATCAGGGGTCAAGATATTCAACCTTGATATGGAATGTTCCTGTTCCGCGACGAGACATTCTCTGCCTTTCAATGTAGAAAGATTGCGGGTCCTGAAACGGCCATTTCCATCAGAATGTGGCTAAACGAGGCCCCAATCGGTGTCTTAGGTTCCTCACGATCTGCCATTGCATCGTCGGAAGAGCCGGATCCTAGCCAGAGTTTGACATCATGGATCTAAACATGTGCCTAACAGCCCCCAATGACCGTGGTTCTCGCGGATCAGCTCGAGAAACGCCCCAATAACGATCCGCGGTTCTGCAGAAACCGATTTCTTAGTTGCGCTTCAAGCCTCCGTTGGTGCTTGGCCAAGCTTTCGCGAGTCTCCCTTTAACAGACTGCGCCCCCCTGGCGAAGGGCGACCGCCGGAATTTGGGTCTCAGTGTCTTGGGTAATTTTAAAGAAATCCCCCTCGCTCACTCTCGTGTCGGGGAATATTTCTTCTTGCTCTCACGCTTCATCTGCGCGAGTAGCTAATCAAAACGCTCCTCGACATGAAGCCCTCCGCAGCTGTTTTCGCCCTGGCTGGGCTGCTATCCGGTGAGTAGGCTGACTTTCGTCTCCCCCTCCCTCCCTTTTCGTCCTTCAAATATTGCAAAAATTCAGTTTTCTGATAACGGTGGGGGCTATCTTGATAGGCGTCACGGCTGCCCCTGAAAATATTCGAGGGGAGGAATTGATGCTGCGGGCGCTGCCCAATGCACCAGATGGATATAGACCGACATCTGTGAGCTGTCCGGCCAGTCGTCCGACAATCCGTAGCGCCGCCAAATTGTCGCCCAATGAATCGGATTGGCTCGAGACTCGACGAGGCAAGACGAAATCCGCCCTGAAAGACTTTTTCGGCCATGTCACCATCAAGGATTTCGACGCCGCGGGATATATCGACCGTGTCTCCAGCAACTCGTCCAACCTTCCCAACATTGGTATCGCGGTTTCGGGTGGTGGTTATCGCGCTCTTATGAACGGTGCCGGGGCGATCAAGGCCTTCGATAGTCGTACGGAAAACTCGACGAGCAGCGGACAATTGGGTGGATTGCTACAATCTGCAACTTATGTGGCCGGTCTAAGTGGTGGTGGTTGGTTGGTGGGCTCTATCTACATCAACAACTACACTACCATTTCGAACCTGCAAACACATGAGAAGGGCAGTGTCTGGCAATTCCAGAACTCTATCTTTGAGGGTCCCGATAGTGGAAGCATTCAGATCTTGGATTCTGCCAGCTACTACAAGGATATCCACGATGCGGTGTCTGAGAAAAAGGATGCAGGGTTCAACGCGTCTATCACGGACTACTGGTATGTTTTACGTTCCCTTCGGAATCGATCATAGCCTAACATGTTGCTTTTTAGGGGTCGTGCGCTGTCGTACCAGCTTATCAACGCTACCAACGGTGGTCCTAGCTACACCTGGTCGTCCATTGCTGAGACCGAGGCGTTCAAGAACGCAGACATGCCGATGCCCCTACTAGTTGCCGATGGTCGCAACCCAGGGGAACTTGTGGTGAGCAGCAACGCTACGGTATATGAGTTCACTCCATGGGAGTTCGGTACTTTCGACCCCACTGTTTTCGGATTTGCGCCCCTCAAGTATCTTGGCTCGGCGTTCGACGGCGGTTCTCTGCCTAAGGATGAGAAGTGTATCCGAGGATTTGACAATGCCGGGTTTGTCATGGGTACTTCGTCCACCCTGTTCAACCAGTTCCTTCTGCAGGTCAATTCGACATCGCTTCCCAACTTCCTCAAATCGGCCTTTACCGACATTCTGGAGGCAATTGGCGAGGATGACGAGGATATTGCGCAGTATACACCCAACCCGTTCTATCACTGGTCAAACAAGACCTCTCCTGTTGCAAACCAGAAGGAACTCGACATCGTGGATGGTGGTGAGGATCTTCAGAACATCCCGGTCCACCCTCTGATCCAGCCCGAGAGACATGTGGACGTCGTCTTCGCTGTCGACTCCTCGGCCGATACCGAGTACAGCTGGCCCAACGGAACCGCTCTTGTTGCTACCTACGAGCGTAGTCTCAACTCTACCGGTATCGCCAACGGCACTGCGTTCCCTGCAGTCCCCGGACAGGATACCTTCGTCAACAACGGACTCAACACGCGCCCGACCTTCTTCGGATGCAACAGCACTAATTCCACGGGCACTGGCGTCACGCCCCTGATCGTCTATATTCCGAACTACCCCTACGTGTCGTACTCCAACATGTCGACCTTCGACCCCAGCTACGAGGAATCCGAGCGTGATAACACCATCCTCAACGGATACCACGTCGCGACCATGGCCAACAGCACCCGCGACGGCAACTGGTCTACCTGTGTGGGCTGCGCGATCCTGAGCCGATCATTCGAGCGCACCAACACCAAGGTGCCAGACATTTGCACCCAATGCTTCGACCGATACTGCTGGGACGGCAGCATCAACGCTACCAAGCCTGCCGATTACGAGCCTCAGGCTTTGTTGGGCGCGGGTACCACTCTTGGCCCTGCCTTCGTCACCAGTCTTTTTGCGGCTGGTCTGACTCTGTTTGCTCTGCTCTAAGGGACAGGACTGCAGCAGTTTGTACGTTTTTTTTTTTTTTTTTGGTCTTGTTGGTTCTGGGTTTATTTTTGGTCTTCGCACATATCCCATTTGGATTTCCTTGTTTTGGATATCAGTATACCAGTATATAGTCATAGGTCAATACCAGGTGATTTCGGATAATTTAATGAGATTTGGTTATCAAAAGAACCATCCATCTTCATGATGTTTCCCGGCATCTTCGCTCAGGTAAACAATGAATGTTGAGCTGAGTACGGTTGGCTATAGAACAGTCTTGAAGATGTCAAAACATGTGATATTGACCTCTAGAGCATTTCTTGTCGACAGTTTTGAACTTATGGCAAGTATTAGGAACCAATGGGTTTAATATTTACGTAGTATATCATGGTCCCTAGATGCTGCTATCCGAAGCCTGTTGCGAGGATATATACGTGCTACATTAGCCTATATTACCCCCAGACTACAGGACAAAAGCCGTGATAAGACAAAAGTAAAAAGAACAACGATAAGATCGAATGATATTAAAATAGCGAGCAAAGTAAAATGAAAACCCAAGAAGTGAAATCACAACGGTCGGTGAAGGCGATCCCCGTGACCGGGGCGGGGGCTATCATCGCCGGGGCAACGACCAGCTGTCCGCCCAAACAAGCAACAAGAATAAAAGAAACCCAATCAATCGACCACCTCTCAGCCGCGTCCTCGAATTTATTATCTAACCTTGCATATACAGCTTTTGTTTCGACTCAACCGACCCTCCGAGCATCTGTCATTGTCCTCTGCAGTCTCCGCGCAGACTCACAATGACCATTTCGCCCTCTCAGTACTAATCGACCTCCCTTTTCTTCCCCTTCCGACCGCACCCACACAACAGCGACAAGGGAAGCCGACAGAAGTCCTAGCTATCCGCGGGACAAAACAAAACCCACACACCGTTCAATAATATAGACAGCAAGCTTGCATTCACCATGGCTCGAGCAGCTGTCATCCCGAAGTCGTCGCCCCCTAAACGGGCCACGCGCACCACAGCGAAACGAACCACTACGTCAACGACGACGACAACAACAACCAGCAAGACCACGAAACCAGCACCCACCAAGTCAGCAACGCGAACGACGACAAAGGGCAAGGCCCCTACATCGGCTACCGAAGCCAGGAAACGGGGCGTGCGAACCGCAGCGGCGGCGAGTAACCCGGTCGAGGATAGCTCGGATGATGGAACCGATGATGAACTTGGAGACGTGGACACTAAGCCGAAGAGTTCTACGACGAGGACGAAAGCGAAGTCGTCTGCTCCTACAACTACAACGGCTGGTCGTGGTAGGCGGACGGCCACGACTGCCACGCCCGAGGTAGAGAGTGACGAGGATGAGGATGAACTTGCTCAGACTGAGGCCCCTAAGAAACGTGCTGGACGGCCAAAAGCTAGGTCTGCTGAGCCTGCCGAGAAGCCTACAGCTGCGCCTAAGACGAGGGGAAGACCCAAGGGCAGCGGAAAGACAAACGCGACTACTGGCAAAGAAGGCACACAGAGGAAGACGCGAACGCAGACGAGTGTCGAGCCTGAGCTTGAGGCTGAGTCTGGAGTCGAGCAGGCCCCGAAGGAAATCTTTATCACAACGAATTCTTCCAGCATGCGATCGAATATACTACGTGGTCCGGCCAAGAAGAAGAAGGTCACTTTCCGTGACCCGGATTCGGAGGAGGATATGAGTGAGCCCATCCCTCCCCCTGCCGGGCGGAGAAGGGCTGCTACACCTGCGAAGAAGGGCGGTCTTGCAGCCAAGCCTGTTCGTAACTCTCCTGCAGCTTCCGGTCGGGGCCGTAAACCGGCAGCCGCCAAAAAGGGTACTTCGAAGCCTCTCTCGCCCAAGAAAGCAACGCAAGTTGCCAAGTCGATCTCGTCGTATGCCAGCTCGGATGGCGAAGAGGACGAATTGAGCGTCGCCAAAAGCCCCGTCAGGATTACTGTCGACTCTCCCACAAAACACGGATCAACAAAGACTGGACTAAGCTCCCCGGTAAAACGAATCAACTTTGCTTCCGCCTCGCCTAAGAAGAAAGTCGACGAAAATGGAGAGCCGACTGCTCACCTGCCCATGCCGATGGATTTCAGCGAGTCTCTTTTTATGTCTAGTCCCGCTCGCCGCCCTACCCCATCGCCTTTCAATTTCACAATGAGGGAGACTCCTAGACGTGGTGGTTTCACCGTGCGAGAGGATATGAAGGCTTCCAATCAGCAGGATTCGACACCAACCAAGAGCTCGCCACTTAAAGCGTCGCCTAAGAAGGCTAAGCTGGAGACACCGAGACGTGGTAATCTGAACTTTCTCGGTGATAGCGGACCCCTATCTCAGCCTAACTTTACCCCCGGACACACCTCTCCCCTGAAATCTTCGCCTAAGAAAGGTCTTTTCAGTATCTCGCTTCCCTCACAGCCTGCGCCGCCTGTATCATCAACCCCGCTGAAGTCCATGAGCCTGCTGCAGAGCCCCGCAAAGAGAATAGCTTCTCCGTTCAAGAGTTCTTTGATGAGAAAGTCGCCTTTAGCTGAAGATCGTGAATCGGAAGATGAAGATCACGCAGAAAGCTATACGCCAACTCAAAGCCCTCCAAAACACGTGGATTTCGACGAAATGGACGACATAAAAACGGAGGATGACGACCATGTCGATGCTGCTGAATTTGAAGAAGCGGAAGGCAGCCTCCCTGCTGAGAATCGAATGGGGACTCAGCCAGAGACAGAAAATCACGCTGAAGCCGAAGCTTCTGAAGTCTCTGACGATGAGCCTGAAGAGCAACCCCAGGAGTACCCCTCCGATCACGTCGATGACCATGACTCAGCAATCCCTAATGCTCATGAAGACCCGATGGACCCATTAGAGCTCCAGGCTCAAGAGTCTGCAAGCGAGCATGATTTCGAAGAGGAAAATGTGGACTCTGAAGCTGGAGAAGATAATCAGGAGGAGGAAGTTGAACAAAACGTTGAATCGCACAACAACAGCCATCCTGAAGATACCCAGCCAGTCTTTGAATCCCATGAGGAGAAGCGGGAGAGCCTCGCAAACGGTAATATTGAGAATGTTGAAGATGAGGATGAGATTGCTCATGTGGAAGAGAAAGCGCATGATGCTGAGGAGGATAAAGACCTCGTTTCTGAACAAGACCATGAAACAGCTCATCTGACGGAGCCAGAGCAAGCTCAAGAAGACACTGTCGAAAAAACGCCAGAACGTTCAATCATCAGAGAGGAGGCTACTTCCACAGGCCGACGCAGCCTTATTGAAGGCCTTGAAGACGTCTTTGTCGACGCGCCCCTTCCTGCCGGTCAGCTTACTGAAGACCTTGACTCCATGAGCGGTGATGACATGTCAGTAGCTGGGGGCGAGGAGGTCGATATGGCTGAACCAAACAATCAGTACGACGAGGATTATTACGATGTTGGCGATGATTATGTATTCGATGATGACGAGGAGACCATCGTGGCATTTGAAATGACTGGACAGCAACAGATGTTCGATGCACCTGACATTGCCCACGAACAACCGCAAGATACTGCTCCACGTCAAGTTGAAGATCAGGCTCCACAAAGTCCAGTGGAATCGATTGAGCAACAAATGACCCAAGCGCCTATTAATGACGAGAATATTATACAGGAAAGCGCTTCTCGTGAAGTGGAGAACCGCCCTTCGTCCCCATCCCTACGGAATGTGGAGAGCTACCGCGAGGAGAAGGATGAGATGGACTCGAACGCAGATGATTCGTCTGATTCCGAGCCCAGTGCTGAGGGAAGCATACATGCCACCAAGAATGCTAGCCCCCAAGTACAATTCCAGCCGGAGCACCAGTCTCCTGCCCCGGCTACCGAAGCACCGCGTGGTAACCGCCCACGGTTCACGCTATTGGCCGATCAACTCAGCGGATGGAGGGCCAGCAGCCCCCAGAAGGCTGAGCCCAGACGCTCGAAACGGAGAGGTGTTTTCTCTCTTGGTGGAGGACTGAGAAGGTCCAGCGGTGTTCCGCGTGCTTCCCGTCTGTCTGGGCAGGTGTCTTATCCTGATATCACTGCCCACGAAGACAATCTAGCCCTCGAATCTTCCCATCAGGAGAACAACGTTGAGGATCAGAATATTACGTCTCATGCTGATATGATGCCCGAATCGGAAGCAATTCAAGATAACGCCCAGGAAATCCAGCCCTCCATCGAACAGCCCAACTTTGAGATTTTCAGTGACCCGGAACCCGAAGTTGTCCATACTGAAGCAGTTGATGAAACCAACTCTTCCGACCCGGTGCTGGCTTCTTCAAACGAGGATAAGGACTCAACGAAGCCTGCATCTCCCGCCCAAGAGGCTTCATTCGAGTATGATGACAACAAAGAGAACGATGATATCCCTCTTCCTGGGCCGGTGACTCCGATGAAAAACCGGAGCAACCAGCTGCAGACCGTTCATACGGTATCAAAGGTGCCTCTGAAGGGAGAAGGACAGATTTCTCCCTTGAAAGTATCTCGAAAAAGAGGCCTGTCGATGGGCACCTCGCCTACTCGGTCCTCTTCCAGGATCCGCAAGTCTCTGGGTCCTCTGTCACCGGCATCCCTGCGCCCACCTCCCAAGCTACCCCGTCTTCAGCAAGACACAATTCCCAAGCTGCAACCGAACACGTCCCGACGGAGGAGCTCCATGGGCCAACAGCCCAGAAGTGTCGCTAAACCTTCGCGTACCTCTAGCCCGGCGAAGAGTTCCCGGAAGAGTATCAGCGCGACCAACTTGGCCCTGCAGGGGGCTGTCGTGTTTGTTGATGTCCATACTACGGAAGGAGAGGATGCCAGCGGTATCTTCATCGAGCTTCTGCAGCAAATGGGGGCTCGGTGCGTCAAAAACTGGTCGTGGAACCCTCGTGCCAGTGTTTCGCCGGACGAGGACGCTCAAACCAAGGAAGGCCGAGTGGGTATAACCCACGTCGTCTACAAAGATGGAGGAGTTCGGACTCTGGAGAAGGTCAGACATGCGCGAGGCCTGGTGAAGTGCGTTGGAGTTGGTTGGGTTCTTGAGTAAGCGCCCCGCTCTTCGGTCCAGTGATATTTGAGTCTTAGTACTAACTTAATCTTCAGCTGCGAGCGAGAAGGCAAATGGCTCGACGAAGCCCACTACGCGGTTGACAGCTCCATCATCCCTCGTGGCGGCGCCAAACGGAGAAAGAGCATGGAGCCTCGGGCCCTCAGCAACGTCAACGGAACCCTGGTCACAAGCACCGCCGCTGCCAACAGCAGACGATCTGGCGCCGACTGGAACACCGTGGAAGAGTTCAAGCGCCACACCCCTACTCCTCCTCTCGAGGAGCCTTCCACGCCGACCAACAACCGCAAGTACGACGCCGATATCAACGAGCGCTACTTCCAGACCCCGAAGACGCCCGGCTACGGCTTCAACATCGACAACATCGGCATGTCCCCGGCTACTCCGTACTACCTTTCTCAGAGGAACAAGCTCGTGCAGCAGACTTGTCCTCCGAAACAGCTTCAGCAGGGCCTTTTTGAGAGAGCGGGCCCATCCGAGCAGCCTTCTCAGAAACTGCGGACGAAGCTGGAAGCCGCGAGGAGGAAGAGTTTGGCGTATAAGCCTAGAGTTGGGAGTCCATTGATTGAGTGATTTTTCTCTTCCTTCAGTGTTTGTAAATGCGCAGTTTCGTTTGGGGATTGGTTGGTGTTAGGTATTGGGATCTATTGCTTTTTTTTTTTTTGGTGATCAGATACATACCCCTTTGCAGAATGATTTTTTTCCTGTTTCTTATTCTACCTTTTACATGTGATATTCTTTTGATTTGTATCCATATTCCACGGATGTTACTTTATCTACCTATTCATCAATGAACAAATCATCAAATCTTTTATTTATTTCCTTTTGATTGATGCTCGTGAAATCCGATAATGTAGATAGATATAGGCCCATTCTTACATTCTTCGCTCAAATCCAAATCATGGTTGAACTTCAACTACTCATCGCAGCTCACCTCAGTTGAAAATTAGGAACGAAAACAAAAAATAAAATAAAAATAAAAATAAAAATAAACAGATAAATAAATCCGAACCGATGATGTTGGTATCATGTATTTCAATATCAAACCAAGCCCACCATGTTAAATGCATCCATCCACCGCGTTTGTCCATGTCTTCGCAATCTTGCAACGAAATATAACATGACTTGACTTTTGATTCTGAGGGAATTCCAAATGTAAGGCCCGAGATGGTTGTTGTAATTGTATTTTTTAGTTGTAATCGCAAGGTTCAAAAGGAGAAGTTTAGAGGGGAGGGAGGGAGGGTCAAGGGTAGAAGGTTGTGACCTCGGTAGGTAGATAAATAGATATCGGAGGTATAGAGAGACAGAGAGAGAAAGAAGGGGAAAGAAGGAAGAAAAGAATTGCTAAAGATCAATTCAAACAGTGGAAGAACCCCCCAACTCATCCCTCTCATCCATCTCGCGATAGAACCCAGCCACCAGAAACGCCAACTCCAGCGCCTGTTTCTCATTCAGCCTCGGATCACAGAACGTCGTGTACCGTTCGCCCAGACCCTCTTCCGTCAGACCGGCCGCGCCACCCACACACTCGGTGACAGCCTCACCGGTCAACTCGAGATGCATACCGCCAAGGAACGAGCCCGCGGCACGATGGATCTCCAGCGCCTGTTTCAGCTCAGAGAGGATATCGCTGAAATGACGCGTCTTGATGCCCGACGGCGTCGATTGCGTGTTGCCGTGCATCGGGTCGCATTGCCACACGGGGATGTGGCCCGATTGCTGCACCGCGGCGATGTGCGCGGGGAGGTGGGAGGCGATCTTGGAGGCGCCGTAGCGCGAGATGAGGGTTACTTTACCAATTTCGCGCGTGGGGTTCACGACGTCCAGGAGCTGGATGAGGTCCGTGGGCGTCATGCTGGGGCCGATTTTGATGCCGATGGGGTTGGCGATGCCGCGGAAGAACTCGACGTGTGCGCCGTCGAGTTGACGTGTGCGGTCGCCGATCCAGATGAAGTGCGCGGAGGTGGCGTAGTAGGATGCGAGGGGGTGGTTGTTCTGGTCTTTGGCGGTAGCGGTGGTGGTATGGGGGATGATGGAGGATGAAGAGGACGGGGTTTTGAGGAGGCGGGTGAGTGACTGTTCGTATTCGAGGAGGAGACCCTCGTGGCTGGTGTAGACGTCGACGGTCTCGACACCGCGATCGGTATCGATGCCCACGGTTTGCATGAACCGCAAGGCGTCCTTGACGCGGTTCACGATGTGCTCGTACTTCTCCTTGATAGACGGCGTAATGACATGGCCAAGTCCCCAGTCCAGCGGGGAGTGAAGATCCGCCAGACCGGAGGACAGAGATGCCCGGAGGTAGTTGAGAGTTGCGGCGGAATGGAAGTAGGCCGACACCAGTCGCGATGGGTCAGGCTTGCGTGATTCGAGCGACGCAGGGAAGCCGTTGATATTGTCGCCTCGGAAAGAGGGCATCTCCACGCCGTCGACCGTCTCCATAGGGCTGGACCGGGGTCTAATATCGTCAGCAACCAGTACCCAAGAATATCGTTTCACTAGAGAACTCACTTGGCGAACTGTCCTGCAATACGCGCAATACGCACAACCGGCCGATTGGCACCTATAGTCCCAAATCAACACCATGTCCTCTCAAACAATCCCACAACATAGAAACATGGAAACATGGAAAAGAGGCAACTTACCCCAAATCAAAACCAAGCTCATCTGCAACAGCAGCTTAACCTTGGCCTCAATCATATCCTGATTACAGTAATCGAACAGCTCCGCACAATCTCCTATACAATCATCAAGAGCTCAGACGCAAACCCAGACCCGGAAAGGGGAAAGCCAAGAGAATCGCACGACCCACCTCCTTGGAGCACGAACGCCTTCCCAAGAGCAACATTCCTCAGACTCGCTTTCAAACTGCTAATCTAATAGTCGGAAGTAGCACAGGTACAATTAGCCGAGCCCCGTTCGCACAGACTAGACAGGGACAAGAACGGGAACTAGGGACGCCAGAGCACATACCTCCTGGGTGGTCACCAGGGGCGGCAGCTTGCCCAGCTTCGTCAGGGCGGATTGCAGCCCCTGAGCATCGTCGTAGACGACGTCTTGCTTGATGGGCTTGGAAGTCCAGGCTAGAGGGGTAGCGTCGGGGGTCAGTTAGCGCGCTAGATCATGGGGTGGCTTTTTGTGTTGGGACACATTGCTTGCTTGCTAGCTAGCTAGAGAAGCATTGATATAAGAGAGACTAACACTCAGGAGTCCAATTGTCCATGGTCATGGTCATGGTCGTGTAGTGGGGGTGAATCTGAAAACGCCCAAAGATCGACAGCTAGTAGAGACGTCAAATAAAGTGGAACTTGCAGTTGTAGCACGCCTACAGGCGGGGCGAGAAAGAGGAAGAGAAAGAGAGAGGAAGAAGCCCGAGAATTGGGGAAGCTAGAGAGCACGATAGCCAACACGAGTCAAACCAGCAAAGTAAAGTAAAGGAAAAAAATTAAGAATAATACGAGGCAGTCGAGTTGAAGAAAAGCATAAGCCGGTTATTGACGGCCTGAGTCATCCCACCGTTGAATTCATTATGTAAGGGGTGGGCCTGGGAGCCTGAGGCCTGGGTGGGTTGACTTTGGTTATCGATAAGAAGACTGACAGACAGACAAACGTCATGGCAAGTCACGATCTTCCCTTCTACTACTCCATACTTGGCCTTCGACATTCCAACACATCATCCACGCAAGGGCTTCCATCCCATCCACCTCATCCTAACTACCCCATCTAGACACCTACTCTAGCCCAAATCCAACCCAACAAGTTTTACCCCCCTCCCTCCTTGTACCCCGCCCAAAAAAGAAAGACAGAAAGAAAGAGAGCCAAAATGTCCGACCCAATCCCCTCCGCCCACCCCGACCCGGACGCCGTGGACCAAAAACTCCCCGCGAACGCCGAAGACCGCAAAGCCGCCGCCGCGCTCTCCTCGCTCAACACCAACGGGATCGCCGCCGACTCCGACTCGGCTGCGAAGCCGTCCGCGTCGTCGGCGGAGCAGGAGGCGCTGGGGAAGGCGATGAGTCGGCTGGAGATCGCTGCGGGGACTGGGGGTGCGGCGAAACGCGGGGCTGGCGAGGCGCAGAAGAAAGGGACTGCGAGTGAAGTAGTGAGGAAGAAGGCGGTTAAGGTGGCAGCGGAGGATGTGGCGCTTTTGGTAAGGGGGATCGTTTGGCTCCGTTAAGGGGATCGTTAAGAGGTTAGATGGTTGACTGACTAACTGTTGGCAGGTCGAGGAATTGGAGTTGAACAAGATCAAGGCGACGGAGCTGTTGAAGGTGCATGATGGGGATGTGAGAAAGGCAATTAAGGCGTTTGTGACACCGGCTGTGGGAGCTTAAAGATTACATCCTGGTCGACTGGAGCCCGACCATATGAATAATGGATTGATGAACGCAATGAATCTATAAATTTAGAAATCTATCAACGCAAAACTGACCAGGGTATCCCTGTCATGAACATAAACGTGTCTCGTAAGTTGTCGTATATAGTCTCAGCCACCCACAAATGTATCCGATATCCCTCTTCTCTCATCGAGTATCTTCCGACTCCTCCGTCCGCTCCACGTTCTTTTCAATCCCTTTCCCCTCGTAAATCGACCAAAGGAGCATCCATCCTACCAGAGCTTCGAAGGCGAGAGCCCACCAGATGCCGCCGACCAGGTTGTACTTCAGCCCGAGTCCCAGACCCCAGCCACCAATCATCGGTCCGAGGGTACGAGCACCGCTCGATATACTCTGCGCAAATCCGTGCACGGTGCCGAGAACCGTAGGGTCCGTGACGCTGTTGTTCACGAGAATAATCGCGGCAGGCAGGGCAAAGGTGCGCGATATGACCTGCAATCCAACAACGATCGTAAAGGCCGGCCACACCAACCATGGGTATCGCGGAATCAGCACCAAGAATGGCATCAGCGCATACGCCACTGGCGAGAATGGCAAGAAAGTGCGATATGAGGTCAGAGTCCCCAATCGGGACTGAACCTGAGGGTAGACAAATATCTGCAGCGGAAGACCGATGACCCCGATAATGGCGGTTGCAAGGCCGACTCGGGACGAGGGCAATCCTAGCCCTCCTCCAAAGTGGAACCCTTCCCAGGTCTTTTCCGGGGCTCGCGGGGTCGGCAAAAAGGTGAAGGTCATCGAATTGAACGCACTGGTATGGAATGAAAGCAGAAAATGGGCCAGCAATGTAAGTAGCACATTGGGTGTCCATATCTGACGGAATCCTAGGCGTCTCTGACGAGGTCGAATACGAGTTCGAACTGGGCTAGAAGGTGCCGATCTGCTGGCCACGCTTCCATCGATATATAACGACTCATCATCGGCATGGCTAATTAGCGGACGATAATACCGACCAGGCCGCCGTGAAGACATCGACTTCGCCAACGTGCGACCCAGCTTTCGACCCCAGTCGCTTCGATGCCGTGCAAACTCATGCGTCTGTTAACGGGAATTAGCATCACGATGATCCAAAGCATACGAGCCTCACTTACCTCATCAAGTCCAAGCAAGACAGCAATCATAGAAACAAAAATGAAGATCGCACTGAGCACATTAGGCAAAGCAAACGGCCACCGCTCCATCCACCACACTCCATCCTTCCCACCAAGCACAGTGCCAGGGCCAAATAGATGAGGATAACTTTTCAGTGGATCCGCCAGCATACCACCAAAGACAGGACCGATAATGACACCAACATTGAAACACATCGGCAGCAACAGGAAAGCCCGAGATTGATACCTAGATAAAACAATTAGGTCAAACATTCGATCAATGCCGGGATCAAGCGATCTTACTTCTTTTCTTGAATGATCTCCGAAATCATCGTCCTCATAACCCCGACATTACTATTCAAGACACCACCCAGTGTCCGGAACACTGCAGCCACGACAAAGGACCTCGAGAACCCAAACCCTACGCACGAAAGACATGTCCCCAACAAGCCGATCAGAAGCACCCTCTTCCGTCCCATCCATTCCGCATCAGCTAGTCGGCCCCACCATACAGCCGTTAGGAACTGCGCCGCGGTAAAGCTACCCTGCAGGATACCCGCCTGGGCGGAGATGGTAGAATCCGGCAACGAGGGATCGAAGGATTTCAATTGATAAAACATATACGCCTGCAAGGAGGTCTGGGTGAGCGGTTCCGATAAACGGGCAAAGGTCAGGATGGCGAGTTGGCCCTTCTTAGGCAAGGAGCGCCATGTCACCGGCTTTTCGCTGGCGAGTTCGGAGTTCGCATCGCTGTGAGCGTCGGAGTTAGCGCTGGGGGGTCTCTCGGGGTGTGAGAGGTCGGGAGCGGGCATGAGAGTACGGCTCTCTATGGAATGGCCATCGTAGATGACGGTGTCGATGCTGTCACTGTCATCGTCGTTTGGTGGCGAACTGTGCCTGGCGGTATCCGAGGAACCTAGAGGAGCGGAGAAGGGCCGAGTAGAGTAATTGCCCTCGTGAGAGCCGGAGTCTACATGCTGGGTAGACTGAGGCCGGAAGTCATGTCGTCCAGTCGATCCCATCAACAAACGAGTTTTCTGAGTTATCTGACGATGTAATTAAAATGAGGAGACAATGGGAATGGGATGGATAGGATTGATAGGATCTTTGAAGATGACTATGACTGTGTTTTGAAGAGGCGACAAAGTTTGGTTCGCTCGAAGGCGCTCGGATTTATCGGCCTGGGGATTCGCCATGAACACTAAACCCGTTTGGGGTGTTATCTTATCGCTAACGCCGACAGTGCATAAAACAGGTTGTGAAGAGACGTTTACTCATCAACACTCAATTGTTTGGTTAATGCAGGATGTATCCAATCCCACACAACATTCAAGTCAAATAGTGTACACCAATGCAACCAGGCCGCCGAACGCCGTTCCTAAAGAAATCAATGAAAGGCGAATAATGAATGAGAGGGCAAAACAAGAATCCGGTCCTTGCCACGAGCCGTGAATGCTCAGGTAATCCATCAATATCACAAAAACAATCTTATGTTAGAAAGGAAAAGAAGACAAGAGAAGGATGTACAAGTCCACAAAACGCATTAAACAAACAAGGTATCGATAACTAATTATGACGACTGTCACCACTCCTGCCAGTCATGTCCATGGTGCTCTCGATGCCTTCCCAGGGAAGCTCTTCATCGTCATCCGAATCATACTCCGTTGCAACATTCTTGGGAGCAGACTTATCGGTAGTGGCGGCCACCTCCGCCGTTCTTTCCGCTCCGGTGTCGATGCCAATCGACTGCAATGTCACCTCCATCTCCTGTTCGGTCATTTCTTGTCCATTCTGCTTCTGGCCTTCGAGGACGTCATACAGAGCATATATCTGGTCAGCTTTCATATCCACATCCTTCAGGAGCTTCTCGATCTTCGCACTCAGCGACTTTCGCTGCCGCTTGCTGAGGGATGCGTCCAGCTTGTTGTAGGCTCCTTGGTAGGTTACCAGCTGTATTTTCAGGTGTGACAGCTCGTCCTCCAGAGCTTTCAGTACCGTAGCAAGAGCTGCGGCGGGGGCTTGGGCAGGCCGTAGAGTGGGTTCCTCGTTGTAGACAGCAGGCTGCGGCATACGCTCTGATACAGGAACGGGCTTGGGGATCTTCACAGATTCTTCGGTGTGGTCGCAGTGATCGCCAGGAATGGTCCGCTTGCAAACGGTGCAGTTCTTGCCATTGTGCTGTGTCGCACTATCGAGTGCCCGTTGTGCAGATTCGGGGAGCTGTTTAGGGTTCTCCGCAACAAGGTCCGGGCGACTGAGGGTGATGTCGGGAAGAATGAATGCAGAGGTCACATCTTGCGAAGCTTGACGTCGTTTGCGAGGCGCTGTCGAGTGATCCGAGTGGCGTCGCGGTCGCTCAATCGGCACGGACAGATTGCTGTCTTCCTCGGCCATACTGACTTTCGACGTTCCCGTCAAATCACCCATAGCAGAAGCCGGTCTGGAGGGAACCTGCTTGGTTTCTTTGAGGGACGATTTTCTTGGTGCTGCTAACTTTGAAACACTGGCACGATTTGTGTTTTGGGTATCGTTAGGTGCCTCTTCTCTGGATGTGTTCGACTGGCGTCGCTTGCGTGCCAGCCGTTCTTCTTCCAAGGTCTTGCGCAACTGAGCGATTTCACGTTCCTGCAGGCAGGGTTAGGATCATTGAATTGAGGCCAGACAGAAAATTATAATGAACTTACATCAACGAAACTGAGAAGCGTATCGTGCTCGGTTGCAGAAGACTTCCTGGTGTTGTTGGTAACCTCACCAGTGGAGTCCACAGGCTCGGTCACATCCACTTCCTCCACCACGACTCTCTTGACGCGCTGCTTGCCGGTGTTTGGCTGTTTCTTCGACTGCGACCGCTTGTCGGCTTTCTCGGTCTTCGACTTGGATGAACGCGGCATGTCAATTGAGAAGAGTGCCTCATCTGCGCGCTCCTTCTCGAGACGGGAAATCTCCCGATCAACTTGAGTGGAAATCTTGGCCCGAGAGTCCTCTCGCTTTCCAGCCTTGGATCGAGAACGAGTGCTCTTAGAAGTCACGTCCCTGGTCCCTTGCGACCCACTTACGCTTCTTTGAGTGTCCACTTGGCTGTCATCCGAGCTTGCATCGCTTGCAGCAGTTCGCTCCGATCGGTACGTGTCTTCACGGCTTTTCGAAGCATGTGAGCTGAGCTTCGCCAACTGGGCCGAGAGTTCCGCATTCTCCTGGCGAAGAGTCTCATTCTCGCTCTTGAGGTCCTGTGATTCAAGGTATGCCACTCCTAGCTGAGAGACAGCCATGTCGCGCTCCCGGTTCAGTCTTTTGAGGGCGGTTTCCTGCATCTGGGCCTTCCGCTCAACAAGATCAAGCTTGTTTTGCAGAGCCATATTGGCTGCGTCGAGTTCTGCAAAAGGGGGCGTTAGTAAATTCGAAAGAAGAGCAGACCATGATTACACTTACTCTGATTCTCGTTGATCAGACGGTCCCTTCCATACTCATCCTCTTCGCTATATCTGCTTCTCCCGTGCTTGTCCTTACGGGACTTGCCTGATTTCAACGACGCGTTTTCCTGTCTCATCTCCTCGATTCGCTTTTCAGCCTCGGATTTAGACCTCTCGAGCTCTGAGACCTTGTCCTGGAGCAGTCTCAGGGAGACAAACAGCGCCTTCTCGTCTTCGGGAATCGGCACGGCATCCAGGGGGATGTGTTCGCGAGTCAATGACACGTCGGCGGTATCGTGCGGCGGCGAGACAAAACGCGTAGTGCGCGCTCTATTTTGGCGAGTATAAACCGGGGTACCATCCTCATAAATACCCGAAACCAACTCAGACAGGTTGGGAAGATCCGGCAACAGGAAGGATTGCTGGGTAGCGGTGTCACCGGCGGCGTTCATCGACGCGTTACGCGTGTTCGAAGCGTATTTTCCCTTGCGCAATTCTCTCGCATACGCATCCTGCGACGCTCTTTCCACGGCGTCGGCAATCTGGTTGGATCCGAATCGCGTCGAGCGCGCCGTGCTCGTCACGGCAGGGGGCCGTTCGTCGACAACAAAGGAGCCATCGTACGAGTCTCGGACCTTAGCATGCATGTCGGATAGCGTCCGTCGCTGGTCCTTGCGGTTCGACTTGGACGATTGCGGGTCCACATTTTCCTTCTGAGCAGCGAGACTCGCGCGTCTCAACTGAGCATCTTTCCGGAGGTTTTCGCTAACCGCACGTCGAGGCGTGTTTCGCATGGCGGACTTAGGAGGCGTATGCGAGGTCGGGTAGTCGAGTCGAACGGCGGGCGAGGAGGACCGCACACTGTTCTCAATGCTCATGTAGGAATTACGCGAGTCATCGAGACGACGCGCCGGCTTGCTCGGACCGCGTCCAACTTCTAGAGAAATATCATCGTCGTCATCGTGGTCGTTGTCCTCCTCTGATGTACCAATCTGCGAAAATTCCGGAAAGAAGCGGTCCAGCATGGAGGAGTTGATGGCGTAGTCGGGCTCTTCCTGGTGGGACTCGTTTTTTCTCGCGTTCGGCTTCATGTCGGGGAGTTGGAGGCTGTCGTCGATTTCTTTGGTAGATGCAAGCGCCTCGTGCTCGGGGTCAAAGTCTGAGCCAAACGACGCGAAACTATTCGCCGTGTGGTCGCGCGACATGGCGAGCTCTCTTGAGTTGTTTAGATGGAAGCGCGCGTCGGCCGCGGTACCGGGGTCTCGATTCGAAAGCAGCAATTATAGCTGACACCTGGGAATTGATTGAGATAATAGTAGTATATCAGGCAATTAGGATACTGTATCCGAGCAGCAAGGCAATGGTATAACCTGCCACCGCTGAATGCTCACAGGCGCGGGAGAAATGGGGGGAGAGGGTCTTTCCGTCGGAAATGAGGAGGTTGGGAGTGTGAGTTGTTGGTTTGTTTACTTCCCGGGTGGAGCTGCCGCCGGTGCGACCGCCTTTTGGGTCCAGCAGTAATTCTTAGTGACTTGCATTCCCGGTGGACACCAATTTCAGGTACGGAGTTACTTTCTCTGGCTCAATCACTTCATTCTGTCTGGGGTACTAATATATTCAATAAAACCTTCAAGATAAATAAATAAATCTCGGCCTCCCTCTCGCTTTGTACATTGAAGACACCAAGAGGGAAAAATAAACGAAAAAAAGAAAAAGAATTGCTGCCTCCAGAACGCCTTGCTAGCTAATACTCCTTCAAACCCCAGCAAACACGGGGAAGGGGAAAATAATGAATAGAAAATGCCACAGATGCAAGATGATTAGGAAAGGAAAGAAGTATGCAAGTGCTCAAAGATCGTGAGAATCATGCTCATTAAACTGAAAGACGCACGCTCTCGAGGCAGGAAGGTCAAGAATGCAACGACCACAGCATAGCTTCTTGATGTAGAATGGGCATACTGAAGTAACAATTTACAGTCGGAAGAGATTGTATCTCATGTAGATTGGGTTTGTTGGTTGTTGGGAGGTATTTCAGGAGGATTCTGGTCACCAGGGTGGTGGTTCGTAGGGGTGGTAGGGGTGTTGTTGACGGGACTGGCAACGTCAATCTGGATGGTCGGCAGGGGTGTCAACTCCCGTAACCGGGGAGGCTGCTCCCCGCGGTCGAGAATTGGGCTCTCGTAAGGGGGTGCCTCCCCCCAGTCCAAGTGGTCGTAGTCCGGAGGCGGAATGCTGAGACCCCCAACATCTCCATCCTGGCCTGTCGAATGAGCCGAGTGGGTAGAATGGGCGTGAGATTCAGGTCGAGTCAAGGTGTCCGTTTCCGAAAAGTCGGACTGCATCGAGGAGTACGATTCGCCTCGAGAGTGGACGCTGGTCAGGATCGATCCGGACGACCGATCAGGCCCGTCCGTGTTTATCGAAGCGGCGTTGGACAACAAGGGATGACGATCTGAATCAGGCGACCTAGCGCGCACACGCGACCCGTCGTGACGAACCTGACCCAGCTCTGCGTAGGAGACACTGGAGATTCTCCGGTCACGACCGCGAGACTGATGCTCCGCCGCACTCAATGCCGCAGCCAAATTGGTATTGCTGCCATTGGCAGAGGAGCGACTTTCGGCGCGGGCGCGACTCTGAAGGCGAAGTTGTTCCAGACGGATATAATCCCCCCTCGCACGAGCATCGCGACGCTCTTGACGCCGGGCCTCACGGTCGGCTATTTCCTGTCGCCGCTGCTGACGGACCTGGTATAGGGATTCCATCAACTCCTCTCTTCGAGCCTCCTCTTCCTCCGCGGTCTCGGGGAATTCCATGACCACGTCCATCCCACCGCGCTCTCCTTCTCGGGCAATGATTTGCTCCTCCGGCTTCGGACTCGACGAGTATGCGGGCAGTGTTATCACAGAGCGGACCGATGTGTCGCGACGAACGTTACTGTTGGTGTTCATCTCAGATCCTCCAGAGGCGTTGTTGCCTGTCCCATTCCCACTCCCTTCTCGGGCGTGGGACGCCCCGTCGGGAACCTGACCATACGCAATGCCGACCGGCCATCGATTCCATTTATCCTTGAGGTACTTTCCGGGGATGTATTTGGGACGACAATTCATTCGGCGAAGGGCGCGCAAGGTGAAGTACATCATGAGGATAAAAGCCAAGACGAACACAATGCATGCTGCACACTAAATCCCAGTAATTGCTGCACGTCAGTAACTTGCAATTTCAAAAAGGACACCATACCCCGCGCGAGAGAGTGGGGGAACTGACGATGATGAAGATATTATTCTTGCCGCCGCCGTTGCTGTGCTTATCCTTGTCGTCCTCATTCTGACGGGCTAAAAGCCGCCCGGATTGAGGTGGGAGGAACATTTTCCGTGACGACCGATGATCCCGGGCAAGGCAGCAAAGAAGAAGCCCGTGGTATATCTTACTCCGAGACCATGCGCAGATAACGAGGGTACGGGGCAATCGACAGAAATTCAAGGGGGCAAGAGTGACGATCAAGTCAGCTCTGCATATACCCCGGAAGTGACAAAGGAGATCAACCGGGGGGGGAGAGGAAGAGGGAGAGTGAGATGGAAAGAGAGACGCAGCGGATATGACGGATAGAGTGAAGTGGACAGAGGCGGAGGGGAGGCTCGGCGATGATCAATCTGACATGAGCTGCCGACGGGGGCCTTGGAAGGAGTCGAGCACCAGTGGCGATGTATATATAGCGCGATCAATGGTTGGACGGAATAGGAGGTCGAAGTAGGAGGCTGACAACTTCCATGACCCGTGGGAGAAGCAGCGCTGGTTTTATCGGAAGACGACGAAGATTCGAAGAAGAGACGGAAGGAAAGGAAAGGAAAGAAAAAAAAAAGATGGGGAAGATGGAGAAGATGAAATCACAGCCAACGTAAGTGAAAAGCGGAGTTGGGAGTGTTTTTGTGGCTGGAAAAGGCTGGGCTGGAGTTGCGTTGCTGTCACGATTGACGATCTTGATGATGATGATTATCTCTCAGACTAGTGATACTCAATTAATCTCGAGAAAATTAGGGAAAGACGACGAGATTAATTGTTTAATTGCCCTGGTCCTGAAACCCGTGGATTATCATCTTAATAAATCTTTAATTTCTCGCCCAGCGTTTCTGCCTTCTCCACTTTGCTGCCATTTTTAGAATGCATTCGATTGATTATTCAGAATTATACTTGATGAAATTGAACAATAAAAATTCAATATTAAATCTTGATTAACCGCCGTCCTCCCTCGGTCCTTCCAATCTCGCAGTCCGGCTCGTGCTGGCCGCCTCGACTTTTGGACGAATCCACCTTGCTTGAAGCCACATCGTATTCCGCGCCCTCCTATACATCCAGCCACCCTTGCGATCTCTGTTCCGCAGAATATATAACTCTATCATTCAGAACCATAAACTATTCCTTTCAACTCCTTTCAACCATCTCGACCGATCGAAAAGTCTACTCAGTAGTATAGGAACCCCTCCCCATGCCCATGGAGATAATCCTCGGAGTTAAGTCGAATGTAACGCAGTAGCCCTGTAAACCCCGAGATCCTTTTAAGATGGCGGTTAAAGAAGCGCTCTTGGCCCTTTCTTTCTCCATCTCTCTCTCTCGTTCGATCATTATTGCTCCATTCTCATCCAAATACTGAAATCGCCTCGGCGCCTAATCCCATCGATCTGCGCTGCCAACCCTTAGCTGTTCTATTTCTGTCCGCCTGTCTGCCACCATGTCCTGTCCCGACTGTTTCTCCGGCCATATCCATGCTGGCTCGCCGCAGGGGAATGTGACTACTCTGCACGGCTTGGACGTTTACGTCGCGGAGCCGTCTGCTGGGTCCGATGCCGTTCGGGGAATTATTGTCATCATCCCAGATGCCTTTGGATGGGAGTTTGTCAATAATCGTATCTTGGCGGATCGTTATGCCGAGAAGGGGAAGTATAGGGTATATTTGCCGGATTTCATGAATGGTACATACAAACATGCTATCCAACTCCGGTTACGGTACTAGAGAGAACGAGAAGTCACTCACGCTTTCTTTATCGCTATATCCAGGACGTCCGGCACCCACCTGGCTGATCGGCACGATGCGCTCGCTGATGAAACCCAAGAACACCCTGCTTGACTGGGTGACCAAACCGTACGTCCAAGTCCCAGTGGTAGTTTCATTTAACCGACCCAACCTACCGGGTCTTTGACTCGAAAGACATATCACACCGACTGATGATGACGGTCTAGATACCACGCCGTATGGGCCGCCTCAGCCTTCATGCGATTCCTCTACTACAACAAATTCAGCGCCTCCTGGCCTATAGTCCGATCATTCTTCACCTTGGTGCGTCAAAACGAAGGCTCTCAGCTCCCCATCGCAGCAGCGGGCTTCTGCTGGGGCGGAAAGCACACAGTCAACCTCGCGCACGGAGCCGAGGTAGACGGGAAGCCCTTGATCAATGCCGGGTTCACGGGCCATCCAAGCCTGCTGGAGCTTCCCGGGGAAATCGAGAAGATCAAGATCCCGACTAGTTTCGCCATGGGGGAGCTTGACAACGCGGTGAAGATGCCGCAGATCATGCAGATCAAGGAGATCGTGGAGACGCGGAAAGGCGTCGGCGAGGTGAAGGTGTACTACGGCGCTGGGCATGGTTTCTGTGTAAGAGCGGACACGGCGTTGGAGGATGCGGATAAGCAGGCTGTCGAGGCGGAGGATCAGGCGCTGGATTGGTTTCATCGGCAGTTTGCGGGCATTGAGGTTGAGTGAACCGGGGTTCGTTGGGTTACTGGTACTGCACGAACTAACTATGTTTCCCATTTATTGGGGCTATTCATGACGGCTTAAAGGCTTATCCTATGAGATTGACATCACTTGTGTTCTGAGTTTTGGCCGTCTACCAATGTCCTCAGACTGCCTCCTGGCCGGGCGACAAGTGCCTTGTACGATCCCGTTTCCACGACACGACCCTGCTCCAGAACGACGATGTTATCCGCAATCTCCATCATCTCCCTTGCATGCGTGATGATGATAACAGTGAGCCCTAATTGGGCCGCGACCAGCCTCTGCACAGTCTGTCGGATCACCGCCGCGCTGGCAGGATCAAGACTCGCCGTGGCCTCGTCGAGGATCAAGACCTGTGGTTGTCGAATGAGCGCCCGCGCAATGACCACCCGCTGCGCCTGGCCCCCAGAAAGACCGACTCCGCCGTCCCCGATAACGGTGGCGTAGTCTTGAGGCAGCGAGAGAATGAAATCGTCGATGCCGGCGGCCTTGGCTGCAGCGCGGACATTACGTAGTGTGTTCAGCGGGGACCGTTCATCCAATCCGTAGCTGATATTAGCTTCAATAGTTCCCGGGAATAGGGTTGGTTGCTGCGAAACGACCGCTACTAAGGACCGAAGAGTTGGTGTGTGCAAGCGCCGGATGTCAATGCCTCCTAGTGAGACCGTGGGCCTGTTGTCGCTGGACAATGGGACCTCGTAGAGGGATAGGAGTAGCGACGCGATGGTCGATTTCCCTGACCCTGAACGTCCGACGATGGCCGTGCATGAAGCCTCGGGGAAGGCCATCGATACATGCTTCAGCACAAGAGCGTCCGATCGCGAGGGGTAGTGGAAATCCAAGTTATGGATTCTCACGGGGGCAGTCCGGGCGATGCCAAGGTCTCCGGAGTACTCGTGGGACTTCCCCTCGGGAAGGTTTGCAAGATGTAGGAGTCGAGAGCCCATTGTTCGCGAAGTACTAATTTGTGGAACTACTTGAGTGTTAATAGGTAGCTCCCCAGGGCGAGGAGCGGCAGTAGAACTTACTCCATGATAAAACGGTGCCCGCGTAGCCAATGCTGAAAAGAAGCATGGAGAAGACGGTCAAAATGCTATCGACTGTGAACCCTTCGTATGAGACCAAAATCGCGCCGTAGAAGAAGATCAAAGCTACAAGTCTCGTCAGTACCTTCCGGAACCCCAAGAGTGACATCACGAACCGCTGACGAATATGATAGTGACTTCTACCAAGCCAAACAGAATCCCCGTGTAGACTGCTTTTCTCAGGCCAGCAGTCACGCACCTCGCCGCCGCATTCATATGTTTCCGATGAAAAAAGGGCTCAAGAGTCAAGGTCCGCACTGTCCGAATCTCCGAGAACATCTCGATGAGCACTTCTGACGCGAGGTTCTTGGCCTCGGCACACCTCTTCTCCCACAGTCCACTCGTGCCATCGAACCCCTTCGAGATAGCATAGTTGACCGGTGCACAGGCCAGTGCGACAGCTGTAAGCTTCCAGCAAACGACGACGCTCCATACAACCGCCATGATAGTGACCGCACCGGCGACCAGAACGAAGCAACCGAAGCGACTGACGATATTTCGCATTTCTTCTCCATCCAAGGTGAGGTGTGCCGTCAGCTGAGAAGGGCCATGTCCTTCCTCATCGAACCACTTCTTAGGCTGGTCGAGCACACGTCGAAAGCCTCTTTTCCTTAGACAGTCAACCCAAGCCTGGCCGCATATCTCGAGGAAATAGTGCATAAAGAACGAGATGATTCCGTCGCCCACCGCAACACCTAGCACAGCTAACGCCCACTTGATGGAGCTGGAGTTTGGGTCGTAAAATGTCTGCAGAAGCTGGGATAGAAAGAATGAGAATAGAGGAGTCGTAGAGGCATGCCCCAAAGTGCATACACATCCAATAATCAGAAGGAGCCGCTGTTTTCTCGTCAGTGTTGGCACAATTGTCAGCATTATTCGGGTGAGCGATGTGGCGTTGCCTTGTTTGCGTTTGCGACGGCACATCACCGAGCTTGTTGACTGGGTTTGGATTGTTGCCTCAACCGGCCTCGGAGGATAGTCGTTAGAATAAGAAACATGGGAATATCTGGCCTTGCTGGTGCCACATGATTGCATATCATCAAGCTCGTACGCTGGCATATCAATTGTGCTGGTTGTGTCTTTCACATCGAGACTGTACCGGACCGTGAGAGGCAAATCCCAAGGGGAACCTAACGCATGCGACATACTCGATCGAGAATGTCTCCGCCTGCCATCTATGCCCACGCTTGAACGGCGTATTGCGGAATAGAGTCCGGGTGGTTCAACCTTGTGACTAACAAGAATTTTGTCTTCCTGCGGAACCAAGGTACCTGCGGAATTGCGGTCTTTCTTGCCATCTGGGAACAGCTGTTCGTTGCCGGGCACCTTGCTAAGCTGGTATCTGTATCCAGCCTGAGCAACTGATCCTTTATCAAGGATGTAAACAAAGTCATTCTCCCGGATCTGCGTGAGGTCGTGGGTAATGATGATGGTCGTTTTCCCTTTCCGCCATTTTCGGATAGCCTTCATCACTTCGACACGATTCGTGTGGTCCAGCGCACTTGTGGGCTCGTCTAAGATCAGTATCGGGGTATCTCTCAACCTAGCCCGAGCAATTGCCACCCTTTGTCTCTGGCCACCACTGAGGAAGTTCCCCCCTGGACCAGCCAGGGTGTCGATCCCGTTGGGTAGGCTCTCGATGACATTTTGTAGCATTGCCAGATTGATACTGTCTTTGAGATCATCTTTTTTCATGTCGTTGTAATCACGGCGCCTGAATGCGATATTCATGAACATGGACTCGTTGAACAAAACACTCCGTTGATCAACCAGTGTGACGTTGTTTCTAATCCAATTGATATCCAGGTTCTGTATGGGGGTACCATCGATGCGAATTTCTCCGGATGTCGGTAGATAGAACCGTGCGAGAAGCTGTCCCAGAGTGCTTTTACCAGATCCACTTTCCCCAATCACGAACGTTGTGTCTCCTGCCGGGAAGAAGAAACGGACAGATTTGAGGATTGACCGGTCAGGCTGAAAGGAGTACGAGAAGTTAAGCTACACCAACACATTGAGGTTAGCTCAAAGATTGCTCCATACTTCATGTGCATCTGAGACTTACGTTGTGCACCTCAATATCCCCTTCGCAATAGCGCGGGTATGACGTGCCTTTCATCTCCTCCGAATGAGGTGCGTCTTGAAAGTCAATGGTCTTCTTCAGTGCAGCCGCCGCAACCACTCCTTTCTCTATCACGATGACCTGCGGAAGTGCCAATTCCATGGACTGGGCTGCTGTCAAACAGGCCCAGAAGGTTCGCAGAACTTCTCCGGATGAAAGCTTTCCAGAAGCCGCCAGGTTGCTTCCGTACCAAAACCCTTGAACGAACATGCCAAAGGTCATTAATCGGAATGCTGCGATTTGCAAGGCGTTGAGGCGTGCTTGCTTGACATAGTGGGACGCAGCCTCATCGACCCTCTTCACGAAGTTCTGGTGTTCGAGTTTCTGTCCGTTGAGGCACTTGACCGCATCTATTGCGTTGGTAGCGTTGGTGACAACCTTAGAAGCTCCCGTCAGCTCGGCTTGTTGTTGCTTAATTTGAGGTTCCATCCTGGAGGACAGTATTGAGATGATACTAGCAAATATCGGAATTCCGGCCAGGGTAACAAGAGAAAGACTCCAGGAGGTATAGAATGCTAGACCCAGGGATATGAGGGCTCGAAAGGAATATTGTAATACTAGTCCTAGGGGCTGTGAGGTTGCCATCTGCAATTCATGAAGCTGACTATGGAACCATTTTAACATAAGGACCGAACCGAATAAGGGCGGGTACATGGATTCTTACGATTGCAAAGTGGACAGAAATGCCTTTGCACCGACCTCCTGGGTCTCAAACCATTCCTGATCCCTTCGCAGCAAGCCTTCGAATAGCTCCCTCCGAGCTTCTGCAACCTGTAGCTCCCCCAAAGCAACAAAAAGTGTGAAGTAGATTCCATTGCAGAACCATCCGATGACACCAAGGACCACCAGTTCGATGCAACCCTTTGCTGTTTTTTGGATCAGGTCCTGGCTGGAAACTTCACCTCCCCCAAGCAAAGTGAAAGCATCGAATATTTGACCGAGGAAGATAGCGAACACTGGGATCACGATACTTGCGGCCACGGTCGTTAGAAGAGCCAAGCCCAGGAGGGGGATGTGCTTTTTCACGGCAAAATTAAAAAGAGCTGCCCAGCGAGGCCTTCGGCGCAGGCGACGTACTGAATCCACGATGAAAGCAGTCATGGCGAGAAGTGACGGGCATGCGACGACGATCACTTCTTTCAAGAATCCGTGTAAAAGATGGGACGCATGGCTAGTCGGAATGAAGTGGGGCAAGATTTTGGGAGAAGATATGACAAGAAACTAGAGGAACTAAGAACTAATACAAAGGAATAGAAGAAAGCAGGCTGGAGCCATCGTGGTATACAGGAGGGGTCGAAACACTTTGTCGAGACGATCATCCTTGTTTGGGGATCCAGAAGCGGTAATATTGAAGCGATGTAAGCAGAGAAATCAATGGACCCGCACGAGTCATTGTTCTCCGATCAGCCACAAAGATCCACGCGCCGCTCTATTCACCAGGCAGGCCCGACGACCGCGAGCTCCGGGCCTTCCTGCTCTGTGCGTTCATAGACGTAGGAGGATCAGGATCGGGTTGGCGATCGCTTCGCGTGCGGGAAGGACCCGCGTTCGGAGGGGATGGACTCATGGATAATTTGACGGGTCGAGTAGGGCCTCGTTGTATGTTAACTGAATTGAAAAAGCCATGTACTATTAGCCAGGTCATAAACATTCGGCTATCACACCAGAGAAACGAACCAGAATCTTTATCCATAATCACATGAGGGCAATCACCATCTTGGCGACCGTCCTGTAATGCTACCACGAACTGGCGCTGTTCCCTGATTTCAAGACGATCCTTTGTCTTCTTTGTGGGTATCACTGCTGTGAGAACCTCAGACTGCTCATCAAAGCCACATTGCACCTTTATGATGGCATGGCATCGATCGAGCGATGTGGCTGAAGTTGGGACCTTCCCTTCCTCCACGAGTCTAGCACCTTCGCCTATGAAAGATGAGACTCGGAGGACGCCAACAGCCCGAGAACTGTTCCCCCGATAGAACATCACATGCACATCCTCAGCAACAACCTCGACCTGATCGCTTCGTCGCGCCTTTCGACCGGGCTGCTCGTCTGCGTTGGGAGCGTCGCTGTTGTGAGTATCGTCGCCCTGATAGGTGCCCCTCTTTCGTCTGGATCGTTGGTAATTGTTCTCTAGCAGGGTGAGATAGTACATTGACTCGACCACCAGGTGGTGCTTGTCGGTGGCGTCGTACTCCTTCGTAATCCAGTTCGGGAGATTGTAAGTCCCCTTCTCGAATGCCTCCTTCTAGCGGGCTTTGATGACTTTTGGCCCGTCTTTCCTTTTTAGATTCTCCATTGCAGAGTTTGAGCGATAAACTTTCGGACCTCAGCTCTTACAGCGTCGTGATCCTCTACCTTATCGTCTGGGAATGTATTCCAGACCTGGTCAATGTTGTTGACTTTTCCGTTGAGCTCTCGCATTCTGACGAAAGGGTCTGTTGGCTAGACCTGTGGCAGGAGGGAATCAGTCTTGTATAGGTTGTCCTATTGAAGCTGTGCCAAGCGATGTACCTAAGCGGAGTTTCTCAGGGCTCAGCAGTCCAGCTAAACCACACATTTCCTTTCGAGGGGAGATGGATTGTTCCTTCGAATAACTCCACCAGAACAAGAATCGAGATAGATGGTAGGGTGGAGGGTATCTGTAGGAACATGCAGACAGACAAGACTGGCAGAGTAGAACAGATAGGGGCAGACGGTAATGATGGAATGACCCGGTGACGATTCGATCAACTTGATAGCCTAAAGGAGGCGGTGTGAGAGGAAGAAATAGGACAGGGTCAGCTAGATCATTCTATTCTATTTTCGTCGCAGTCCACGGGCAGCAGTGTATAGTAGTGGGTAGTAGTATGTGCGTATGTACAAAAAATATATCTCCGGGATAATTCCAATGGTTCCGCGTGTCGAGGGAAAATGTCTAAACCCATGTCGATATTGGTTGAGCAACGCAAGGTTGCCGGCGCGCTCGGGAAGGTTCCGAAAAGCAGATATTCCCATTGTACTGCGTTGAAGACGAAACCTAGAGCCGTGGCAGACCGACCTTTGCGCGCTCTCTAGCCACAAAGTCCCGTCAACTGCAGTCCCACTTGGCCCAGAGAATATGGAGGTTCAGGGATTTGGTGATCAGCTTTATTTCTTCGATTTCTCGTAGATCCAATCGTTCAAGCCGGCACGGTTCCTAGCAGATGTTAGAGTCTCATCGTGGCATATAAGAGTCGAAGTGCAGTCTCACCTGGCAATCTCAATGGCGTAGAACTGCATGCGCATAGCTACATCCCGCACTGTTAGTTCCATCTTCATGGCGACACGTAGGAATCAGTCGCAGACGCGCAACTCACCAAAGATCGTAGTCTCCTGCTCATATTCAAATTTGGGGTTGGACCGCAGCATGGTGCCGAAGTTGAAGTCGTCAATCTTGCCCTCATACTGGTTGATCCAGTTCCTCCACTTCTCCTTGCCAGCCTTGCTCTTCATCTCGTCCTCATTGATCGTCTCGGCCGGGTTGAAATCGGGGAACTCCTTCATGAAACTCTCATAGATCTCGTTGTCCATCTTGGTCAACCGAAGCTGCGAACCCGGAACCTTCTCGAGGATCGACCAGTACGTCATCAAGTGCTCGACGGCTGTAAGAGGTGAGTATTAGGAGTACATCGGAGCGCGTGTATGTGCGACGTACCCTTGACGGCGAACTGCTTCTCCATCTATATATCGAATAAATAGGGTCAGTTTCGCCGATACCGAATGTCGCGAGAAGGGCTGCCTGCAGAACTCACATCCTCAAAGTTCTCCGCCGTCTCCGGGTCAAAAGGCTTCGACATTTTGGCGAGTGTGACTGGTATTAACCAACTGGATTAAAGAAAAGAGGTGTGGATATGAGTAAAGGGTGTGCACGTCCAAAAGCAACGACTTGTGGAAGAGTTGTTCGGTCGCAAATATTGAGTTGCCCCGCGATTTTTTTTCTGTCGGGCGGAGATTTTTCGCCCCGCCGCACTTCTGTACGTCATCCGCCGCTCCGGTTCCTTTGCCTTCTAGATGGCACGATTACGATCTATTATGGCCTGGTGGGATTGATAATACGAAGAAGTGATGGAGTATTGAGTTTAAGGTCAGAAGAATATATCCCATGTGGGTCACTCAAAGTGCCATTTATTCTGGGTGCCCTTTCACATTGAAATGAGTTGACTATGAAGGAGAATTCGAGCTCTAATTAAGTGCAAACACTCCAGGTAGCTTTCTGTTGCTAGTAGTTGCTCATATACATTACCGCAAATGAGATTAACATTTTCAGCCCAATTTGATTAGATTCTCATCAAATTCAAATGTGAGTATAATTGCAAAAGAATTATTCAAATGGTGTAAACAGGGCACTTCAAACCATTATTTGAGGCATACGCAAGGCCCAGGAAGGATGATCATCTAATCACTGTCTGAGTCGGATAGTTCTTGCAATCTCCCTTCATGTAAAGCTTGCGTGACTGGATTCTCGACGTTAAGGATACCGTTGGCTTTGGCCCTGCTGAGGGATTAGCAATCGAATGCGGTCATGGGGAGTCCAAAAAACATACCTTTCAAACAGAACGAACAATCTTTCCGCTTCTCGTTCCTTCTCCTCTCTAGTCATGGGCGGGTCCGTGTCCTGTTTTTCTGCATCCCACCTCTGTCCAGTTATGGGGTTGAGTGCCGGATCGAAATCTTCAGCAGCGAATGCTTCCCCTGCTGTCTGTGGGATTTCCATGCCGCGGGATGCCAGCAGACCTGCCGCAAATCCATACCCAATGTTTTTCGTAAGGTTTTCGGCATTCTTCCCAGAAAGTGTGAACATGAGCTCGCAAATAGCAGTTTTCAAATTGGCGTAGGGAGCGGTAGAGAGCTTGAGCAATTTGGACGACAGTGTATCGGATTGTCCGATAGGCCGGCTCCGATCGTTTTCCTCGGGCAAGAGTAGCCATTCCATGTATTTACGGGGCCCATCCGGTGCAAGGTCGTAGATGGTGATCAAAGAGTGGAGGAGTGGGATAGCCTTGGTTTCGAGGTCACTAGGGCTGTACAGAGATGTTGCTTGGTCCAGGATATTGATCAGTTTGTCAACGTTGCAGTTTTGGTTAAAAGTCGGAAACAAAGGACTGCTCTCGAAAGGTTTGCCCTTCTTGTTCTCTAGATCGAGAGTTGACAGGCAGTTGAGGAGGTAGCTGAGTAGACCATCCAAGGGCTTTGCAGGGATGTCTATACGGCTGATGATCTTGAAGATGTAGGGGATTGAAGGGGCGAAGGCCGCAGCAAGGTCCGGATACAGCTTGGAAACATTGAAAATGAGCTTCAAGGTGTCGATAAGAGCCATCTCATCCATTTGCGAGAGATGCTTTTTCCCGGATTTGGGAAACTGCTTGGCATGACGGAAGATTTGCTGCAGAGGTTTTGTCAGCGGGATGATAGCTGGTACATCTAGAACCAAACTTACATAATTGACATTCTCTCCCAGGGAATGATGGTTTATGAGCTTCTTAAAGTCCATTGTAGTGTCGTAGGTGGAGAGAAACAGTATGCGACTGGTTACCATTTCATCTTCCGATGACTCGGTCTTAGACGGGTCAGCTTATGAAGAACATCCAACTCATGCATAGATCTTCTGGGTTACCTTGAGCATTTCTGCAAGCTTGCCGCCGTGGCCTGTATCAACAAAAAGTTGCCGCATGTTCGGATCTAACAGCAGCGCATTTGCGACGCAACGCAACGCAGCGCGCCGTATGTCTACAGTGTCACCATCAACCCCATACTTGGCCAAGACCTCCATTCCCTGCACCTTGTCAGCGGGAAGTCAAATCACAATGGTTGTGAGAGAAGTCAGTTTACCTTTTTCGAATATATAGCGCCGGCATTATCCGGATTAGTGCCATGAAGTCTCAACTGCAAAAGTATTTGCGCCCGATCTGTGTGGTTTGGTCAGACAAAGAAACGGATTCAAGGCGACTTTGGTGGCTTACGAGAAGAGCTGAGGGACTTGTCCTTCAAGTCCCTTTCGAGCAGGCCGAAGAGCTCCGTTACTTGTTGCAGCTTCTCTGTACAGAGAGTGATGTATGGTTAATACGAATTCGGGCAAACTATGTCAGACTGGCTGGGCGCATACCGGAGCCTTGCAGTGCCCGGGCCTCCATGTTGGTCTTTTGTTCGCTCTCCCCCCGCTTGGAGAGCCGAGCTAAAAACCGGCGTCGACTGCGTTGGGTTAGAGCTGGGTGGTGGCTATTCAGGGAGGGAACTCACAGGGCGCCGGTAGCAACGAGCCGGTGGTTATCCAGAAGGAAGAGAGGGTGGTGAGGTCGGCTTTGAATAGCAGATAACAGAAGGCGTGATGACCACTACGAAATGAGTATGCAGAGAAGAGTTTTCAGAGAAGGTTAGAAGGAAAGCCACGGGCCAGTGGAAGAGAGTCCCGGGGTGAAGAAGGATGCTGTTGTTTTTGTTAGAAGAAGCTATTGTTGGATGGAGCAATGAATAGGCGGGCCAAACCCCACCAGAGCTCAATAATACTAAAAGATGCCGTCGTTTTCCGGGGATGGCATTGCTTGGCCCATCTGCAGGAAAGGGAGAAGCAAGAAAGAAGATGAGGAGGAGTGTTGATGGTTTTTGAATCTCACTTTAAACCTCTTTCTGTCTTTCTTTCTTCCTGGAAGGATTTCAGGGGAGGAACCCTGGAAGATCTGGCTGGGTTCTTGCCTGAGGCGCCCATCTCCCGCCCGAGGTATCTGCCTGAGGCACCAGTCGCGCCACAGCCACTTTACGCGTGCCTCAGCCACAGGCGCGTCCTTCGTGAAGACTTGGCGCGGCTCCCCAGGATCTATCGAACATCTTGCCTGCGATCTATCGCCCCGTCTCGACACCCGGCCTCCTTCAATTCTTAGTCCCCGATCACGGTTCTTGCTTGGGCGGTGGACACTGTGGTCTGAGTGCATCATCGACTGGCACCGCGATGTTCCTGACCCTCTCTCACCTTCAATCCGCTCCTTCATACCCTTTGATTCTGTGAAATATGGTGGAAGTTTTCGGTCCTTTGTCTGCTCGTCCGCCTACTCCACCAAGGACGTCGTCCCGTGCCCTGCCTGAAAGAGATCGAACGGAGGATTCCCCGGTTGTCGCGCAGACGCCTGGCCCTTCTCCATTCGCAAACAATGCATCAAACGGTGTTCCGTCTAGTCGACAGTCAAAACGTGTGAATTTCTCGCCATGGACGAAATACATCAAGCCTCCCTCCTTTGCCATTACCATCGCGAAGCCCAAATCTGACCTCAAAGCTCTGCCGCCCTCCAATGAATGCAAGCCCTCCAAGTCGATCCTCAAGCCGACAAACTCTCCGGCCCCCGTTAATTCGCCGAATGTCACGTCCCATACCCCCGAATCTTTCGTCATGCTATTGAAGTCCATGACGTCGCAGCTGGCCGGAGAGTCGGCTAGTTCCCGGCTCGATGCCTACATGCAGTTGTTTGGTGCGTTGCGGACATACGATGGTCTTCCGGGACAACAAGAAGTGGCGGAGTGCTTGGGGTTGATCACGCAGTTCATCCAGCGAGATATCAGCAGGAATACTGAGAATATGGGGCCACTTGACACAAATTTGGTGATTCAAGCTTTGAAGCTCTCCGCGGCGTTAGTGTGGCAGACCGATATCTCTGCGCAGTTGTCGGACGAATTCAAGGTCTTTCTCATCGAACACTCCGTCAATACTCTTCATAATAGCAAGGTGCCAAAATCAATTCTGACACATCACATGTCGATCCTGTCGACGCAGAATTTCAGCGCGAAAATTATGACCACTGCTCGCCTCTCACGCCTACTGACAGTTTTGCATGACCTTACGGATCGAGTGAATGGTGGCTCCATTGTCTCGCAGCGCCTGAGTATCTACCAGCGCATTCTCAACCAAGCGAAATCTACGTTCGTTACACAATCGTTGTTATGGATGGAACATCTGATATTTGGCCTACTGCATCACATCAAGGATATCAGAATAAAGGCTATTTCGCTGGGCTTCCAGGTGTCTATGATATTCGGCCCGAATCCCACGCTCTCCAAATGCATTCAGGATATCTTTGATCGTTCCCTGGACAAAGGAAGAAGACTGGTCACTGAGATATGCGAGCGAATGGTGCGGATGATGGCCAATTCCGACAGCGGTATTCATGTTCCTCAGGTTTGGAGTGTTGTCATTTTGCTCTTAAGGAATAAACGTCTGAATGTCGATCATTGGGATCACTTCAAGGAATGGGTTCTTGTGCTCCAAAAATGCTTTAATTGCAGCGACTCCTCTATCAAGGCGCAGGCTATCGTCGCATGGAATCGCTTCGTTCTAGTTGTCAGTCCGGATGAGACGACCAATCGCTCGTTGTTGCGAATGCTGAGCAAGCCGATATTATCACAATTTGAGCGAAAAAAACAGGACAAGGGTGGATCGCAGCCCAGTCAACTGGTGATGTGCAGCTATTACAACCTTTTGTATTACGCTTTCCGTCCGTCTGCATCGTTTCAACTGCTCGATATCGTCTGGGAAGAGTATATTGCTTCTCCTTCATCGAAAACGTTTGCTATGAGCCCTGCACTGAGTGATAGACTTGCACACATACTTTCAAACATGCTGTGGAGCCCCCAGAATAAAGTCTGGTCTGAGAACAAAGTCAATGAAAGTAACAAGCTTGAACCGGAAGAGCTGCCTACTCTCGATTGTAGGTGGCTAAGGTCGAGAATTACGTTGGTGCTGAAGGTCTTTGAAAACATGCTCAAAACTTCGCTATGGGCTGAGAATATCGAGCAATCGAACATCGCTATCGCCTGGGTTCGTCTTTCGAAAGCTCTGTCGAACGCCTCTAGCAAGGAGATCACACCGTCTTCAGAATCGATGCAAACCGTAGCTCATGTCCTTGGTCTTCTTCAGCGCCTTTGGAAATCGGGCCCTTCTTCAATAAATGCCGTTGAAAAAGACTCCATGGACGCGTTCTTTGAACGATTCCAGTTCTTATCGAGATCGATGATCTTCTCGCTAGGGAATATTCCATTTACAGAGAAGCTACTTTTGAAGACCGCAGACGCCACGTTTCAAGCAGCCAATACTCCTACCCATCGTCACTCGCACACCAACTCCAATCTAGACAGTCCAGTGCTGCATTTTCTTCGACTGATAAGTGATGTGTCCGGAATCTCAGAACCAAGCCCCGCCTATCTACGTCTAGTCAATACGACACTTGAAGCCGCTTGTAATGGAAGAACCTCCAGAAGTTCTCGCCTAGAGCTCCTCCGGCAGTGCGCCGATTTGCACTCAAATGAAGCAGACATACAAGTTGGTACTCATTCTTTCGCACGAATTGTCTGGAAGTCGGTAGCACATCTTACTGCCGATTCTCTATGCTCTTACCCAATTGAGACAGCCCGCGAACGTGATGGGTCTGTTTCGCGCGACTACGAGAATGCTGTCAAGATTCTCTCTACGGGTCTAAAGTTTCCTGATGTCTTCCAAGTATGGGACGAGCTTCTCGATGCCTTCGTTCGTGTCATACGGACAGAGAAAGGCGATCGGGAGATTGCTACCATGGTAGTGGAGCCTCTTGCCGAGTGTTTGATGACTGTTGGTGTTCGAGATGGATACTTGGCTTCAGCGTCCCTCTTCAAACATTCTTTGCCCATGACGTATGGCCAAAGTATAGAGGGCAAAGGCCTTGAAAACGTCTCTCATCTTTCTGCACATGAAAATTTGTTTGTTCCCAAAAGGCTGGTTGAACTTGTGGACAGAACACTTCAGGTGTCTTATCAGGAATTCGATGCCACGGACACCAACGGCATTGCGGACTTTATCGAGTCCTTGACGTCCTTCCTGGGCTCTGGTCTCGTAAATTTTCGCTCTAAAGTTCTCGAAAGCCTTCAGCAGCCGCTTGCTTTGTGGCTGAAGGATGAAACACACAAGCTAAACGTTGAGAGTGGAGTGGAAAGCAGGGTTCTTACTGCTGTAAGTGAACGACGCAAGGGGGCATGTACAACCGCTAACCTAGGACCAGGGCCGAGCTCTGTCGTCAGCTGTTCTCAACATCTTACAGGCATCGTCACCCCATGATTCTTTATGCCTACAAACATTCGAGGGTATTATATGCGCAGGGTTAGAGTCGTCGCATATGTCCGTAGCAAAGAAGTTCCTTGAATTCTGGAAGTCCTCGTTTGGTGCGCAACTATCCACCCCTTGCCCAGAAGCTATTATTCTTGCCGTGCAGAGGTTGGAAACTCAGGTAAGTCTTGTTCAAGCCCAGTTCAACATGATTCACACTCTGAGACATTTCAGGCCGATACCCAGGCAAGCTCCTCTGAACCACAAACCGCGGAAGATCGACGGGCGGACATGTCAGAAAAGTCCCGTATATCTTTTATCTTGGATAATTCGAATGGCCCCTCTTCTACGGGCTTCAACTCGTCGCCTGTTACGAGAGAACCTGCGCCCGAAGATCACTCAGAAGAAGCTCAGGACGGCCCACTGCCGGCCAATGATGATACATCACATGAGCCCAACGGTGTAGAGGTTCCACTCTCCTTCCAACCTGTCGCGGAGAATCCCAAGAAGCGTAGTGAGATGTTCTCGATGATTGAGAACCTTCGATCATCATCGCCGCCAACCATTACGCCGAGGGAACTTGGATTCATGACTCCCCCGCACTTGCGCAATCTACGCAACCCAGATCGAGACACTGAAACTCCACAAACACCTACTCTACCTGCTATTGCTGCGGACAATGACGAGAGCTTTCTTGGCTCATCACCTACTCCTGGCACTAGAGACCGTACTCAAACCAGTGGGTCGACACTCCGTACCTCGTTGATGGCTCCAGGTGTGGCCTCTGAGATGGACATCGATCCTCCATCATCTCCACCGGAAATTCGGTCCCAGAGTCCGAACTCGCAGAGTAAATCTACTCCTATGGAGAGTCCGGCTGTCCGGGACAGGTCAGCTAAGAATAGAAGGAAGAAGCAGCGAAGGAAGGAAAGAAGGTCCAAAGCGTCTAGGGCATCTTCTCCCGTTACACAACCCGATCCCCCGGCAACGCCTAAGGAAACCGGTGAAACAGAAGTTTCGGCCCAACCAGAGAAACCTCTTAGCAGCCGCACCCGTTCTTCGACAGTCAAGATGCCGGAAGACACAACAACTGAGGCATCATCGGCCGGAATGTGCCAAGACCCGGCGCATTCGGCGCAATTTCAGCCTACTTCTAATGACCATGACTTCGTCCTAGAAGATGTTTCTCGTCAACAGAACACAGAAGTCGAAACTGGAACTGAGCATGATCAGGAAACACGCAGCGAGAACCACGACATTCCGGACTCGTCCAGTGACGATATGGAATCACAGATTGCGTCCCAACTCGAGCAAGATCTAGAGTTTGCAGTCGTCGACGAGGCTGACGAACAGGCAAACAAACCTCCGGTTACGCGCAAGAGAAAGCGTGAAGCTCGTGAAGCAGCTTTCTCAACGCCATCCAACCAAGAGAAACGACGATCATCAAGGCTATCGGTTACTAAGGAGCGCCCTGTCGTCGAGGATACAGAACCTAAAAGCACTCGGTCCAAGAAGTCGATGGCGCCCAGCCAAATCGAGATAACCGCCTCTTCACCAGGTGAGGGAGGTCCACAAAAACGAAGACGCCACTCTAAGGGATCTGCGGATAACGAAGAAGTCACATTTGCTGTTCTCGAGCAAAACCCATCCAACACTACGGAAAAGAACGCAGATACCTTGGAATCTTCGACCCAGAAGCGGAGGTCGAACCGCCTCAGTGGTCATGTCGCGCCGGCACCCGTTGAAGAAACACCGGTTGCGAAGAAACCGTCACCTCGACCTTCTCGCTCTGCACGCAAGCAGAACACGCAACCTAAGGATACCACGTCCAAGGCATCGCAAGCGGAATCCCCGGCTGAGAAGACCAAAATCAACACGAAGGCCACGGAGAAGGAGAAACGTAAACCGCAGGAAAGACCATTTGATGAACTCGAGAGCAATGAAATTCCCGAATCGTCCGAATCGCGGATCAACAAACCAAACAACAGCACACAAGAAGCCGTCACCACACAACCAAGCGAACCCGCTCCGCAGACGGAGCAACAAAACCCACCCCCTCCCTCACTCCCATCACAAGAAGACACTCAGATGAGCGACGCTGTGGTCGCCGACCCGCCCACCAACAAGACCCCGAAGACGAAGTCCGGAAAATCCAAGGCCAAGCAAAAGCCCAAGTCCGCAGAGCCCCCACAGCAGCCCGCGCCGGAGACCACGAACGCTCCCACCGACGGCGAGATCATTCCCGGGTTGCAGCGGATCCTAGACAATGTCAAGGCGGCCGCGCTTGACCGGAACGCGCTCAAACAAATTGACGACTTGTTATTTGACATCCGAGTGGAGACGCACGAGGCATTAAGGCGGCATACCGGTTGATATTTTTGATTGCATAGCGAAGGCGTTTTTTTTTTACATTTCTCTCTGTTTTCTTTCTTATTATACATCTCACTCGTTATCCCTCTTTTGCCTCTACCTGCTCTTGAAAATCCTTTTTACCCTTTAGCTCATTTCTTTGTTTTCTTTCTGTTCTTTATTTGCATACTTGTCATCCTGGTTGATTTTGCTGCTTTGGGTTTGTTTGTTCTTCTTCACTGGAAAAGGAGGAGGGGAAAGAGAAACAGAACAGTCAACCTCCACGCAGGTGATATATCTTTTTTGCTTTTCTTATTTCTTCTTCGCTTGAGCAAGTGGCTCGCTCAGGACGGTGGGTCAGGGAACAACAACAAAAAGGCCAGGGACGGTAATGGTATCTGTAAATGCATATGCTTACTCAGAGAAATAGTTTTTAGAATATAGTCAACTATTGATCCATATTTTGTTCATAACATCAAGTTGAAGAAGAAGTATTCTTATACTTTTTGTGCTCGATATTTCCCAATTACATACTTTCTGCAAGATTTAGAACTCCGATCAACATACCAGTAATTAAACACCACATACCACCAAGTAGATAGTAATAAATCTAATCTAATCAATCCCATCCCAGCACCCAACTCAGCTCAGCTCAGTCTAGCTTATCCCAGCCTCAACATGAAGTACATACTAGGGAACTAAACAAGACAGAGCCGAGAGCCGAGTTTCACCAACGCCAACAACAACAAAGGGGATGCGATTACAGTAGATCGAAACACCAGCCAGGCCTGGCTTAGATAACAAGGTTGAGCCACTGTCTCCACTTGGGCATAGCGGCGATACGTTGGCGTTCGGCATGGATCTCGGGCCAGTCGACCTCGCGACGACCGGAGTCGATGTCGATCTGGCTGGTTCGGAGCCAACCCTGTCTTTTCCAGATGAAGCCGCAGAACCAGAAGAAGATGACTACTGGGAGAGCGAGGTAGGTTTGGAAGAACCCTTCTGCGTCGTTGATGCCGCCGCCGGGTGGGCAGATGGCGACGTAGAACTGGAAAGACGGGGGATGTTAGCTTTTGGTTGAGGGTGGGAGAGGGGAGTTGAAGCTTACCTGAGCGATCAAGACGAGAATGTTCAGACTAAGACCAAGATAGGAGCCGTAGACGCCGCCAACGGCCTGGAACGGGATCTCATCCAATGTGCGGCCGTTGTGTTTCCAAGCATTGCGGAAGCGGATGTGCGCCAGGCAGATGGAGCCCCAGGTGAAGAGGGCGGCGAGACCGGAAAGAGCCTGAAGCCAGGCGAAGATAACGTCACCCTTAGCGTCGAGGTTGACATAGCCAAGACCACCGAAGACGATCAAGGTGAGCACCGACACGAGAGGTCGGCCAGAGCGGTCAATGTATGTGAAGATCTTGGGAGCGTATCCTTGTTCGGCGAGGGCAGTCAGGGTTCTCGAGCCACCATAGACACCGGAGACACCGATGGAAAGCACCGAGATGAGAATGACGACGTTCATGAAACTGTCGTAGCCTTTGAGGCCGGCGTCGGCGGCGATGAGGACGAAGGGGGATGCGTTGACATCGATCAGGCCCCCGGCGCCCAGCAGTCGGTTGTCGTCGGAGGCGACGAGTAGACCAACAAACGTGAGACCGAGGATGTAGAAGCTACGAGACAATTCAAGGTTAGTAGGTATTTAAGATGAAGAAGCTCGGGGAAGGGGAGAGATTGGTCCATACAGGGTAATACGCCAGAAGACCTGCTTTACAGCGCCAGGAAGGGCCTTCGCCGGATTCTTAGCCTCGGCAGCTGCAAGACCAACCAATTCAGTTCCGTTGAAGGAGAAAGCGGCCGTGACGAAGACAGAGCAGAAACCCCGGAAACCGTTCCGGAAAGCACCAGGGTTGTACCAGGTCCGCGCTCCCCAGTATTCGCTATAGATGCCGCGAGAGGGTCCACCACCACAAACCAGGATGAGAGCAATGAACATGAAGACGATAATCGCGCCGAGCTTAAGAATGGAAGACCAGAATTCCTCTTCGGCATATCCGAGTGAACCAAAGATGTTCACGGCGATAATCGCAACGAGGAAAACGGAAATCCACACGGCGACACTCACGTCAACCTGCCAGTAGTCTATTGTTAAGCCAGCTACCGTGAGTTCCAAAGGAACGACGACGGCCCATTGAAAGACATAGTTCCATCCCATAGCAAAGCCCCATGATGGATCAATGAATCGAGTTGAGTAAGTGTAGAAACCACCGGACACAGGGTACATAACAGCCAATTCACCAAGCGCATAGACTGCATAGACTGTGTTAGGTTCTATGCGCGGCAAAGGGAAGGAAAGAGAGTGCTGTTAAACTCACCGACATTGAACATCATAACACCAATAATCAAGAAATCGAGGAAGAGCGTTGCTGGGCCCTAAAACCATGTCAGTCTCGGAAATACACTGCATGTCGTCAGAGCATACCCCAGTCCGAAGCGCACTTCCCGAACCAACGAAGAAACCGGCGCCAATGGAGCCACCGATCGCAATCATATGCATATGGCGGGACTTCATGTTCCGATTTAACTCAGAAATGCCGAAACTCCCCTTTCGGCGCTTGAAGGAATTGAGGTTCAAGCCATTGCGCGTCCAGAAATCAAGCTGCTCCGGCTCGTCCACGGTCCCAACATTGTAATTGTCCTGGGTGTAAGGGGGAAGAGAGGCCTCGGCTTTGCCGACGTCCACATCTTTTGCCTCTAGGGCAGGTTTCGACTCCATCCTTGCGATCACCACAAGAAATGAACAGTTCGAATCCGGGAGTTTAAGGAAAAGGTGCGCGGAAAAAGTTCAAGGGCTGGGAGACAGAAGGGGGTGGGGTGGGATCTACGAGGAAGTCGCGCGGGTCACCGTTACTTCTTATTGTCGGCCCATTTCGCCATCGAGATAACAGCCTTGGCCTGTCGACCTCCCAAACCCCCTGCACCTGCAGGCTTTCACCCCAGCTGGAGTGAGCTCAGGACCAATGTCCTGGTTGAACCCTTTTCGGGCCACTAAAGCTCGTGGCACCTGGGCTGAGGTTACAGTGGGATCGCTTGGGTCGGGCCCCGACGGCTTTCATCCAGGATCTGGAGTGAGCAGCGAGGGCAGTAATTGGCAGACAGCATGCCGTTGCGCCACGCGATTCTGGGGGAGGACGAAGCAGAGTGGTCAGCCGGCGTCAGATGCAGGAGATTGTTAGGGTTGTTAGGGTTGGGTGGCTTCTTGGCGCCGCCCGCGGGAGTCTTGGCGCTTCTGGGCCGTTGCCCCTTTTGGCCTTTCTCCGCCGGCATCCAGCGCGGTCAATGAAATTCCCTGTCAGACGCGCCATGACTCGCTGGGTATCGTCGGCCTTGGTTTTGGGTTTCTGGATGTGTAGCATGGGTGAGAACTCGTGTTCCTCGGGTGTGTTACTCTCGCTCCCACCTGCTAGTCAGTCGGGGCTGTGGATGAGGTGATCGTGGTAGCCTGGAACCATGTCGACCGGAATGTGACAGAGGCAAGACCACTTAATATGCTTTAATTAAGTGGCTTGGCCCCCCGGGTCTGGGGAATAGTGTCCCGTGGCCGCGTCCACTCAGATAGACCTCGATAGCCCCGTTGATAAGCAGCATTAATCCTGGCATGACTAACGGCTAGAAGGGGATAAGATTGCCTCGCTGAGAACTTGAGAAGCCTGGGAGGCGAGCCACGGGACCAATCACGCCGGTGCTTGGTTTCCTCGGTTACTTGCCCCTATCCTGCCAGCTGCTGTTCTCTGGTCTCACGAGCAGCTGCTTGCCATTTTGCGGGGTTTGCTCTTGGCCCGTCGAGACGAAGCTGGTCCTCGTATACGAGATGGTTCGCTCAAGAACGCGCCCGTTTATCAGAGGAGATGTTTCTTTATCCACCTGGATTCCCCTTCGTCGGTTCTCATCCGTCAAGCAAGGGAATCAAACCTCCAAGTTCCCAGAGAGCTTAATTCCGATGCAGTGATGTAGCTCTGTCCTCTCTTGTATACGGAATTTCTAGTCCAATGACATCCGACAGAAACGGCGGTAATGGGTGGCCAGTCGGACGATTCCTCTTCGGCAGCTCCTCTCGGTTTCCTTGCGCCTCTGTGTGTTGCGGTCTTTTTTGTCTTTATTTGGTATGTCGACTCTCGCTCAGTCGCCGCTCCTTTGTTTATTGGTAGTTTTTACTGACGCTGGGGTTCCCTACAAAGGGCAGCGATCGGCACCAGGCATATCTTCTGTCGCCCTCCCCAACAAGCCGGTGTCGCTTTTGACCTGGAAAATGGACCTCTTTATGTGCGCTCGCCTCCTATCGCAAGAAACGATGTCGATAAACTATTTCCTCTCATCCAATACAGTGTTTGGTGGGAAGAACGAGATCGTCAACTTGCCACCACGCTTACCAGTCAATCCAGCGCTTTGAGCTCTCCGACAGAAGATGAAAAGGGTAAAGAGCGCACGGTCGCTCCTGGTGGCGATGGCCAGTCCTCGCCGTCAGACAATAAATCAGACGATATTTCTCACAACCTGGTGCAGAATGGTAATGATGGGCCGACAAAGGTGCCGCTCGATACTGGTGAAACCCACTCATTGTGTGCCATTTGCATGGAAGGGTTCAGCACCGCCGACCTTATCAGACCCCTGACTTGCGGGCACATTTTCCACTCGGGGTGCGTGGATCCATGGCTCACCAGGCGCCAGGCTTGCTGTCCTTTGTGCAAGATGAGCTTCTCTAGACACAGAACGCACACAGAGGCAGGGACACATGTCAGTCCATTCATGGTCCCTGTACTGCCTGCGATAGCCTTGGTCAGAACCTCTATACTTCCCCATCGGGTTTGAACTGCACTTTGCGGGCTATAGGGCTATCAACCTGTCAGCAGTCAGCGATAACCAGAGCGGAGCGCCGACGGATTCGTTGGTGCCAAGATCAGGCCAAGAGTGGAATCCAACCTGGTGGCCCGGTTATCGATATCTCGCAATCCCAAATCTGATGCCAAGGAGTCGTATCTTATTTGTGAGTTGGCAATAGGAATCCGTAGTTCACATGAAGTTGGTCGAACGATTGATGACGATTGTTTCTGGTCATGTGCGAAGGGTTAGTTGATGACGGTTATTTGTCCAGCCTCAAGGTCAGAGGGTGTGGTTTGCCCCTCGACGATTTGAAGGGATCCATCGTCCTTCCTCCCCTGAGATTGCATTTTCCTTAATTCGTGGGCGTCGCTTGGGGTTCTTGTTGAACACATCTCCATGCTTTCTTCATCACTCGTTTGTGACCCATCCCCCGTCGTCTTCTCTGGAAGCCCATGCGTGTTGATAGGTAGAGCTCGAAAGAGTGAAACCGATGGTCGTGGTTGCAGGCTGAGTACTTTTATGGCCGCTGGCCGTGAAGCATCTAATGTTTCTTTGTTTGGTCGGGTTTCCTGTTGTCGGTATTGTCTGGTGCTGTTTTGAAATGAACTGAAGCCAAATAACCGTCGAAGCAAAGGCCACAAGCATACCAGGTTCGCAACATAAATTGCTGTACTGGCTTCACGAATGTACCATATTTGGTAGATCGTAGTCAAGGGCGACGCAAAGTTGAATGCTTTGTTGAGGATTGCAGCAACAACGGTGAACAGACCGAGACTCATGATACAGAACAGGACGATCTTCTTTCTCATCCTCAGTTGGGCCTTTATGAGAAGTGGAATTGGAACAGCCAGCATTGCCGCATCCGAAGAGATGTTGAAAACTGCTTGGGTAATGGAATAGTATTGGTAAGTGGCGCACTGCATGTTTCGCACGGGCATAGCCCAGTATTGAGAGAATGGGCGACAATATACGCCATAATATGTGATCATGATTACAACGAAGCCGATGGCTACGTACGCAGCAATGATCTGAACATAGATATGCAATCGCAGGTTCTTCGTCAACCTCCAGAACAAGGTCAGCATGCAGGTCTTTACTCCCCATGTGGATAACAGCATGCACTGCTCGATGCCGACCACAATTTTGCTGCCAAATATTCGATCCTTGACTTCTTGAGTGTTTGCTAGGACTCGATCATTGTCCGCGGGGTCTAAAAGATTGGTCTCATAATGCGCTGCTAGTTGGATGAGGACGAGCATACTCGTGTAAATCATCTTTGGTAAACTCAACTGGTTAGTGCGGGCTTATATTCGAGAGCCGAAAGGCAGTCACTCACGACAGTCGCAGTCATGACATAGTCATCGACTGGTTTCGCCTTAGATTAGCTCAGACTTAACTAGGCCGTACGTAGTAGACATGCAACATACACCCTAGGCGTTTGATGGACCCATTTCCAATACTCCACGATAGTCTTTTCTTAGATGAGCTCCACGTTATACTCAACACCGTACACAGCGTTAGAGACGTACATTCGGGCAATATAAAGAGCGATTGCTATGCTCCCGAATACAACAGCTTCCCTAAGAAGTCGCTGCGGGGTGGGGGATACTTTTCCCATCTTGCGGAAGAAAAAAAAAAAAAAAAAGAGAGAGCCCTGAGGGTATTCAATCTCTTTTACAAGGAGCCCATGCGAAGCGATATGATCTCTCTTGAGAACTGTGTGGAATTCAAAGCTTCGTGCTAAATGGCCGTTAGGCGGAACTCAGGGACATAAAGGGCGGTCTCCGAAATAGCCATGCTCGCCCCTTAGTGCGCACGTACTGGCCGGCTATTATCTCTTGTTATAGGCAAACAGGATCGCAGAGCCCAGACTCTAACGCTCGTGGTTGTTAAGTTCCCTTGGTGGGGAAGAGAAGCAAGGGGGTCTAGAGGGCAGAGAGTGCCCCAATGCAAGGGAGACCGCCGCAGCGAATCGCCGGAAGCTGAGCCTTAGTCGTTGCGGTAAACCCTTTGAACAGTATTAGCCATGGCCTTGTGCAAAGATTCGGCGAATCAGGTTGACAAAGTATTATTGTAATGCGTTTTGGAGCTGCGCGATTTGGACAGAGTTCTGCACCGGAGCATGGACTCTGAATGGATGCCATCAGTGAATTCTTGTAGGCAACTAGGGCTGCCTGGCAAAGACCTATTGCTGCATCTGCATGGCATTCTTGCCTTAGAATGGCGGCTTAAGGGAACGCATCCCTTCCTAAATGCTGACAGCTGCTTGGTCTAGCCTCTTGTTTGGTTTAGTGCCTCAGACTCTGGTCGATTCAATTTCGACACGAGTTGATGCTGCGCAGAGAGGGTATGATTGTAGGTTCAAATGTGCGATCCCGCAGACAAACTGGGCTGCCGAGTCCGTCGGACTATGGTAAAGTTAAAATGTGTCCTATTGCTGTTCGAGTTTTGTCAGTAGCTGTGGGCTGGGGCTTATGCAGTTGAAATGGTAAATGGTAAGGAGCAACCAGTCATGCTTCCTTGCCCGAAATGCACGATCAAATTGATTCATTCCAAGCCCTATTGCCAGTATAACATCACATCTGGTACCGGGCCGATTTATGTTTCCCTGGATGGTAGTGTTCATGACTAGGTCCATTCAATATCGATTCCCCCTTCATTTCTGTGCTGGTAATTATCCAACAAGAATTGGAGTTCATCCATATGCAGGAAATGTTATTGTGGGTAGGAGAAGATGAATGAGTGGGAAGCGGCGGAAGAGACAAAAGAGTCACTGAGCACGTGTCTTCCACTTGTCTGTTGTCTGTTTAGGGCCTATTAGGGACTTCTTATGGTTACCTAGGATTTATAAGCCAGGGATTCTAGGCCAGTAAGTCTAGTGTCTATCTCTTTTTATTATAATGTTTTAGAGTAGTTTGGGTAACTGAAAGGTAAATGGAAGGTAACTATGTGCCTATGTACCTACCTAGAATATAGGTTGTAAGTTATAGGGCAGTGGGGTTAGCGTGTTCCGGTGGGGGGCTGCTGATATGAATGCAAATAATATAAACATGCTAAGCTAGACCTTGACTAGTCATCACAGAACCTGCAGATCACCCCTAGACATTCATCCAACACTTCATCTCCCAACTCAGCTGACAACTGCAGGAAAGGAGGTTCACTCGGCAAACGGCAGAACTGAACAGTCTGGCCAAGATGGATGAGGATTCTGGCAACAGTGACCCAGTACGTGCATCCTCCTTCAAAGTGAATCTTCTAACCTTCTGGTAGCCCTCAAAATGGGACTTTTTCAACTACATCCCCTACATTCTCTCGTCTAATATCGACATACATTTTGCTCCTTCAATGAGGCACCAACCTTCTATTGTCACCCTGGAAGAAATCTTAAGTGCAAAAGACCTATGTCCGCAGAGTATGGGAGGCTGCAAAATTTTTAGAGATCGACACATCAACTATATTGAAAGTGGGACGTACGGTTCAGATGGGAGAAGCAGAGGCCCTCTGTCTTCTGAGGAACAAGACATCAGTCCCTGTCCCTGAAGTCTTCAATGCTTATACAATCGCTGATATCGGATTTATCCTGATGTCGAAAATCCCCGGTATTTCTCTGGGACAATGCTGGAAAGACTTGACCTGGGATGATAAGAGCTCTATTGTCCGACAGCTCGGCGGTTTTATTCGGGAATGGCGCCAGATCGAAGGGCCGCTCTTCGGATCTATCGATGGTGGTCCGTGTGAAGATGTCCTCTTCCAACATCCGTGGGATGGTGAACCCCGTCGCTATGGGCCTTACTCGACAAGAAATGAGTTCAATCAGGGGGTGGTAGAGGCTCTCCGCAACTCCAGACCCCATGCGCAGCTCACGAAGAGAGATGAGCCTCTGGTTGAGAGAATACTCGTATCGCGTGACCAGGATGAAACAAAGGTGCTCACGCATGGTGACTTGCACCAAAGCAACATCCTGGTGAACGGTAATGTCGTGTCTGGAATCATAGACTGGGGTGCAGCTGGCTATAGTATATCGGCAAGGGAATATTTCTGCTTACGGTGGCAAGCGATAGACCTAGAATGGAAGGACCTCATATCCACTATACTTGACGTCGACGAGTATGGGTTTTGGGCTGAAGTCAACCAGTCCATGTTGGACTATACTGGGATTTGAGCTGTATACACAGGCTGATTTCATTTGAGGCTCGTCCAGTTGATGCCAGGAGTTGTCTGAACAGCCCGTGCCGACTTTCCAGCCATTTCATGCCAAAAGTGACATGTACCGTGTGGGGACAAGTTCGTCCACCTCCAGAGACACCAGGGTGTCGATAACCCAATCCTGGCATCTTGGCGCTGCTTTTCACTAAGATCCCCAAGTTTGACCTTGCCAACGGCCTGCATGGTGCGCAGCGGGGTGCTCGTTCTCGGTTCGAATTGGTGCCAAAGTTTGTCGAGGTCAATCACCTTGGCATGGTATAGGTCGCTGGTTAGCTGGTCTCGATGTATTTCTAAAAGGCGGTTTGCAGGGAACTCTGTTGGGTTATTTGAAGTGTCTGTCTGGTACCGAAGGAGATATTCCTACATTTCATGACGAAGATGACACTTCTCAGAAGCCAGCTCTATATGTTCTATTCTTTTCTCCATTTACACCACACAAGTCTTACATATTAATCAAGCAAAAGGCAAGGCCCTAGAAGGGGGGATAAACAGGTAGATATCTTCAAGTCATCAATCAATCCATCATCATGATCATCAAAGAATCAAACAAATTATTCACGCAGATTGCCCGTCCGTGAAGAGCAGAGCACACCGGAACCCTCACACCCACTCACTCACTCAGTCTTTACAACCGCGGCCGAATCGTCTGTCCACCAACCCAAGAATCACCCGCCTCCAAAGTCTGCCACCCAGCCACCGACCCGGCCTCGACGCAGATCATGTTCTTGTATGCCTCGTCGGGTCCGAAATCCGCCATCCCCTTGGCCTTCTCGATCCAGGGGTTCCAAACCACCACGTCGTTGAGCCCTTCCCGGGCGATCGAGTACAGGGGCTTGTTGTCGGCTGCGGACGACACGACGATGGGGACCTGCGGATCGAGGGATTGGTAGACACGGTCGGTTTCCTGCGTGATGGCGACGGCGGGCGAGGATTCGGTGTGCACGGATGCGTTCTGGGTCTTGTCGACGTAGGTTTTGGATTCGAGGCCTTGGACGCGGATTTGAGAGATGTCCTATTGTGAGTGCGTTTGGTTAGCTAACTAGTTCTTCATTGCGCTGTCTTTCATCTCTGCTCCCATACAACACCCAGGGGGGGAGTAATGAATTCATGCCAATAACTCCATTGGGCGATATAAACAGGAATCGACCGAACAAGAAAGAGAAAAAAATGAACTCACCTCCACAGCAAAATACGTATGCAACAACACCTGGAAGTCGAAGTTCTGGCTACCCTTGTTCTGCACCTGCAGGGACGTCTCCAGCCCCTCCTTCGTCAGGGTTACGCTGTACACGAGCCCGAAGTCATAAGCCCATGCGTTCTGGAACTCGGAGCTCAGCATGGGCCGCGAAAGGCCGAAATCCAATTTCACGGCATCGTCGCGGTCCGTGCCCAGCGACTCGGACGACTTTCCGAGAAATTCCCAGTTCGAGTTCCGTGCGAAGCCGTGTTGAGGGAGGGACGAGGTGGCGTGGTTGGGAGGGGGAGGGCCGAAGACCTATACAGGAAAAAAAAGTGGTAAATGTCAGTCATAGTGTTTATTGATTTGAGGTAGAGTGACACGGATTGGGCTGGGTGGGTTTGGTTGTAGGGCAGAGGGACCTTGAGGGATGGGAATGACGTTGACGTACCGGGAAGACGACGGGAATGCCACCGCGGATGGGCTTAGATCCGTCCAAGTGGGCTTTCTCGCTCACGAAAAGCTGCTCCTTCCCGTTGGCCAGCTTCCAGGATGTGACGGTTGCGCCGTAGAGGTAGACCGTGACGGATTCGCCGGTGGGGAGGGATGCGATGACGGTGTTGTCGCTGACTGAGACGCTGGGCTGGGGCAAGGATGCGCCGACACCGATGGCGGCGGGTTTGTTGGAACGGTCCATTTTCGATTAGATGGGGGTTGTGTGTAGGGGGATTGAGATGGAGAGAGGAAAAGAAGGAAGACAAGGAAGAGAGAGAGAGAGAGAGGTGAAAGAAAGAATGGAAGCGCCGGCGATGCGGGGGTCGCCGGCGACAAACAGAGCGGGGCTCTCTGAAGTCACTGCTCGATGGGATCCACTCCGGCCATACTTCGGTCTCGGTCTACTCTACTCTATCAGCTACGGATTAACCTGTTTGGGTATGACTGTCTTAGACATTCAATATGGCATATGTAGCAAGATGGATATTCCAGTAATGTCACCTCAAATAAACACCAATTATGCATAGACCCCACCAGTTCCTCGTGTACAAATCGCAGTCAAAGCACGCCAATGGAACCACACAATCAACAGTCACGCTCGTATGAAGGATAAACAATATCGCCGACCATGATGGTTTTTGATGCAGGGACATCGAAACTATCACCCGTCATAGAAAGAGATGCATGTCTCCCAAAATTGATCTTATTATTGATCTTCCTCGTTTTCGCCAAGGTCGAGAAAGGTTCGTCTCCTCGTATACCGGAGTACTGGTCAATACAGACCATCTGGCATCGTTGACAAGACCCCAGAACATCAAATTGAACGTTTTCGGATCCAATGCTGAACGACTCCCATTGGTCTTCGATGTAAGGTCGTTCGGCATTGGCTCGCTGGGAGAGATTCTCAGCAACCACAATGTTGGCGCGGAAGACATCGGCGGCCACCGCTTTGTTAGAGCTAGCATTGCTAGGCTGGTTGCTGTTCTTGGGCTTGGGTTTGGATTTTATCGTTTCGTTGAGTCGATTGACAGAAGAACGGGAGATGAATAGGATAGGGCTTTCGTTAGATAATAAGATCCGATTCTGTCCAGGAACTGGCGTCGGTATGTCTTGTGGAAATGACCCCGGCATAGTCGATTCGTCCTTGTATTGCGGTGTTTGCACCTTAGAAGCAGCATACCTCGTCGATGTCTGAGGCGGAAATCGGGCAAGTGAGCACGGAACGCCTAGGAAGCCTGAGAAGAAAGAGGAGACGGTTGGAGATGTATAAGCTTGGACGGTGACCTGGTCTCCACACACTGTAGAAGACTTGGCTGCATTCTGACATAGCGAAGTTCTAACCAAATTGGTACCTCCACGACCAAGTGGAATTTCTAAAGAGGATTTTTCTGTTCCTCTCCCACACGAGATTCTCAGAACACCTCTTGCAAGATCAACAAACGGTTGGATGAGCGCCATTTTAGGGTACCTCTTCTGGTTGAGAGCGGTTCCGGTACCCTGGTGGATCAAACACCATTCACGATCCCAAGCCAACCCCTCCTGTGTAATCTCCCATCCCTGGCCATCAGGAACTTTGAAAGCTCCGCAGCTCTTGATGGGGTAAACTGAGAGGCTCTCGATATAGAATCCAGGCGACTGAGATATTGTAGCGTCGATTGCGGGTAGCAACGAGCACGTATTGGGCGATCGTTCCACATAAAACTCCTCCACGAACCCCACAAAATTCTCAATATCCTTGAGATTGGTCATCGCACCGATACTGGCCCTCAAAATCCCAGTCGGACGCCCATCCATCAGGTCGTTGTCATCTCCACATCGCAGTCCATTGGAATAATGGCGAATCATATCGGGCCCAGTCCATCCAAGACTACCTGCTGCACCCCCTGGATTGCATAAAGTACCCGACCTGATCTGGATTTTCTTGACGCTTGCAAGTCTTTCGACCTCGGATTTCCCAATCCAAGCGCCTTGGCTACTGCGTAGATTGAACGCAAGAATCGGACCTTGCGACGACGCATCTTCAAAGTCCACATCTGTGTTCATATAGAACTCGAACACTTTCGCCCCGTTGAAATGCGTCAGAGCTTTTAGTCGTTCGTACAACGTCTTGGCCAGAAACCTCGTATGGGAAGAGATATTCTCCATCGAACCAAAGAGGCGAGTATGAGTATCAAAGGCGGAATCAAGTGCAATGATGCTGTGAAATGGAAGCGTTCCATCCTCCAATCGTTCATGGATCGAGTTCTTTTTTGCATGCCATTGCATACCCTGGGTCAAGACCAAATCTACCGTTCCACCGCCAAAAAACCTTCGTTTGTCGAAAATGTGGCCCGCGCTTTTTCGAACAATCAAGGCACCAAGATCAGGGAATCCGAAGATCTTGTAGAAGCTGAGGACCGTGAAGTCTGGCGCGGCTGAGGCATCGCTCAAATCCAGTGGCGAGGTGGAGACCAGAGATGCTGCATCCAGAAGCGAATACACATCGCCAGTATGACCATATGTATTTCGGATTTGCCCGCACCAGCGAGAAGGGAAGCGACGACCGTTCATGTTCGACTGCGCAGGAAACGCAAACAACTTCGGCCCGTCTTCTGAACTAGCGTCCATGTCCGATATCCATGAATCGACTTCGTCATCGGACCTGAAGCATTTACTCCCCAGGTCTGCCACTTCCCGTGCCCCAACCAGGCTAGTGTGGGAATCAACGTGGTACCCATACCAGAATCCCTTTGGCGTGGCGTCCCGAAACGAATCAACAACCAACTTGATCGCGGCAGTAGCATTTGCAACGAACACGAGATCGAACTCCTCGGGATCAGCATTAAAGAATCGGAGTGCCTTTAGGCGAACATCGTCTATCCTCTGCGTGGACAGCTGGGATGACGAGGACATGGAATGGGGGTTCCCAAACAGGTTGGAGGTAAGGTCCTGCGAGAAGAACTCGATCAGAGACTTGGCGTACAAAGTAGTTCCTGCATGGTCCAGATATGTGGTATCTGCAAGCGATGTATCGACTGATAAGTGTCTAGTTCTTTACTCCCATGCTAGGCGGCACAACGCACCTTTGAGATGAGGATATTCGCGCTCTCGAATAGCATCGACATCTTCCGAATAGCCTTTGCAGTACTCTGGTCGGTGCAGTTGATTCATTGTGACCGTCATGACTAGTAACAAAGCTCGTTAAATGAAGTCAGGCTGGGAAGTTGTTCCTTGCGGCGATCAATCCAACTGGTATCTGCTCAAGAACCGGGTGGCGATATGCAGGAATATGGTAGGTTAGTTAGCCATGGGTGTATTGGAATGCACGTTGAACGGCAAATACTGCTGGCAGCAAGGAGACAAGTCAGTATGCAGTCAGAGGTGGGCAGTATAGTGAAGATATTGGAGGTGGATACTGAGGCATTGAGATAAAGACCAGATCGGAGCTTACCGACGGCGAGCTCCTCTGAGAGTGGGAGAAGTTACCCATAGCAGATCAAGGGTCTTGTAGCTAAAGGAGGGAGGGGAGGGAGGATCGAAATGAGCGGAGTTATGGCTCTAAAGTAATAACAGTTGAGGTGCAGGAAATTAGTGAAAGGTGTCTGATGTATCAAATGGTAGCTCCCTGTGCTCGTGCCCAAATGCAGCTTCCCCCACTCTTGCCTCCTTATCGCGAGTGGGGGGCGTTCGGAAGCCTCCGAGGGACGTGGCTTTACGGCGCTGATCGGCGGTGCTGCCCTTCCATTCGGTGGCAGACGTTGCTGACACGACCACTCATCTTATCCACACGCCCTAGGGATGCATGAAAAATGATGTGCGCGAGCCTCGGTCCTTTTAACGATCTGGTTAAGATGTTAAGAGACCAAATGTGTTCAAGAAGGGAGTTAAAGCACGACGGAAAAATAAAAGCAAAAAGAAATCGTCAGCGACAGGACTCGAACCTGTGCGGGCGAACCCAATAGATGAGATAGATGAGGACCCATTCTAGTCTATCGCCTTAACCACTCGGCCACACTGACTTTCTTGTTTATTCAACTTGATTTCATGTTACTGAAGCAGAAGGCAAGGATTTACATAGATCGCTGGGTAATGCTGCGTACACACTCGGGTAGCACGTGTGCACATTCCATCAGAGGTGCCGTGTACGTACTGAGAGTATTAACTCCCCATTGCTACTATTAGCAGGCAAGTTCCAATTTTATCATTACATAAAGGAACACTTTTTCAGTTCGAAAAGCCGACTCTGAAAACTTACCAGCTGTGATAACTATCCCTCTGAAAGCTCAAATATATCAACACGTTCATTAGAGTACGCCAATACCCCAGTTCGAAAAGTAGGCAAACAGTCAAGTAATTCCCATCTATAATAGTGCTCAATATAAGTTCCACATGTTGGTTCATACAGTCAACAAATGTCTACGGAGTACGGTTTACATTGTCAATGCTGAGGTGTCAGTATTGATGACGTAAGACCCCGCAAAAACAACCCCTCATAAGATGTAACAAGTGGCAAATTCCCCAAGGAACGCTCTAGTGGTTTAGTAGTATGACACTACCCTCCCAAGCAGGTGCGAATCTGTTGTCTTCTGGGCAAGGTAGAGACTCGGGTGCAAATCCCGGCTGGAGCATCTTCCATTTCTTTTTCTTTTTTTTGGGCTTCACCTTCCCTTCCTCCATTTGCCTATCCACGCACGCCATCTCTCTCTCTCTCTCCATCATCAATCATCATGATGATCATTCATTCCATCTGTCATCTATCAATCGATCGTCCCATCTATCCCAACCCATAAGAATAATTCAGACAAAGCGCATCTCGACCTAGCTTTGCAACATGACTTTATCGTACGCAGCAAGCCCACTCACTGTTAATCAATTAACCAGACCATCCATCCATTATCGTCTGTCTGTCTGTATATGTGTGTATACCACGACTTGTAGTCCCTCCAAGTGACCCTAGGTAATCGAACCTCAACTGAACTAACTTAATAATGGCTGCACACCGACCGACATGACTTGGAGTTAAAGGGATCGAACTCGGTCGACCCCCTGAATGTGCATCGATATATATCTATCCTTCTCTGGTAGAGGAAGATAGCTAGAAAGGCAGATAGTATAAATAACTAAAAAGATGGGTAGAGAAACAAAATTATCTCAAATCATAATATCCATTCATTGTACATACAACCAACACTAACTAACATAACTAAACAGAAAAAAGGTATCATAAAAGGTTCTTCAGATCGAAACCAAATAGAGTCATGATCCAATCAACCTGTCCGAAAGTAACTTCGGTAGCCTACCAAGTAGGCAAAATAAAATATTACATACAAAACCAGATCGGAAAGGGGAATGGACAAAGAACAATAACAAAAACAGAGACATAAAGCGGAGGCTTCTTCTTTCCTGTATGTATCCATAGCAGCGGCGTCGTAAACTCGTGAGCGTGTCGAGGTCGTTCAGTCAGTCAGGGGCCATTTTGTCGTCGTAGGGCGAATGTTCAGTCCAAATTCTGGTTCCCGTGTTTCTTTTCTCTCTCTTTCCTTGCTCATCCTTATTTTTCTTCTTTTCTTTTCTTTTGGCCGTGATGAGATTCGTCGCTCGTTCTTCATTATCCTATATCCATTTCCGTGTTCATGTCCAGGTCCAATCCATATCCATATCCATATCCATATCATACCCATGCCCATCAATCATGTCCATATAAATCATGAGGTTTTATCAATTAACAAAGGAAAAAGGGAGTGCATCGTTCTCAAACGACATATTGAGGTCGTCGCGAACTCGAGCTATGACGACGATGCCCACCACCATGGCCGCGACGACTGCTATGGCTGCGTCGGCGCACATGAGTCTCCTTAACGACGACATCGCTGCGGTTATACATGAACAGAGCCCAGAAGGCGGTCCACGAGAAGAAAATGACCTCCATGATGCCGAACGCGAACGAGGCCTTCAGCATCGCGCAGTGCTTGTTCATGTCTCGTGAAAGCGGGTTGTTGGTGCGCGTGCCGTAGGAGCCAAACGGGCCCAGGGAGACCCAGACCGAACCACCATTCCAATCGGAGCAGTTGGCGTTGGCGATGAAGCGCAGTTGGTAGACGCCGGCGATGAAAGCGCCGAAGAAGAGGAGGTCGACGAAGGCGACGAAGATGGCGGAGCGTTTGGTCGTCGAGTGTCGGATCAGGGTGTCGAAGCACCAGAAGACGGCGATGACGCTGACGATGAAGAGGACGAGGATGTAGGTGGGAGTAATGATGTTGGCCTTGAGGAATCCATCTACAAAGTAGGCCTGGATTGCGAGTTAGCGATGATTGGAATCGGGGGCACGAAGGCTCTTCGAGTGGCACATACCAGCATTCCAATGATGGGGATCAAGAAGACAATCTCCACCAGGCGATTGAAGATGAAAAAGAGACTGCCAATCATTTTGGCGGGTCCTGTCAAATCGATACCAGACTAGATAAACTCAGGAATGTCGGTTGAGTGATGATAAGATCGCGAATCACAAAGCACAGAATGATGTTCAAGGGCTACAACGTCATAACCAGCAAGATAGAAAAGGAATGAAGGAAGAAGCAAAGCAAGGGAGGAGGATTGTCGGCAGATTGAGAGACCCGAGCCTGGAAGTTTGTCACTGCTGATCCAATGCAGGCCAGCTCAGAATGCTGCACGAGGGAGGAGTGGATCACAAAGAAAGTGAAAAGGGGGAGGAAAAGCCACGCGCAGAGCTGCAGCTAGACAGAAGAATTTAAACAACGAGGGGAAGATGAGGGAAAACCGAGAGTGACGATGGAGGAGGCTGGGATGCGCGGGGTGGCTGGGGATTTCATTCAGCCTGGTGGAACTTGGGCCGAACGTGAATCGCTGCACGACACTTTGGCCCTGACATCCCGTAGATTAGACCGTGCCAATCATAAAGGGAGTTTGACGCATGCTAATGGAGGATCTCTTTCGAGTTTGCAGGTCGATAAATCATCCTCGCTATAGTCGCATAGTCCATACTCTCATAGTTGATTACCCGCGTGGGTCTCGGTCGGGAGAGGTCTAGAGCCACGGATTGATGAAGTCAATTCTTTCCAAAACACAAAAGATAAATAAACCCCAAAATCACTTCTAGTCTTACAAGAAATCCCAAGAAACATTTTTTCCCGTGTCAGATCCACTCATCTAGAGAATATCCACCGTCGCGGCCCAAATGTTGCGGTATTTCTCATCCAAATACATCATTAATGGTCTTCGCTTTCCCAATTTCAATATGATCGTCACAATCGTGGCCCTGGCAACTTGGCAAGACAAGCCAACAGAATTTGCCAGAGCGGTCTATGAAACAAAACATAAATGCCAAGGATCTCATCCCAACACCTACGATATAAACAAAAAAATCCAATGAACAAACCCGAAAATTGTGTGCAATGCTTGCCTTCATCCCGTTCTACACCGGAGGTACGTCGGTCAATTCGCGACCCGGGCCAGTGCGCGAAGTCATCACGGCTGGCGGCGTGCGGAATCCAACATCGGGATTTGTCTGGCCGTGGTAGGCTGTTTCTTCGTAGTATCGCGGTGCGCTCAATCCCGGGTTTTGGGCTTGGGCGTAACCATGCTGCATTTCGTAGCCATCTGCAACGTCCTCGCTAGACGAGGACCAGTTCCCGTCGTCGTCATGCGGTCGGCGCCCGTAGGCTTCCGTGGCGTAAGGATTGCCGGTCGCAGAGGTGTACGTCTGGTTCCGCGAGAGTCGGTGTTCGGCCGGGGGCCCTCGAGTTTCGGGCAGGGGAGGCGGCGGCTCGAGTCTCTCCTCCTCGGGGTTTCGCAGCGCCGCAGTACTCTCGGTGACGCCGACATATCGCCCGCCGTCCGCTGGAGTCGCCGGTTCAGCTCCCCATGAGCGAATTGGGAACGCTCGTCCCTTTTTCCAGGGCTGGCTAAGCGGCGGGAAATATTGGTGGTATGAGAGGTAGGCACAGACAACTCCCAGGAGCGACCCGGTGATCACATCGAACGGATGGTGTCGCGCATCCATAATTCGAGACACAGCGATCAATGTGGCAGCGATACAGGGGATGATGACAATAAGAGCTTTCCAAACTTCTCCCCGATTGTCCATGAAATGCAGCTTTCCGGCCACCCAAAGCGATAGGTAGAATAAACCGGCGAACGAGGCTTGATAGAGAGAAAAAACGTTAGCAGGGAAGCTATCACACAATTAACAGGGTTGACTTCTTACAACTGCTATGACCTAAAGGAATAAGTTAGCATACTCGTTTCGCAAGCAGTCGAGAACATGAGGAGCATACCTGACGGCCACGACCGAAAGCCATCCTTGATAATTGCCGGGTCGCCGGTACAGATTGACGAATTAGACAAGCCGTAAGTGACTGCATCCGCACTGCCAGCCCGAGGTTGACAGCGATCAATGATATCTGGTCGGGGTTTCCCACATGCATTCTTCAAGGCCTGGGTGATCAAAAACGCTAGGCCCTGCGAAAGCAGCAGGCCCAGAAAGCCGCAGTTGAACTCCCACAAACGATCCTTCATCCGGTGTGGCCCCGTGAGCTTGCGTTTGCCGCTCACGGGATCCTGCGGTTTGTGATGCGAAAATAGTCCGTCTATGAGGAGCGTGTAGACAGCGATTATGACCAAGGGCGCGACTCCCGAGATGAGAAGAGCCATCGGAATCGAAACTCGTTCATGTTCGGCAAAGGGGTACTGTAGCGAGATGTTTTGCAGCGAGAAATGTTGATGGTGGGGTTCGATGGAATCGAGGATATAGAAACCGGCAATGCAGGCACTGGAGGGCGGCGAGCGATCATTAGTAAACTGGGAACCGGGTCGGTTTCACGATTTGGACAACGCACACGAGGATCACATAGTCGAGGATATATCTGGATATGACCGGCAATGGTTAGCTTCGGTTTAATTGGTTTTATCGCAAGCACGACCCGAATACTCACGAGATAATAACTCGCGGTCGTAGACGCCGCTTCGAGAAGGGCAGCTTCGAGGGAAGACGGTCCATTTGCTAGCGGTACCACGTTTAAGATTAATTGACTGGGGGAGCATTAGAACAGACTGATTTCCGATCGCCGATTGGGGGCGAACCTAGGAAGCAACGTCTCAAAAGAATCAATGACGCCAAATGTCGAATAGCGCAATTCAATCGTTAGCCGTGAACCTGCGCGGCAAACAAATAGGAATCGCCTCTGATGGATAAAAGAACAAGGTCAAGGGGAGGCGAACGAGGACCTCAAAAAAAAGGAAGAAAAATCATACGGGACAGAACGATGAAACAGGAGAAAGAAAAGGGAAAAAGTCAAAGGAAGAGGGAAAAGGAACGCATGCCCGCGGACAGCGGCAGCTTCAGGCAGCGGTTGAATGGATTGTGGCTTGGACGGGCCCCTGTCACCAAAGTAAAGTTACTTCGCCCTCTGCTGATAAGCGCCCAGATTCCCCGGCGGGTCTCGGGGGGTCTTGGGCGGCTTTCAGGCGGCTCTCAGAGAGGGTCTCGCCCATAGGATTCGTCAGACTGGGGTCTTTCAGTCGTTTAGACCTTTCGAGTGGATATTTTTAACGGGGCATCGACCATGGCATTGCATATGCCACCAACAAACGAGCAAGGCTACCAGTCGCCTAAGGATTGTTGAATTTACGGAGTAAATACTAAACATTATTGATTGCCCCGAAGGATGCACTTTGGAGCACACGACAGCGGATCTGCAGTAGCGTTGCCCCATAAGGATGCCAAGCTGCATCCTTAGGCAGCAATCAATAACTGGTTAGTAATCAGGCCTTTCATTCTTGAATAAATATGCATAAGGAAAATTCTTTGGAGACCCAATTGTATTTGTATAGTACACTAGCTATGGCGGCTTTTTGGCGTGGACCATTAACCACTTCCACCCAAATATCAAATTAAGATCCGAAATAAACAATCGATGATCTGATCCAATAGTCTGACCACCGTGGTCATCCGACACCAATCAACTTGGAGAAGGGAGAAAAGAAAGGAATGACTTCGTCTCAAATAATAAAAAAAAATCGTATGGTCAAAAAATTGAAGCAAAAGAAAACAAACGGATACCATTATGGGCCCATGATTCATGTTCGCGTGATGTCGGATGATCTTGTATTATTATCCTGTCCGCCGGATTTAGCAGACGGTGATGTACAGACCAAGAGGAGAGGGGTTGTAGTCCTCGAAGAAGTCCAGCTCGGTGCTGCCGGAGTTCTTCATCTCGTAGCTGACAGCCTCACCGGCAGGGCAATCGAAGGTGGAAACGGTGTAGGAGTTGCCGGGCGAGATGGTGAATTGACCCAAGTCCTCCTTGACTCCAGGGGCGTTGCTGTAGGAGGTCGATTCGTCGGCGACCGACTCGAGGGAGGCGAAATCGACCTTGCCGTCTCCGCTGAAGCTGTAGGAAGAAGTCTCGAGGTCCTCCTTCTTGGGGAAGAGGAAGACGAGGCTGCAAGTCTTTCCAGAATCCTCCGAGGGGATGTCGAAGTTGAAGATGGTGGAGACGGACTTCGAGACGGTGCCGTTGTACGAGGTACCGGCGGCGTTATCCGGAGAAGACGAGTCGACGGGGATGATCAAGTGAGGATATTCATAGTCGCCGGAGAGGTCCGTAGGGCAGCTGCCACCAGAGGACTGGGTGCCAGAAGGTTGAGCGCCGGTCTCAGATGGCTGAGTACCAGTTCCCGAGGGCTGAGATCCGGTTCCCGTGGGCTGGGCGCCAGTTCCGGACGGCTGAGAGCCAGTCGCGGTGGGCTGGGATTCGGTTGCGGTCTCGGTTTGCTGAGTGCTAGGGGACTGAGCCGGTTGAGTGTAGGAGGCGGTCTCAGATGGCTGAGCGCCGGTAGGGGTGCCAGGAACACCGGGAGTACCGGGAACGCCAGGAGTACCGGGGACACCAGGAGTGCCAGGAACGCCCGAAGTGCCAGGGACACCGGGAACACCAGGAGTACCGGGAAGACCAGGAGTACCGGGGACACCAGGAGTACCAGGGACACCAGGAACGCCGGGGACACCGGGAGTGCCAGGGACACCAGTAGTGCCAGGGACACCGGGAACGCCAGTAGTACCAGGGACACCAGGAACGCCAGGGGTACCAGGGACGCCAGTGGTGCCAGGAACACCGGGAACACCGGGAGTACCGGGAACTCCAGGGCCACCGGGCAGGGTTGCCGAGTTAGTCGGGCAAACAGTTGCGGTCACCGTCGTGTGGATAGTGGTAGTCTGCTCCGCGGGGGGCGCGGAAGCGCTGGGTCCAGTGCCAGGCACGTTGGGGGGCACAGAAGCGCCGCCTGAAGGACCGGGGACATAGGGAGGAACAGGAGCGCTCGACGAAGGCTGAGGAGGCACAGGAATGCTGCTGGATCCGACGACGGGAGTCGACGAAGGAGCAGGGACAGAGGCCGAGCCGGATCCACCGGAGCCAGAGCCGGAGCAAGAGTCAGCGGTCAACTTGACGTCCACACAGCCAGTGGCGTCTTTGCTCTCGCTGGTGTAGATGTTCATTCCGCCGTTCTGGCCGGTCTTGCAGGCAACGAACTCGCTGTCTCCTTGGTACGAGAGCTGACCCTCCGAGTTGATAGAGAAGCCAGTGGTAGGGGAAGCACCCTCATCACATTGCCATTGGGTAGTAGGGCCTTGAATTTTGGAAAGCTTGTCAGCCAGAGCTCATTAACTAATGGTTGGTGTGCCCAGCTTACTGGTCACGATGCATCCGCGGCCGTTGGCATCGGTGACGGCACCGGTGGAATCGATGCAGAACTGAGCCTGCTCGAGATCACCGTAGACACGGTTCTGTCCGTCATCGAGCTGACCAATAGATCCAGAAGCACCACCAGAAGACTTCAGGTGGAAGCAGCAGCTGTTGCCTCTACCCACAAGGGCGTTGGCACCGGCAGCAAAAGCTGCGACGGTAACGAAGTTTCTCATTATTATCGTGAGCGAACGTAAAGAGCAGCTGGGCGCGAATGAAACGGTCGAGTCAAAGGGAGGAATGGAGATTTTTGAATAGGCACAAAGACCGTGTTTGGTTGAGCTGCGAGAGGCTTGTTGTTGTCCACAAAATTCAGGAACAAGAGGATGCTCGATACTTATAGAGGATGGTGGATACGTGCAGGAACGACGTGGGAATCATCGGTAAGCTGGACAGGGTAGGTCAATCAAGTCCTGTCCCCTCCCCACGTCGAGCGAAAAATAGAAACAGAGGCAGAGCAAGTTGGAATGCATAGATGGACATCATTGACCATGGAATTAAGGTGTGGATGACCACCGTTGACCCAGTTTAACATGTCAGAACAAATAAACAAGCTGCCAGCCGTCCGAGAAAGTCCGGGCCTGGAAGTGTTCGGAATCGCAAGACAATGAGGAAGACGTCATGCACCAAAGCCATTGTGGAGAAAACCGTCCATGAGAGCAATGGTTTTGGAAGTTGGCTGTGAGATAGAAACCATATCAATGGCCAAGGGGATGCAGGGCATAAGCCACCGGTGGATCCGGACCCATCGGGAGGGCAGATGGATCGCCATGAAACCCTGCCCTGGTCGTCGTCGCGATACACGGTTCACAGGCAGCAACTGGCGACTCAAGTGGCAATATCGATCGCGAACCCCGGTACCTTAGACGAAGTCCACCACACAAGCACGCAGAGAATGTTCTCCGGGCGTTGTCTGAACGGATGGAAACCGAAGCGCCATGGATCAGTGATTCTATTCATACAACCTCCCCCAACAAAAGCAAGAACCAGATTGGATGGGAGACGTCGGAACCGTTTCTATGCCCACGCAATGGAGGGCCTGATCAAAGTACGATCCACGCAAGTCTTAGAATATGATGGTGGGGAAAAGACCTATCGGCCTGCAATCCAGATTCGCATCAGCTGCTCGGAGGCTGCTTGAACCGAGTAGGTGCCTTGCATCATTGGGTCTACAGAGGACTGATCTCTCTGCCCGAAAAACCTCCACAAAAGTACTTCATCGATGGAGGGTGCATTACGGTGTGTTGCCGAGCAACATTGGGAAAGATCCATCAAGACAACAGCAGCATCTCATGTTGACGTCGAGGTGTCTTAGAGGAAGATCAGGAAATCGGCGAAGAAACGCCGCGCAAGAGAGACGGAGAAGGCGATGAAGGCGGAGAAGATGTGGGCCGCGGCTGCCCGGACGAATCGTTGATCCGGAGACATGACGACACTGTCAGCGAATGGCACTGCTTGTTGTTTCGAACTATTCCCAATTACCCCTAGCCCCTGATTATCTCAGCCGGCACATCGTAATCACCAGAAATTAATCAATCACTTTTTGATTTATTTCTTTTGACTTCAAATTATTCATTCGATTTATTCATAGCATTTTTGGTTCAGGAAGGTTCGCATGTTGATCCAGTTGTCGCCACGTCATTTCTGGCCTGGACCACTGTCGATGAATTTCCTTGCCCGGCAAAGAGAAAAAGGAATAAAGAGAAAGGATTCGACCGACGACCATCAACGCCGCTCCCTACGGGATGCATCCAGGCATTATGCAATGGTCCCTTAAGTCCTGCCTGCCGCAGTATATATAGAAACCAGTACGGACAAGAGAGCCAGTCACAAGCCAACTCCCACGCATCACCGAACATGTTGGGCCGAGTCTTTGACTTTTGAAATCATTAAGTCTCATAAAATAACCTTTTGGCTCTCCATCACCACCTTTGTTCGCCTAATTCTGGATGGCTGGATTCCTGTTTTCCGCTCCACCCTATGGTAGGTGAGCTCGGAAGCCCTAAATCGCTCTCTACAAATCCATGCGTATACAACAGTACGAGGCCATCTCCGGGCCTCCACCGTGGGAACCAAAGAACCCTTGGGTCTTCCCCATAGCCGTATGCCACAGCCAGCAGCAAACCGGAGCTCTGTGTTTTGATCCCCAAGTACGGTTCCAATATCATCTGAAACACCTCTTCTTAGAATTTCTCAGAAGGGAAGCAATGCCATTGGGCGGTTCCAACGATCAGTCATGGAATCAGAGAGACGGCCTCAGCGCCGTCAACCATGTGTGAAAAATGTGATTGTTTTTCTTTCTTAATTTGATTTTTCCTGAGGATAAAAGACTTTCCCCCACCGCTCATGGTGTATACTAGAGTAGGAAAGTGCCTAGAACTAATGTAAACTTTGCATCACCCCATGACAACAACAGTCCAGACTGGAAAAAATGCTATCATCATCGACATGGGCCCACTGCGCAAGTCTCTTACCGAGTCCACGGTGAACGAGAGCAAGCCTGATTCCAGCCCGCGTTTGTTTGTTGATAGATCATGTCTGCCTTAACCGCCTTTGTTTTTTCTTGTTTTTTATTTTTCATTTTCCCCCCTCTCTACCTCGCCTTACTGTGTACACGATGTAGAACCTGATGCGCTGGTTGTGGCCGCGTAAGAATGTACATGCGTCATCTAAGACTACAGGATTGTTCCTGTTTTGCTTTCGTTTTTGCTTTCCTGTTATGGGTTTCTATTATTATTGTTCACCTAGTTAGATGAACAAAGATGAACATTCTAAGTTAAACGTTGGAAGATGTCCGATATAAATTCAGAGTATATCGTCTGCATCGCCGCGGGTGACATTCACACTCAGCGTCAAGCTTGCTGTTTCCTGGACCTTACTTTCAGCATTCTGTACGGAGTAGGCCCCAATGCAAAATGTTCCAATCTTAGATTGATAGTAAAACTGCCGAAAACCTGTCTCAGACTACTCTGCACCCATATGCATCTCCCATGTACCCCTCAAAACCTGCCGTTTCCGGGCTGTCGGTGCATTTTGTTACCCAAAATAAATAAGACATTGACGTATGCATATCGTATGCATGACCATGCAGATTCTGGCGGTGTCTAAATCAGTGTGCCTCCGAAATCCGTCTTCTCCTGCTCCGGGCATCCGGCCGGGCTTTGCCTACGGCATGCAGTTTGAGATCTGGTCAAACTTAAACACTTCTTTGCGAGAGCAAGGACTCTAAGACATTTTTCTAAATCGTTTGATTAGCTGCTATGGAGCTAAGGCTTGAGGCAAGGAACTGCCTCGCGGTTCCATGAGCAGCTCGCTCTCAGTATCCAACTGGTACCCTCATAGTATTCTGAGAACAGGCGCCTTTCTATGACTCCACCGTATTGCATGAATGAAGTAGATTCTTGAATCTACACTGTTTACGTTATAGTTGATGCCATCCGGTCCCTTCACATCCCACTCACAGGGCATCCAGCGTCCTACAAATGCCTCCAATACATTACTGAGTTATGAGCAACGAGAACTTTATATTGTATAGTGGTTTACATCTTTGGGTTTCGCAGCGTTGATACGTCATGATTTGACTGAACGTTGATGTTTTACAGTGATTAGAGTACATATTTATCTATACAAATACATGCGTGTGATATTTTATGATGTTTGTGGTTTCTCTTCTAGATGCCACCATTTCACTATAAGATTGAAGTAGGTACACTAGTTATATAACAAATACCTGATCAGCATCCACAATCCACCATCCATAACAACCCGCTTCATATAAAGGTCCTCGGAACTTGCCTTTAGCGGAGATTTGGCGGATTGCTCGGAGCACCCAAAACGCTTACAATCAGTCACACACAAGAACCTAGAACTAGGAAAATTCTGTAAGAACCACTATGTTTCTTCGCAAGATTTACCTGACATAGCTGTTTTTGCAATTTGACTCTAACCCATCTAGAAGCATGTTGGGGGTGAAACGTAACTGCGATCCCACGGATTCTACATCACCACAACCGTAAGTACTCGTGATTGAGTCCAATACAGATTGTCAATGACAAGAACGGAAAGCCGTCAGAGAGCCCCCAGATTCAATCTTGGAATTTCTTCGAGACAGTTATACCACGTTCAATGATAAAACCACGATATTTGAAGGACCCCCGAAAGGACCCATCAGATATCCGAAATCCGTGCATACTACTAGAAATTGGCATCATAACGCCGTCCAGACATGTATTGAAATGCATTCCGGGTATCTGAATTTCTAAGTCTATATTTTTCTGTATAACAAGCTACCTCATTCGGGCAGCTCGGAATTTGCTCACTTTCTTGGGAGCTTCTTCGGTTTCGATGGGAACCATTTCAGGTTCGTTGTCCACGAATCCCTCGTTCTCCTTGATGCGCCTGTTTCTTGCTCGGTAGAATTCACTTGCGATTTCCTTTCTGTGGAGCTGCTCGTCGAGCTCATCCGGCTCGGGAGGCGCAGCGGCGCCTTCCGAGATGTCACGTTCGACGAGAGTATCCGCTAGGATCTTATCCTTGGGTCCCGTGGGGCGTGGCCTTTCAGAAATATCTTGAATGGGTTGCGAAAACGGCTTAGGCTCGGCTGGTTTGGCAGGGAATAGAGGCAGCGACGAGGGTGACGGCGCCGATGAAGTTCCTTGCTTGCGCTGCAATACACTAGAACTGGGAGCGGTGCTGACCGGTGCAACGGAATCTCCGGCTTCATTTCCTGGCGCAGAGCTTCGCGCACTCTTGAAACGAGAAGCCTTCTTGGGCGCAGTGCTTGGTGCTGGGTCCTTTGTGACAGGCTCTGTACGTTCAACAACCGAGTCGGACAGAACTTGTACCTCCGACTGTCTGGGTGGAAGGGTTTTCTTTTCCGCAGTTGGAGGCTTAGGAGCGGGAGCAATGTCCAGCTCATCGGCGAAAGCGACCTTCTTCTTGGGCTTCTTCTCTGCAGGAGGTGTATCTGTCTGTTGGGGAGCCTCTTCAATTCGGACTTTGCGAGGTTGTTGAAGCTCTTCCTTGACCTCCTCGGGAAGTGAACCGGTATCTTTGCCCATGTTCCACATTCCGCGCGCATTTAATTTGGCCTCTAACTCACGCATTTGTTGGTGGTAGTCTTCATCCAAAATAGACCGCGTGCTTCGACCGAATTCGTCTTCCTCCTCGCTTTCTTCCTCATCGTCGTAAGCGAATACATCTGCGTCTTCATCAACCGAGATGTCACTAGCTCCCTCGTCGAGTTCAAGTTCCGCAACAACAGCTCCAACCTCATCAAGACTATAACGAAGCATTTCGCTGCGTAGTTGCGCATCTTCAGGGGATTCATCGATATTCGTCACAGGGCGCTCCTGTTGGCTCTCGGCTGACTGCGACGTAGCCGGTTCGTCTTCGAAGTGATAAGTCCGGGGAGCATCGTCACTGTCCACAGAATCAGGCGTAAGAAGACCCGTTTGACCAGCAGCGTTTTGGACATCATTGGTTGTGGAACCCGAGGCTTCACTTTTTGACTCATTTTGAGGCTCTTGCGATGCTTCTGCCTGAGTGTTCGTCTGCGGGGTGTCTGGTACATCCTTCACGCCAGCCTTCTTCAATAGTTCCAAAAGATCGGCGGACTCATTTCCAGGTGTGTTTGTTGAGCTGGAAATGACGTTGCCGTCCTCATCGAGGTTTTCGACAATTTCTGTCATAGGGAAATCGGCCGAGGGATCCGCTGGGAGCCGCTCCATAGCATCCAAGTCATGTAGCTTGTTCTCCGCCACCCGTAACATCTTTTCCAAGGTCGATACATTTTGTTTCACGGTGTCAAGTCGCTTGATAATAAGTTGAATCACACGTTCCTTGCTGTGGTTGGCATCTTGCCCTTCGACGAGCACGGCGAGTTCCTTTTCACTTAGCAAGGTCTCGTCGTAGTCGCGACCAATTTCAAAGAAGTCATCCGTTGTAGCGGTGTCATCTAGCTCGCCAAACTCTTCCTTCAAACCATCGTATTCGGCCTCCTGCGTTCTCCAGCGGTAGAGGGACTTCTGAAGTTCCAGGATGTTGCCTTCGAGCTCGAGGCGTTGACGTTCGAGATCTTGTAGATCGCCGTTGGGGACACCCATTTTGAGTGACTGCAAGGTGACTGAAAGATTGAACGATAAATTGACTGATGTGCAGTTGCAGTCCTGGACTCTCAGGAGAGTTAAATACGATCGCAGTCTGAACTCTGAAGTGGGAAGACGCGAGAAGAAAGAAAGAAAGAGGAACTTTTTGCGGCGATAAAAGTTCCGCGCGGAATCCCCCGCCACGGCACCTGATTGGTCCAGTGGGGATCGAGACCATCCCTCGTCATCGCCCTCCGTTCTGCAGGTTTGCGCTTTTCTTTGTCAATAACCTAACGATATTTGACAGCCTACCTCGAATATGCCTCCTGCTCGAGAATCGATATCCCATCGCGGGGATGATGACGGTAATACCTCTTCACTATGTTCTGATTAAAGAAATCTAGGCTAATGAATCCCAGAGGTCTGCCCCGTCTGCAAATCCTCGCGATACCTGAACCCTGATATGCGCTTCCTCATCAATCCAGAATGTTACCATAAAATGTGCGAGTCCTGCGTCGATCGGATCTTCTCTTCGGGTCCTGCAAATTGTCCTGTGGCCGGGTGTCACAGGACCTTGCGCAAGCAGAAATTCCGAACGCAGACGTTCGAGGATATCCAGGTGGAAAGGGAGGTCGATATAAGGCGAGAGGTTATGCAGATGTACGGCTTTCTGATCAAGGGATAAATGGATATCAGCTAATCGGGATCCAGTCTCAACCGCCGCGAAGACGAGTTCGACTCCAAACGAGCGTGGGACGACTTTCTCGAACAGCGTGAGGAGATCATCGCGAATCTGGTCCATGGCACCGATGTGGAAAAGACGAGAAAGGCTCTGGAGCAATACCGCACGGATAATGTCGACTCCATCAAAGCGAATGAAAACCTCGCCAAGATCGAAGCTACCTCTTTCCAGGAACAACAATCCCACGAGCAAGAGTTGGCACGTATGCGACGACAGGCAGTCAGGCAAGAGTACGAAAACGAGCGACGAGAGCTGCTGGAAGGGCGAGAAGACGTTCTTTCTCGTCTGGCGGCCGGTCAGCGGGGAGATGCCGCGGCTATCGCGCGAGAGGGTCGGAAGGTGTTGCTCAAGAAATCCTCTGCCCGGCGTAGCGAGGAGGAGCGTATCCGACAGAAACAGGCTGCTCTGCGCGGCTCCGATCTCAAGAAATCCGGAAAGGACCAAGTGGCTGCGGCTGCGGACGCGAAAGGCCCTGGACTTATCAAGGGTCTCAAGAAAATCAAAACGCCAGAGCCCGAAAAGCCCTACGATCCGTTTGGTGGGCTGGTTCCCAACAAACGAGACTACTACACTTTACGAGACCATTATCCATCCAGCTACCTGGATCCCATCAGACAGGATACTCGTATGCAGGCCGGTGGATACGATCTACGGGAATACTATTCCCGTACTCTGCTAGAAGCATTTGCGGGACTTGGATGTTTCATCGATGAAGAGGTACCAAAGCGTGACGCATCGGACACACTGGAAGTTCCCAAGCCCTCCGCTACCGAAGGAGCTGCAGTGGCTGCATCCTCAAACGCTCCCGTGAAGACCGAGTAGTACTATGCTGAGACATGGTCATGGTTCGGATGATTTGACTGGCCATCTCAATACAATATCCATATAAACTCCGATATTGGTGGCTTCTCAATTTTGTTTTGGTGTTTAGGTAGATAGGACTTGCATAGCGGAGGCGTTTATATTTTTGCAGGCACGAAGTTAGTTGTATATCTAGGTTATCATTTTCAGAACATAACATTGTTTCCCAAAATCTGACACACTGGAACTCTTTATCTGCTGTATTGTCGCAATTTGTTACGCATTTTGGACCCTTGAGACGTGACTTCTGCCAATGTTGAAGGCTTTTGCCTTTACAGATCAATCGCGCAGATGCAACAACGGAAAAGGTACTTTCCTCCTAGATTTCCGAAGGAACAGTCATATTCATGTGGAGAATACAACCTACGGGAAGAGGTATACAAAAACCACCAAAGAAATCTAATTCAAAAAGTCCAATACATGGCTTGAACGGGAAAGTCCTTGACATTGATAAAACAATAGGTATACACAGCAAAAAGAAGGGGAAAAGTAATCAAGCTCAAAAACTGGAGTAATATACAGTGATACCACAGCACACCATTTAAATCTTGCCGCCCGTAATCTGTTCTCCGAGTTGCTTGACTCTGTCCTGAATGAGTTCCCAGCGACCCGACTCGCTCTTTCTACCCGCGTTGGCAATGCCCTGGAGCGTGGAAGGAGAGCCAAGGTTCCAGATGTTCTCACCCTGCTGGTGATCATTGCGCCACGCCTCGTTCTCTCCCTCGGGGAAGACCCGTTCGATTTCAGCCGCAAGCTGGGCCTCGGTGGTGATGAAGTTACGGGCATTCATATACAATGTTTGCAAAGAGTCATCCCGTTCCGCCTGCCTCCGGGCATTGTGGGCCTCGAAGCGTGCCCGAGAGAGCGCAAGTCGTTCTTCTCGGGTCGGGTCAGGCAGGACGGCGTTGCGGTTGGAAAGCATCTCCTGGATGACAGAAGGGCGAGTCAATTGCTCATCCAGTCTGTCCGGCTGGTCCAGGACAGCCTGTCGCTGGATCTGCTTTTCCGCACTCTCCTGCGCAATGCGCTTCTCTGTTTGCTTCTTCCGGCGGTGCAGTTCCGTAAGACCTTGTCGGAGGTTCTTCCGTCTCATCTCGGCCATGCGTCTCTTCCAGCCGAGGTATTGGGCGTGGGGATCATTCGGGTCGATTTGGACCTCCTTAGAAGGAAGGGGAGTAGCGGCATCGAGATACGCCTTGGTCGGTTTGTCTGCTCGGCGGGCCGGGAACAGATCTCGAGGCACAGGAAGCGTACCCTTGACACGGCGGTCGACAATTTCACCCTCCTGGATGACCTGAGGGATATCGATGTATTTAGGTGATTCGGGACCGGATCGAAGAGAGGAGGACGAGGAGAAGCCACGGACCTGCACGGCGGCAGTCCGGCAGTTGCGGAGGAGAGACATCATGAACAACCGTCGTTACCTCCTCGAATGGCGGGAGGTTCAATTCAAGTGCGAAGGAAAATGCAGGGAAGGAGAATTTCCGAATAAACGGAAAGATACACTTCTTCTTGACGGGCACAGGTTGGGATTTGCGGAGCACCTGTTGGAAACGCGGGTTCTGTTGCGAGAAGCGGAAGATGTCGAAGCGGATTTTCTCGCGCCTGGTCCGTGCACCACTAGCCTTGGCGCCCGTCCCATAAGAAAAAAAAAATAATTTCTCACCCGCAGCGAACTTTTTTCTCTTCTTCTTTCCTTCTTCTTCCTGCGCTTCGCCACTTTTATTTTCTTCTACTCATTATTTCTTTCACCCTTTTTTACAGATTCTCTCTCTCAGAGAGTAGGATTCACCATGGGTACAGGAAAGAAAGAAGCCACTCGTAAAGAGCGGCAGGGGAAGGTTGGAGACGGCATGGGCAATGTCAAGGTCAAGGGTGAAAATTTTTACAGGTACGACAATCATGATGTCCAGCTTCATTGTTCCAGTATACTAATATGACAAAAGAGATGCGAAGAAGTTGAGGACCTTGAACATGTTTAAGGATGGCAAAGCCCAACATGACGCTGCTGGAAATGTTACCAAGGCCGCCTCCTACCAATCGAGAGATGCCCCCGTTGCTAGGATTGAGCCTCACCGTAAATGGTTTGGTAACACTCGAGTGATATCTCAAGAGGCTTTGACCTCGTTCCGTGAGGCGGTTGCCGAGCGTGCTTCCGACCCCTACCAGGTTCTTCTCAAGACCAATAAGCTCCCCATGAGTCTGATCAGAGACGGTCAAGGCGTCAATGGGCTGAAACAGCATGAGGCGAAAATGGCCATCGAGACGTCGCCGTACGGTGATACTTTTGGGCCTAAGGCTCAGAGAAAGCGTGTCAAGCTTGGTGTCTCGTCGCTCGAGGACCTGGCTGGCGAGACGGCCAAGAAACATGATGCTTATATCGAGAAGACGGACACGGGTCTCCATGAAGATGGGACACCCATTGTTTCAGGAGATGTGAATCAAGAGGATAACATGCTCGGCGAAGCCGCTATTTCACGCGAAGCCGTCTTCTTGAAGGGTCAAAGCAAGCGAATCTGGAACGAGCTGTACAAGGTCATCGATTCTTCCGACGTGGTCATCCATGCGCTCGATGCGCGTGACCCTGAGGGTACTCGTTGCCGAAGCATTGAGAAATATATCCGCGAGGAGGCTCCGCATAAGCACCTGATATTTGTGCTCAACAAGTGTGATCTTGTACCCACGGGTGTAGCGGTAAGTTCTATGTTGCCACCCCTCTTTCCCTTCCACGTTCCTTGTATTTTGTATCGTCGCCCTTGCTTTTGCTATCTGCGCACCGTTTTTGGTGCTATTACCTTTGATATCAATCAGGCTACATCGGCCTGTGCCATTGCTAAGTCAAGGCTTCTTCCTGCGACTTTGTGTCGTGTTTTTCTCGATGGGAGTTTTGTCTGTTACAGCTTTGGTAGATTGACGCTGGCCCGCGCCGAATTTCTTTCTGAAGCTAGGCTGACTGGTTTTCGTTTTGAAAGCCAGTCGTTAAGGGCTAAGTTGTGTTCCGTTTTTGAGTTGAGGCTTGCATCTGCCGTATGGCGGGCTTTCGTAGCAAGTCTCTTAGTAACGTTCCACACATTCTATCTGTTTCTTGTATTTTTCTTTTTGCTTTGTTTCTACCTTCTGCAATGATGCTGCATCTTGCCTACACTGGTGGTCAATTACTAACTGGACACCAGGCTGCTTGGGTTCGTCATCTTTCCAAGGACCGCCCAACTCTGGCCTTCCATGCTTCGATCAACAACTCGTTTGGCAAGGGTTCTTTGATCCAGCTTCTGAGACAGTTCTCCTCTCTCCACGCCGATCGCAAGCAGATTGCGGTTGGTTTCATTGGATACCCCAACACGGGCAAGTCCTCTATCATCAACACATTGCGAAAGAAGAAAGTGTGTACGGTGGCTCCCATCCCAGGTGAGACCAAGGTTTGGCAGTACATCACCTTGATGAAGCGGATCTACCTCATTGACTGCCCTGGTGTTGTCCCACCCAACCAAAACGACAGCCCCGAAGACATTCTGCTTCGGGGTGTTGTTCGAGTGGAGAACGTGGAGAACCCCGAACAATACATTCCCGCTATCCTGAAGCGGGTTCAGCCAAAGCATCTCGAGCGTACTTATGGTGTCAAGAATGCTGAAGAGCCCATCGAGTTCTTGAGTGTCCTTGCCCGTAAGGGTGGTCGTCTTCTTCGCGGAGGAGAACCGGATCTTGATGGCGTTGCCAAGATGGTCATCAATGATTTCCTGAGAGGCAAACTCCCGTGGTACACTCCCCCTCCCTACACCCCTACTGAAGGTGATGAGAAGATCGAAGGCCGCGAGGGCAGACTCGGCGAGATGGGTCGCAAGCGAAAGCTTGACGAGACCACGCTGGAGGGCGCTGAAAAATCCGAAAATGCCTCTGACAAGAAGCCTGCCTCTGCGGCCGAGGAAGACTTCGAAGGGTTTGGTGACAGTGATGACGACAATGACTCGATCGCCAACCTTGAAATTAGCGACGAAGAAAGCGGGGAGGAGAACGATTGAGCGACGACACCCGCCGTTGGCCAGTCAATCAAGTGCAACGCAAAGCACACCATATTGGACATGGTTCCTCTCGTGCCGTGAACCGACATCATCTTGGCGCCGCCCGTCATTGTTCTCCCTGACATGGACCGGTCTCATCCCATGGTGTTAATCCATGGTCGGGTTCCAGACTCAAGTCCCCTGAAAGCCAAAGGTCGAGAACACCAGGCAAACAAAGCGTCGATCCAGTCGTGGTTTTCCACGACATCGGTTGGGCATGCCAACTTGACCGCAGTCTGACTGTGCACACAGTGGCTCCAGCCCGGAGGAGGTGGACTTCTCCATTGCAGGGTTGTCCATCCATCCTCTTCATATTAGATACCCACCTACTCTTAGTTTTTTTAGAAGAATCAATTTTGATCCTTGATACCTCGTACAATTGCCAATGTCCACTTCTTTCCACACTCCACGCGAACTGCCAGTCAGCGTTGGCGCTCGCTCTCACCGCCGTAGCTCACGTGGGGGCTGACCAGCCTCACTTTCATCATTCCGCGTTGGTCGCACCACCACCAAGTCGCCGATCTCCTTGTTAGTCTCTTCTTTAAAATCAATGCCTGGCAGACCTCCATGTCTCCAAGAAATGTGCGGTATCTGCTTTGACAATGGCGGACGACCGAATGTCCATGATTCCCTATGGATCGTCCAATCTTGACGTCGTACTGTAAGACCTCCATCAACCTTACTGCCCCTCCAAGTCGATTTGGCTCTAATTTAGTGATTCTAATCCGGTAGACGCCACAATGATTCCGTTGTGGTCTTCGATCGCGACTCTCGACAATTAGCCCTCAGGAATGCCGCCGACAGCGATGGTGGTCTTGAGTTCACCGATTGTCCATATTGTCATCGACCACTGCGGGAGGACGGCGCGGGACAAGAGAGTCCTCATGCCAGCCCAAATGGAGCCCCCGAATTCGTCAATCCGGAGTATTTTCGCATGCTTCATAATAGTCTACCTAGCTCTGCGAGTTCCTCACACCCACCCTCCCCACGTCGTCGTCTCGCTCAGCCCGCTCTTCCCGGAGGCCCAACCAGCGAACCGGGTACCACGCGCGGTGCGCCTTCTAAAGAAGGGATATCGTCCGCGGCATTTACACCGGATTATTTCAAGAAGTTCTTCGTCGAAGAAACTATCCTGGGAAAGGGCGGAAAGGGTGTGGTGTTGCTGGTGAAACACGTGTTAGATGGAGTCTCGCTTGGTTATTATGCTTGCAAGCGGGTGCCCGTGGGAGATGATCATGGGTGGCTTGAGAAGGTGCTGGGCGAAGTGCAACTGTTGCAGCATCTATCACACCAGAACCTTGTATCCTACCGCCATGTCTGGCTTGAGGATGCGAAGATCAGTACCTTCGGACCCAGCGTTCCATGTGCGTTCATCCTCCAACAGTATTGTAATGCCGGAGACCTGCACAACTATATTTGTGGATCGGTTCAGACTTCCACAACGGCCCAGCAGTTGAAGGAACGTCTCAGGAGGAAATCCAAAGGAGAGCCCCAGCCTCAATCTGAGCTGGCAGAGCCTCGTAAACTACACTTTGACGAAATCTATTCGTTTTTCAAGGACATAACCTCGGGGCTTCGGTATCTCCATGCCAATGGCTACATCCATCGGGATCTCAAGCCCAACAACTGTTTGCTTCACCGGACCAGCGATGGGATCCGTGTGCTCGTCAGTGATTTTGGAGAGGTGCAATCTCAAGATTCGATGCGGGGATCGACCGGGGCTACAGGCACTGTATCGTATTGCGCCCCCGAAGTTCTACGACGAGAGTATCCGGGAGGTCCGTTTGGCAATTTCACCTTTAAATCTGACATCTTCTCTCTGGGGATGATCCTCTATTTCTTATGCTTCGCCCAGCTACCGTATGTCAATGCGGACCTAATCAATGAAGAGAAGGAAGACCTCGACCGCCTGCGAGAAGAAATTAGCCACTGGGGTGGATTCGATCATGCACGCAGGATGCGACCTGAATTACCCGAGCAATTGTATACCTTTTTAGAGCGCTTGCTGTCTGTTGATCCTAACCGGCGACCGTCCGCAGACGAGGTTTTGAGCGGCCTGCAGGTTGGGGCTAACGCCAATGATAATATGAGATCTAGGAGAGGCAGCTCCTCCTCATCAAGTCCTGAGACCCATGCGGGCTCAAGGATTCATCCGATAGAGAGCCCAGCCCCTTCTGCGTTTCCTCGGCCGTCCCTCACACCTAAAAAGCCCTTTTCACGGAGTCCGGTAGCTGTGCGCCAGAATCCCCAATACGACGCGAGCACCAATGACCTCTCGGTTAATGTCGAGGATATGGACCACGAAGTTGATCGAAGATTATCTTTCAGCCCCGAAAAGGACATGATGGTTCGGTCTAGGTATTCGGGGACTACCTCTCTTTCGCCACCTGGCCAGGACGGACCCCATGAGCCGATCCATCAAAACAACGAGCCTTCTCTTCGACCTCTACTACCTCCTCCCCCAAGCAGGTTTTCTCTGGCCAGGTTTCTCCCTTCTATGCCAGACGCACTTTTGGATTGGCAGCTGCCGTTTGGAGCGATTCAACTCGGCATTTTCCTCGTCGAGGTCGTCTCTGTTTTCCAACCGTGCATTCCACTTGCTGTCAACCCGTGGGTTCTTTATCCTTTACTCTTACTGGCGGCGTTGAATTTGCGGACGCGAAGCTTTACTATGCAGGTGCTTGTCGTTTTATTGCATTTCATTGTGGTCAGCCTAAGCATGCGTCTAGGGAAGTTATGTATTTGGCACACCCCGAGGTGACGTAATTGTTGGTTTTATTCTTCTGTATTCATTCAGCGCTGGTGCTAGCAAGCTTATTATGTATCATTCATTTATTTCTATGTTGGTCAAAAGCAAACTACGAGATGAAATGCTTTCCTTTACTTCCTCTTGGTCGGCCTTCCATTGTACAGGACAGGGCACCTGAAGCCATAATGCTCTGTTTAAGTTAGTGTTTCCAGATAAACATGTAAAGTTTGAATAAGATACACATTATATACAAGCCCGGGGAGGTACTTCCTGTCTAATTTACAGATACTATACTTTTACAAGATTTCGTATATCATACTCGGCCGCTTTCCCCTCCTTCTCCAGTGCCAGATACCCCGGTGCATATTTCTCGATATCTTCCGCCCACGTTTCCACGCCCCCCTCGAAGGAGAGATAGTCGTTTTCAAACCCAGACTCGAGGATATCAAGGATCGGAAGATCCATATCCAAGCTGTGAATTGATCAGCCACGTTCCAGCCAAGCAAATATGAGAATAACTTACGGTCCATTACTTGACTCATCTCCACCGGCCGCCGACTCTTCCACACGTTCAACGCCCCAGCCCAACCCTGCTATATAAATCATTGCCTGAAAGATATTAAACGGAAGCCGCATGGTGGTCTGGTCCACCATGCCATTTGTCTTGAATTCGACCATCGAAATGCGTCCCGTGTCGATGGTGTTCTGGTCTATGAATTTATGCCCCATCATGCCGGATTCGAAGAGCACATGTCCGCTGCGAGACATGGTCATGGTCGTGAAGTCGGCGGTCTCGACAAACGCCCACATCATGAAGTCGTCTATCGAGAAGGTGCTGGGGTCTGGGAAGCTGGCTGGGTTGGGCTGCACCATCGTTGGGATGTTCGCTTCGCCGAAGGGGTGCATGGTCTCGCCGTCTAGCTGGTAGGTGAGGATTAGGATCTTGATGAATCTGGCCCGTTTTGTGGGCGTGTCTATCTTGGCGAGACAGATGAATTCGCCGAATTGGTGGCGTCGGTCTTCAATTCGATGTAGACTTGCCTCGGGATAATCCGTGGCTGATTTGCGCGGTGGTGCCCGGGAATGGAAGGACTGGAATGGTCTGTTAGTTGTCTGGATGTATGCTTTGAGATGAAGCACTCACGTCGCGAAAAGATTGCTCCGCCGAAGCCCATCGCTCGACAAGATCTCGCCGTTGTCGCAATTCATAGTCTTCATCTTCATCTTCGGAGATGCCAGCCTTTTCGCGCGAGATCCATTTTTCCTAGATTCTCATCAGTGAGTCATCCCTATACATGAAGTGTCAAAACATACCCTCACAAACAACAACCACCCCCTCGCCTCCTCTACCAGCTTATGCCCCTCCAGGAAATCATCCTCCCCTTCGTCCCTCTGCTCCTGCGTGAACTCCAGCAACGGAAACCTCCGCACACAGCTCGGAATCCCACCAGGCCAATAATACGTCGGATACACCTGATCCTGCCCGGGCAAGGCAACCGGCGGTTTATACCTCACAACCGGCCTCTCCTCCTCCGGAGCTTCATACCTCTCCGTCCCCGGGAACAGCGCACCAGGGTATTCATGGTGCGGCACACGCACAGGATTCAGCAGAGCTCGAACATCCGTAACCGGCACGCTTACTCTACTCGTGAGCCACTGGACACGGACCCCTTGGACGTGGGTATTCACAACACGCATGGCTTCGCAGTTCGGGAGATCGAGACCCCCTGGGTTTAAGGGGATTCCGGACAGGACGGCAGATGACTGCTTAAAGGGACCGTGAAGTGAAATCTTGCATTGGGGCCGGAAGTTATCAGGCAGAATCGAGCAGATGAACCTGGGTTGCTGGCTGAGATTTGTCTCCACTCGTTGCTGACTTGCTGCGTGGTAGCGGGCCGGCTAAGAGGTTAGCTCGAAGCTTAGCCTGATTTAGGGGCGGTGCTTGAGCGGATTCGAGGTTCATTTTTTGGGATTTGTAGTTGGTGGTTTTGGTGTGAAGATTGATTTCCAAGGTTGGCGGTGGAACTTGAGGGGCTTTGATGTTGTTGCCATATAAAAAAGGAACCACGGGTAGTTATATACATGTGTACAGCACTTGATTTTCTAGCCAGGCCGACAGCCTTCCTTTTCCGTTTTGTAACAGACTAGATATAATAGATTATTAACATTATTCGTATCTTTAACTAAATCATTATCTTGGATGTATTCTTCTATGGTTTGGTCGATTAGATCTTTTGGGCAGTAAACCCAAGCTGCTTCTAGATCTTTGTAGTGCGGTTTGCTCCAAGCTGTGGCGATTAAATTTTTGTCAACGTGTGTATGTGTATATCCTCTTAAATCAGCCCACGATATATGAGCAGAATATTTTTACGCGCTCTGCTACCATACCAGAATAGCTTCCGCTACATCAGCAGGGATTTGAAGATGCCAACGTCTCTGGGTCAACGGTAACGGAAAAGTCAAGCTCCCCTACAAGCTCCCTCACCAGTCTGCAGAGGAACTCCTTATCAGCAATGGTCCGAGATATACCACCTAGAGCCAAGTTGGCTACTTACTCCGATAACCTGTTGAGATCCCGAGTCATATACCAGTTGATGCTGCGAATAAGAGCTGCCGAGGCGAATCCTTCTTCAGAGGGTATCCCCTTGCTCAGGAAGTCCCCCAGGCCCGGCATTTCAAAATCCCGAAGCTGCGGTGGAAGAGCATGGCTACCAGTTAATGCAGAATGGAGTATAATAAGCCTTGTAGCTACTCCATCTAGGGCGACATAACTCTGAACTGTTCCGGTCTGGTCGGCATTCCACCAGGGGGATGGACCCGAAGAGCGGTTAAGCGAGCGAGACGCATACTCCGTTAAAGTCATGTAGCCGCCCAGTCGCTCAATTATAGGAAGGATCTCGCCGTAAATTTGTTTTGGAAAGCTTCCGCCCAGAGAAAACTCCCAGTCTAGGAACTGGAAGGATTTCTTGCCGCTGCCCACCAGTGTCTGGTATTCGCGGAAGGCACGGCGCCGAGCCCCTTGTAAACAGAAGCCGGCGCTGGCCTTGTCACTGAGGTTTCCGGCAGTGCCGTGAATACGAGCAAAGATTGTTTGGCGGACGCACATGTAGAACTTGGCGAGCATGTACATGGACTGTGCGGCATTCTGGCGCAGCTCATAGTGTTCGGGAAGTGGATAGGGGATAATGGTCCAGAAATACCCAGTAAGAACACCAACAGTTACAACAGCAAGCCGGTAGGGAAAAATTATATATGGTGCATAAACCACAAGTCCGGCTCTTGAGATGGCTTCTTGCCCCAGTTTGCGGTATTGAAGCTCAGTGGCTATCATAACAATTGCAGCTATGAGGGCCACGAACCATATGCTGGAAAAGTCCGGGAACCGAGCAACTAGCAAAAGGAAATTATGGATAAGCTCTTTAGTCTCAGGGTGAATAATATGGAAAGGCTTCGCAGACGTACAGAGGTAGCCGATGGCCGTGAACCAGATCCAGAGTAGAACCAGAATTCCCGGGGTTGTCTGATCAGGAATGTACCAGATAAGGTAGCAAGCTATCATGGAAAGAAATGTCCCCAGTATGCGGCACAATAGAAAGAACGTCGACGATCCAGCTGTGCGGCCCATAGAGAGTAAAATGGCAAACATAGCCCAGAGAAACTGGTGTCCAAAATAGAAGGCCTGCGAGTCATGGAGGAAGGAGATGATCGCGATGGTCATGATTGCACAGACACCTCGAAGACCATAGGCAGCATGATCGGTACGCAGGACGGAACTGATCTTGCGGATCCGGTCTCCAACAGACTGAACGAGGTTGACAGGTGGGAGATGGTCAGGGTCTCTTTTATTATCGAATGCAAGGCCAAGTTTAACATCCGCTTCAGCGTCGGCGCTCTCTTGCCAACACCGCCATGGACGAATCATTGCTTCCGCCCAGGGTATGAAGCGAGCAAGGCGGCCAAAACGAGGGAAGCGAAGGCGCTTGGGTTTCGCATGGCACTCCTCGAGGTAAAGTAGTAGTTGGAGTAGTTCGCCTCCAAGAGATGACAGCAGGGTTTGAAACTGTAACAATTAGTTCCCGGCTGGAAAGTGAGCAGTAAGGCTTGAATATGCCTACATGGAGTAACAGAAAATAACGCAGGGTAATGGAATAAGGCTCAGGCACAGTAAGATCCCTATACTCAGCTTGTGGCCTGTTCCGCATGTAATTGTAAAGCAGCTCCTCCTCCTCTCTAGTACAGTGGCCCTGCTGGCTCGGGATGGAGCAGATACCACGGTAAGAGCTGAGAAAGCTGGCTGTTCCTGGCCTCATGGAGCCCACCCGGTGCTCTTCATCAGTCCCTCTCGCACGAGGCCTACCAAACAAAGAACAGCCAAGGGTCTGGTCTAATCTGACTTTGCCGTGTTCTGCTCCGTCCATGATCGCCTTAGATATCCGGAGCGAGTGCTCGTGCATTGTTACTTCAAGGTAATGCCAGTCCCTCTTGTTATTCGTGGTATCATTCCCGTCATCGCGACTATTCGTCGCGTTGGTACTATTGTGCGAATTGCAGCCTTCTGTAGCCAGCTGCATCATGTTTGCTGTAGAGCTTAAACCAGACGCGGGTGGGATTAGGTCGACCAGCAATGAGGCAATATACTCCAGGTCTGAGCCACCAATATGATCCCAAGATACCTCACAGTCTGCATATATGACATCTTGACGAGCCTTGACAATGGTACTTATGAACCATTGCTGGGCCTCTTCAAGTTGACGGACAGATGAACTCCTCTCCTCTTCGCCTTCTCCAGAGATCTTGGTTGACCTAAGCTCGTCCATACATTTTCCTTGAGCCCGCATAAAAGAGGCCAGTGCATCAAGCGCAGTCTTCAGGTCCCTTTTGATTAGACCTCTGCAAGTCCTCGGAAATATGATAAGGCCAGTGACCAAGCCGACGGCCTGCCCTGCCAAAAAAACCTCCAAGATTTTGGTGTTGCTAGCGATGACTTGCGTTACAGTAGTAACTCGAGCAACAGCAGGCATTGCCGCAACGGCATATATACCAGCTAGGACGCATTGTAGGTTCCAGGAAGGATAGGCAGACTTCAGGGTGAACACACACCAGAGGATAGATATCATGAAAATAGCGACCACGGCTTCAGCCGAAGAGTTGTAGCCCGCTAGATCTTCACTGCTGTTTGTGGTGTGTTTCCTGGCCTGCACTGCAGACCAGCCGGCAAGCAAAGCCCAACAGTATGTCACGACCGTGGCCAAGGCGAGTTGGAGATTGTACTCGATAAGCTTTGCCTGGGGAAGAGCCGGCAACGCAGACGCCGCCATGATCGCAGCCAAATAGGCATTTGTGGTGAAGTAATTGATATAAGCATCCACTTCAATAACACACACGAGCACGGCAGGCGCGACTGCTGTTTTAATAGCCATTGCCACAGTGTCCCAGTCCAAAGTCAGCTGTGCCAAGACAGACTTGAGCTGCTCGAGCCTTCCTTCATTTTGGGCGGGGGAGGTTGGCATTGACATGTGTCTTTCCATTGTCCCATAGTCTTCATCGGAAGGTGAACGGAGCCTTGAGTCTTATGTCTCAAATCATGACAGACTGTAGGCTCACCCTAGGTAGTTACATGGTTACATGCAAGTGGAGACTCGGCAGTCGACGCGAGAGATCCGAAGTATCTCCACCGTCCCATTCCTGAAAGCGGCGCTCGGGACCTTCGGCACCGAAGTTAAACGTAGTGGGCAGAGTATTATGGTCATCCTTTCGATTATATCCTGATTGACGACCTGTATATATTTTTGTCACATATAATTAGTAGATCCGAGGATTCGAAAGGACGGTGTTCTCGGAGGCCAGGCCGAGGCTATATACTACTGGGTATGTATATAACGCAACGGGACTATATGAAATACTTACTCCTAATACAAGTCTTCGCCAAAATTCCTTGGGCCGCTTGTCGAAAAATATAGAAACGCCATATGTCGAAGATATGACATTCAAACTCACTATTCTCCGTCATGAAAGTCTCGTTGGACGACCAAACGAAGAATATGATATAGCTGTATAGCTGCGCAACACCGAGCACGAAGATAGGGATAGCGTTATCTCGGAGGCGATCAGCTATATACCACTGGTGATCATCCAGAAGAACTCCTAGTTTGAACGGTTAAAGATAAGGAGCACATTTGAAAGAAAGAAAACTTACGATTGCACCAACGATAGTGGGAAGGACGTTGACACTGGTTGTGCTGGATTTGTGCTTGACGGATTTGAGGTTGACTTTTGGATTTGTAGCTGGTGGTTTTATCGTAGTAAAAGTGAAGATCTATTTTCAGGGTTGATGATGTAAGAATGTCGTTGCCATACCTATTTGGTTGTTTCAAGGGGTGCAAGAAAGATTTTACTAACATCGAGAATATACCTATAGAACGGATTTTACCGCACTCCTTTCTTTGAGTACCAGTGATACCTCTTTCTCGTCAAGGTCCAGCCTTTTTAACACATTCTCAAAAGGCTTATTCTGCATATCTTGTTCTACTACTCATCGACTCTCTATATCAACTTTGGCCCACAACACTCGCCAACCACAACTTTCATGTTTAGACCCAATTGAAGAATGACTCAGTTCAAATAAACCAATGCTGAGAACATGATAACAACACAATATCTTGGTCTAATTTGATCAACTCCCTCTCGTTGTTCTTTTCATTCAACTCAGTTCAAACTACTACCATCCCCAGCCTCACTTTTTCTTTCAAATTATATTCGAATCAACCTCATTCTCACCTGACCATCACTTTTCCCTTCAATTAGTGATTAACAATTGAATAGCCATAAGTGGGAATTCAACTTAGCGCCAGATCACTACCAGCCATATCCATCATCTCCATTCCTCTTCGGATCACATATCTTCCCCATCTACATCCTCTTCATCAGAAACTTCGAGGTGCAATTTGCTATCTCGCCTGCATTCAGATTATTACTGGTCTTGCTCATACTCAAAGCGAAGAATTTCAAAAGAGCTCGATATTCTTTCAATACCACTCATACATCCCAACTGCACAGGAGAAAATGACATCATCAGTCGCTGTCGTCCGTAGTCCTGTCGACAAAACCTGCCACTTTCTCTATTTTGTGGACCCTGCAACAAGAAGACTTGTTTTCGAAAAGCGTTCTATCTACACTTCAAAAGGACACTCCCTTAATTCGAATGATAAGTTTTTTGAGGGCATCATCTGGCCTTCCGCGCCGATTGCTGCAGTGCTGCAAGGTGACATGGTAAGATCTGGACACTGCAAACCATTCCCCGCTAACACGGATATGAAGGTTTCTGTTTACGGCATAACCGAGCCCAACGATTTAGAGGGTGATATGTACCTCTCAAAGCTGAGCCCGACGCTCGATGTACTTATTGACGACTTAGACATGGACGAGCCGAGAATGATCAGCGAAGTCTCAATGGCTTCATGCTCTGATGGGCGAGACCTGACTTTTGTCTACTACCTTTCTGATGATCCGTACGTAATCCCAAATCTTATAATACATTCGAGGTGATTCTCTAATATGGCCTCAGTGTCAGTAGCGATGATGAGTTGGAGTTGAATGAGTTGGAATTATGGGGAGAAAGTAACAGGGGGATCTCAACGACAAGGAGCCTATATCTCTCAGAAGTATCTGGACTATGTGCCGTGATCCATCGGGAAACGCTGGTGAGGTTTATCTTTTACATGAGCCCAAACCCGTCTGGCACGTCAAGCATTGTTCGTTGGATTTGTTCCGAGGATCCAAGTAGTAAGCATACTCAATCCTCTTGGCTAGACTCATTCCTCTACATGACTGACATAACTCAGGTAGCTATGTCATCGGCCATATGTTCAAGACCTCTAGTATCTTGGCAGCAACCTCTCGGGAAAGAATCGACCATTCAGTGTCTTATCTCGATATCTTCCTCTATCTCTTGAAGCCGGGTGATCGTCATATAACCAGGCTTGTGGGGAGAGCACGAGGTCACAGCATTGAGTGGTTCGATCCTTGCATGGTTTTAAACCCACCGACAGATGAGAAATCTTCTCTAGCCGTCGTAAATGAAGACAAACGGAACTATGTGTATTTCATTCCGACAGGAAAGGTCAAATACGAGGCATATGTTGATGTGATCGAAGATTATTGGTTCTGGCCCCAGAAAAAATGATGGAAAATGTACAGTTTTGCTCTATGGGCAAGAAGAGACCGTTGTTTCAAACGGTAGCTCCTACAATTGGCTTCCTTTCATCACTTATTCTGAGGAGCGGGGCTTTTACTTTGTCTTGTCCTTTTCTTGGATCTATCTAGGGCCCCCTTTTGAACCATTTCGTTATCATTTGGCTTTCTCGTCAGTTGTGTTATTCTGCATAGTTAGGCTACCATCGAACTTCTGATCATGAACGAGGTAAAACTTTACCTGGGAGGATCTTTCATTGGGGCAGTCTATCCCATTAACTTTAAGATGTTAATTAGCATTCAATAAAATGTACTGCAGCCTCAACTTACGAGCACGGTTCTATAATCTTTAATCCCGGGCTATTTACGCGTGACAAGCAGTTATTTATCTCATGTCGTACTGTCAAGTTGAACAAAATTCCAAATTAATCAACTCGACGAGATATGCTTTCTTAACATGTTCGCAAATGGGCGTGAGATGTCTATGGATCGACAAAACGTAATTCATAGATGCTTCTGTCACTGCTGATCCATGATGCTAGGCTAGATGCTCATAAGATTCCCGGGGCTATAGATCGGCATGGTTGTAGGATGTACCAGTATTAACTACTTCGCAGCATCATAGTCGGCTCTTTAGATTCCTGCGATGGGCTTCTCAATTGTCATGCTCCGAAACTTAGTGACGAACGAAATTAATCTCAGCCCTACGTCAAACGCCATGTTCCTCGGCTTGCACAACTGGCACAGTGTATAAACCGAGAACTGGCAAGTTAACGAATCAAGAAACGAAACATCCAGACAGCAGCAGCATTGCAGGTCACCGGATTCATCATCGAATGTTGCTTCCCGTGGACCATGGAGTGTGCTCTTGCCAGGAGGTTGTGAGCTTGAAATATTCATCCTATGCTCCAAGGACAAATTGAGGGAAATCGAGTTTATATTGGCCTAACGGACAGGAATTAAAGCCTGTGTTAGAACCTGTAGTAACTCTCTTGTAGTATGTAGATGCAATGCACTCCTCGTGACACAGGAATATGGAAGGTGATCAATATGGCCTGAGATTTGTCTGTGGCAGGGCGGCAGTTGATCTTATCCAAGTGATTTCGATGATGCAGGTTCTCACAAGCCGTAAGCTTTTAGGTTAGAGGGTGTCCATTGTGCCGAAGAGCTGAACTGCTCCCACGTAGCTATTTCTGAGCAATTGCTCAACGCAGGCCTTCCCAATCACAGTTGAACGAAAACACGAGTCTACATAGTTTAACTTCAGCCGGTGAATGTATGCAACCGGCCGAGAGATGATATACATGAGATAAATGGTGCCATTTCAAACAATATCAATTTATACATACACATATGAAGACAAGAACGCCGATTCCGAATCGACCTGTACGAGTTGAGGTCCGGCAAAAATGATACAACGTAAGACAAATCCCAGTAGAGGATGGGTATTCAACGGCCCATTTACCGCTTGGGCCACTTCTTCCAGCCACGACCGTGACCTCTCTGTAAAAAGAAACCAAATTAGAACTTATACTTGCAAAATGCCATCGGCAGAGTGTGCTTACCTGCTTCCACAACCGGATCATCTCCGGCATCTCCAGCATAGCCTTGCGACGGTCCTCCAGACGCGCCTCCATCGTACGCTCCCACTTGTGACCCTTGACCTTCTGTCCGATACCGGTACCCTTGATCTGCAAACCACGCTCCGCGCGCCGAGTCTCCTTGAATTCCGTCGACTTGCGGCCCGGCGGCAGCAGGGCCTCCACGTTGTATTTGATGGCCAATTTCACCAGGTCGGCCTGCGTACGCAGCCCGTAGCGCGGGCTAATCCACTTGCCCGTGCGGAAGTTCTTGTGAGGCAGGAAAGGGTTGGGGTGTTTGGGGTCGGTGTGGAGGAGGGCTTTGGAGGGCGAGAATTCCTTGGGATCGGGGTGCTTGTAGCCCTTGGCGTCTCTGTTGGGGGTGTATGGCGAGGGAAGCGACTCTTCGCTGACAGCTTGTGTCGTCTCCTCCGGGGAAGCACGGGGTGCCACGGCGGCGGAATAGATTTGCGGAGGATAACGGGCGAAGAAGTTTTGGAGTCGGGCAGGCAGCTTGCTCACCAAGCCGGTGGTCGCCTGGGTGGATGCCATGGTGGAGTGAGGCGAAGATCGTCACCAGGCGAAGAAAGGGGAGGTAGTTGGGGAAAAGGAAAAAGAAAGCTGGATGAAAGGGAATGGACGAGATGGAAGAGATGAAGCGTGAATACTTTGGAAGGTCGAGAAATTGTAGGGCGCTAAGCCACATTCGGGGTGAGGCTCGGCAAGAAGAAAAAAGGGCGCGCGGTGTGGCTGTTCCGCTGTCTCTCAAGTCTTCTCCGTCTATCTACTCTGCCAACCGCTCCCTCCTTCGCCCTTTCCTTCTCCCTGCAGTTCCATTCCCACCGTCGGTCGCCGTCTGGTGCGCTCTTACCACTTTGCATTTCTGATCTCGATTCGGCTTGTCACCATGGCAGATTACAACTACGGAGGCTCCGAAGAGGAGAATGCGGAGTTGAGAAAGATGGAGGCTGAACTGGTATGATCTATCTTATCCCTGCTCAAGCTCTATAATATCGTACACCCGGACTGACTGGCCTTGCCACGGCGATATAGGTCGACGACCCCGATAACTTCGAGACCTGGGAACGGCTCGTTCGCGGCGCCGAGGCCCTCGAAGGAGGAATCAATCGCAACTCCAACCCCCAGGCTATAACCACCGTACGAAATGTTTACGACCGGTTCCTGGCCAAGTTCCCCTTGCTGTTTGGATACTGGAAGAAGTATGCCGACTTGGAGTTTTCCATCACTGGCACGGAAGCAGCAGATATGGTATGGAATACTTTCTTATCGCTCCCCTCCCACTGCGCCCCTCGTGACTAACATCTCGCGCTGTAGGTCTATGAACGAGGCGTCGCTAGCATTTCGCCTTCGGTCGACCTCTGGACCAACTACTGCTCTTTCAAGGCAGAGACTTCCCATGATGCTGACATCATTCGAGAGTAAGTGGACAAAACAAAACGCCGGTTTTTCCTTTCCTTCCCCTCCTGTAACCACCAACGCAGCACGGCACATTATCGTGGTATCGCATCCGCGTAATGCAACAGGTCGTTGATAAACCTTCCCTCGATGACGGGTGAGATGTCGCCTTACCCGGACTCAAATGGAGTTTACTTCTCACCCTTTGGCTTCCTCAGGCTGTTTACTTTCCCTTGAAACTACACAAAAGAAAAAAAAGAAAAAGAAAACTTGATTTCACATCAAAATTCATTCCTTGGACACCACAGATCAGTACCTCTGTTCGATGGATCCTACTCTGCAAACGATGCAGAGGAAGGGGGAACGTCTTTGACCATTTGATCACCTGAGTCGTTGAATTGTTTGGGTTCGCATGCACTGAAGATTGAATGCTTACGTTTGCCATCCTTGTTATTTCCCCTTCACTGCCCTTTTCTCGCCCTCCACCCTTCTCTGGTTGACGTTATTGGAAATACTAACACGCCCGACACAGACTATTTGAACGAGGTGCGACCAGCGTCGGGCTGGATTTCCTGGCCCATCCGTTTTGGGACAAGTACATTGAGTTTGAGGAGCGAGTTGAATCTCCTGAAAAGATCTTTGGCATTCTAGGCCGAGTGATCCATGTCCCCATGCATCAGTATGCCCGATACTTTGAGCGATTCAGGCAGCTTGCGCAGACCCGTCCCTTGGTGGAACTGGCTCCTCCGGAGACCCTGTCCCAGTTCCGGGCCGAACTAGACGCTGCCGCAGGAAATGTGGCCCCAGGCGCAAAGGCCGATGCGGAAGTCGAACGGGACCTCCGACTGCGTGTCGACGCGTACCACCTTGAAATCTTCCACAAGACGCAGACTGAAACCACTAAACGGTGGACATATGAGTCGGAGATAAAGCGCCCTTACTTCCATGTCACCGAGCTGGACGAAGGTCAGCTGGCCAATTGGAGAAAATACCTCGACTTTGAGGAGGCCGAGGCCTCTTACTCGCGAACGCAATTCCTGTACGAGAGATGTCTCGTGACCTGCGCGCACTACGACGAATTCTGGCAACGTTATGCTCGCTGGATGGCCGCCCAACCCGGCAAGGAAGAGGAAGTGCGCTGCATCTACCAGCGTGCAAGCTGCCTCTATGTGCCTATCGCAAACCCGGCAACTCGCCTGCAGTATGCTTACTTCGAAGAAATGTCGGGGCGAGTGGATGTGGCCAAGGACATCCATGAAGCAATTCTGTTTAACATTCCCAACCACGTGGAGACGATTGTGTCTTTGGCCAACATGTCTCGCCGTCACGGTGGGCTGGAAGCTGCCATCGAGGTGTATAAGACCCAGCTGGATTCGTCGCAGTGCGATTTGGCCACGAAAGCGGCTCTCGTCGCTGAATGGGCTCGCCTGTTGTGGAAGATCAAGGGGTCTGCCGAAGATGCCCGGCAAGTGTACCAGACCAACCAGCAATACTACCTGGATAGCGGAGCTTTCTGGACGAGCTACCTGGTGTTCGAGCTGGAGCAGCCCACCAGCTCTGCTACGGAAACTGTCCAGTATGAGCGCATCAAGCAGGTGGTTGATGACGTCCGTTCCAAGAGCAGCCTGTCTGCCGACGTGGTGAAAGAGCTCGTCCAAACCTACATGGTCTACCTGCTTGAACGAGGTACCAAGGACGCGGCCAAGGAGTACATGACTCTGGATCGTGAGGTCCACGGCCCTGCCTCTGTAGCTCAGACCAAGACCGGCGCCGCGGCAGAGGCTGCTAAGCAGCAGTCTGACGCCGCCATGGCTGCGGCAACACCTCTGGTGGTCCCAACGACCGCCGCGACCCCCCAACCCAACCCGTATGCTTACTACCAGGAGACTCCCGTCAACGGCAGCGTGGGTGCCTGAGCTTTGATGCTTGTGAGTTTCGCCTCCAGCTGATCTGATCTGATCTTTTCTATGACCGATGGGGCATGGGGATTCTCTATCCCCTTCCGTTGACCGCTCGAATCGGCCACTATCCTCCGTGTAGAACAATGTTCCTTTTTTCTTCTTTCTTTTTCTGATTTGCTTAGCGACTCTGCAATGTCTGGAAGGGAGGTTGCTCGCTACCATGCTAGTTTGCCTGATTCTTCGTGACAGCTCTTCTTAAATGATATCATGCGATGTTTGGTTGGGTGGACTTTTATGGGATTGGACACCGTTTCCCTTGTACTCTAATGCCTAGGTAGTGCGAAAAAATTATAATCTGCTTTGGCCTGTATCTGTCGTCACTGTCTAGTTACTATATCGTTGCTGTACTTGGCCTTTGTCTTGATCGAGGCCAAGCGAGACAGGAGTTCACGTGACTGCGCATCGTGCCGGGTCGCCCGCCGTAGAAATTCTAGATTCCGCGGCGACTTGCATTGTCGGCCATTTCCTTCACCTCCAGTTCTTTGCGCCCAACTGTCTCACATCGCCATCATGGATGGTATCGTAATGAACGGGTCGACGGAGGATCCGTCTAGACCTCCTCCTCCCGAACCCTCAGAACGCCCTCCCACTCCCCCTCCGCCTCCTCCAGAAGATTCCGCCGCCCCTCCTCCGCCCCCGGACGTGTCCGCGCCTCCACCACCGCCCGAAGACCTCCCTCCTGCTCCGCCGCCAGAGCTTCCCAAGAAGAAGAAGGTCGGATGGGGTGCGAAGCGTCCGGTCTCTACACCGCTGAGTGTGGAGGAGTTGATCCGGAAGAAGCGAGAGGCAGACGCTGCAGCCGCAAAGGTATGTCATAGCAGTTCAGCTTCCCTTGACAGCTTAACCAGCTTGGCGGATATGAGGGATGATTTACTAACATTCTGGATGCGTCTACTTCTACAGCCTAAATTCCTCTCCCGAGCAGAACGCGAGCGTCTCGCGCTCGAAAAACGCAACAAAGAAGTCGAAGCTACTCGAAAACAGGCATCCAACGGAACAGACCGCAGCAGCACGCAATCTCCCTCCATAGCCTCCGACGACCCGCGCGGTGACTCGAGATCCATTCCTACCGGGCCCCGGGCAATGCGCAACGCGGATGTACCGACCGCGCCGGCTGCCATGCGTGGCTCACAGCATTCACAGAGCAAGAACAACGACATGCCGCCGCCGAAGAAGGGCGCACCTCGGCCCGTGGATGAGGACGAGGCGGCTGCGCAGGCGGCACTAGTGAAGCAGAGATACATGGGAGCGGACCAGGCGTCCACTTTCTCGGCGAAGAAAAAGCGCAAGAGGACGACGGATCGGAAGTTCAACTTCGAGTGGAATGCGGAAGAGGATACCAGTGGCGACTACAACCCGTTGTACCAGCATCGGCATGAGGCGAAGTTTTTCGGTCGTGGACGTCTGGCGGGTTACGGCGATGACGTCGCGGAGCAAATGGCGAAGAAGTATGCGCGAGCACTGGAGGACCAGGACCGCGAGGCCGGAGGGATGCGTGCGCGCGAAATCATGGAGATGGAGCGCCGGCGGAGAGAAGAGAGTGCTCGGAACCAGATCGACAAGCACTGGAGCGAGAAGAAGCTGGAACACATGCGCGAGCGAGACTGGCGTATCTTCAAGGAGGATTTCAACATCAGCACCAAGGGTGGCAGCGTACCCAACCCCATGCGGTCATGGGATGAATCGAATCTGCCGAGTCGCTTGATGGAACTGGTCAACCGGGTCGGCTACAAGGAGCCCACGCCCATCCAGCGCGCCGCTATCCCCATCGCCTTGCAGTCTCGTGACCTCATCGGTGTGGCCGTCACCGGTTCCGGTAAGACGGCCGCCTTCCTCCTCCCTCTCCTGGTGTACATCGCCGAACTCCCGCGCATCGACGAGTTCGAATGGCGCAAGAACGACGGACCCTACGCCATCGTGTTAGCGCCCACCCGTGAACTGGCGCAGCAGATCGAGATCGAAGCCAAGAAATTCACGCAACCGCTCGGCTTCAATGTGGTCAGTATCGTTGGAGGTCACTCCTTCGAAGAGCAAGCGTACAGCCTGCGAGATGGCGCGGAAATCATTATCGCCACGCCCGGTCGTCTCGTCGACTGCATCGAGCGTCGCCTCCTCGTCCTCAGCCAGTGCTGCTACGTCATCATGGATGAAGCCGACCGCATGATCGACCTCGGCTTCGAAGAGCCCGTCAACAAGATCCTCGACGCGCTGCCCGTCTCCAACGAAAAGCCCGACACCGACGAGGCCGAGAACTCACTCGCCATGAGCCAACACCTCAGCGGCAAGGACCGCTACCGCCAAACGATGATGTACACCGCCACCATGCCCACAGCCGTCGAGCGCATCGCCCGCAAATACCTCCGCCGACCCGCCATTGTCACGATCGGCAGCGCCGGCGAGGCCGTCGACACGGTCGAGCAGCGCGTCGAGATGGTCGCCGGCGAAGACAAGCGCAAAAAGCGTCTCGCCGATATCCTCTCATCGGGCGAGTTCCGCGCCCCGATCATCGTCTTCGTCAACATCAAGCGGAACTGTGATGCCATCGCACGAGAGATCAAACAAATGGGCTTCTCCTCCGTCACGTTGCACGGTAGCAAGACACAGGAACAGCGTGAAGCCGCCCTGGCTTCCGTGCGCAGCGGCGCCACCGACGTCCTCGTCGCCACTGACCTGGCGGGTCGTGGTATCGATGTTCCTGACGTCTCGCTGGTCCTCAACTTCAACATGGCCACCTCTATTGAGAGTTATACCCATCGTATCGGTCGTACCGGTCGTGCCGGAAAGAGTGGTGTGGCTATCACTTTCTTGGGTAATGAAGATGCGGATGTTATGTATGTCCCCATCCCCATCCTTATTCCTATTCCTTTTCCTTTTCCCTCTACCTCTCTCTACCTATATCTATACCCCGAAATACCTCCCACCACCCACAAATCAAAGACCCCACTCACTAACAAAACCAAAAACACAGGTACGACCTCAAACAAATGCTCATCAAATCCCCCATCTCGCGCGTCCCCGAAGAACTCCGAAAACACGAAGCCGCACAATCCAAACCTACGCGCGGTATGGCCCGCAAAGGCGGCGGCGATCGCGACGAGAACTCTGCATTTGGTGGAAAGGGTGGATGGTAATTCAGGTGAAGTCAAGGAAGTGCATTCTTGTCTGGGGGCTTTCTGGCTGGCAGATAGCTAAAGGTACAGATACAGACAGGCAGGCAGGCAGGCAGACAGGCAACATGCCTCGTATAATATGCCATACATTTACCTCGACTCCTTCATACCAACGTGAACAAGTCAAATACTTTGTCATTCGAGTTGAGATTCCCATCTTTCCAAGTGTAAAGTAGTATACAAAACAGCATCCATTCCCCACCCCAATAGACCAATTCATCCGAGACATAAACCGTTCACATTCACATTCACTTCCACATCCAAGTAGATATCATATAGATCGATATATATAGATTAAATAGAAATTATACAACCCCCGACTCATTCCCCCAACTTTTTATATATAAATAAAAAGAAGAAAAAGACCCAACTAGCTATTCCAGAAAAGCCAGAAGAAGCCAAAAAGAAAAACCTACGTCTTACAGCTTACTCTCCTTCAACCAAGACGCGACGTCTGCGCGGTCACGGTTCACCCAGTTGATCTTGGCGCGGATGGCATCGAGAGACTGTTCGATGGAGCGGTCGAAGCCCTAGAAAAAAGACAAAGTTAGTGATCATATGGTCAAGTGGAAGTAGCATCTCAGAGGGAGTCAAGTCAAACTTACCTTCGTGTCCTTGCTCTCGAAGAAAGTCTGCACATCCTTCAGCTGCGCCTCGGTACAGAAGCTAGCAGTGCTGAGCTGAACAACGGTGCCGAGCATGCCCAGACCAGGGGGCAGACGCTTGTACAGAGCGTCCCAGTTGTTCTTCATCCAGGACCAGCGGGCCTCGATACCCGTGGTGTGGCTGCGCAGACCGCCCAGGGGCATATAGATATCCTGGTTCTTGACCTCCTCGCCAGTGGCAAGAGCCAAAGTGCGCTGGATCAGGTCGGGGTGCTCGGCGGCGCCGAGGCAACGGAGGGCGGTGGTCTTCTCGTCGGAAGTGGGGGCGTGCAGGAAGCGGTCGTACACGACGTTGTATTCCTTCTCGCCACCGTGCTTCAGGACGATGGAGAAGACGCTGCCACGGATGTTGGGGTGGATGGCGCCGACGTCGCCGGCGGAGAAGCGAGCGAACATGTCCTGGGCGGCCTTGACGACAATAGGGTCCTCGGCCATACCGGCGCTGCCGAACATGAGAGCCTTGAACTGTTGCAGGATGTGGCCGTCCTTTTCAGAGAACTCCCAGCCCAGCTCGTGGGCCTTGTCGCTGACCAGCGAACGCTGGAAGGCCTTGAGGGCGTCCTTGGTCTTCTGGTCCTCGAAGAGCCAAGCGGCGCGAAGGGTACCAATCCGGGTCAGAATCTCATTCCACACAACGAACTCGGATTCGGTGGAAAAGCCCTTCAGGAGGGAGAGGAGACCGGAGGTGCTCTGGTAGCCGGACGCCGCCAAAGCGCCAGCATCGGCAATCATACCGGCACGATCCTCCACCGTCAGCAGACCCTTACCGGCGGCCGCACCAAGCTTGGTGAGACGCTCGGGGGTGTACGATGTGCGGTAAATGGCGGAGTGGTCCGCGTTAAGCTTGTAGAAGTCAAGGTTGGGAACCTTGAACTCCTGTTCGCGCTCGGTAAGCATCGTGTTTTCGTCGATGCCCTGCTCAGTGCGCAGGCCGAGCATGACGGGGAAGAGGGTCTTGTCCTCCTCGGGACGCACATCACCGGTGCGCAGGAAGCGGTTCTGCTTCACCTTGATGGACGAGTTGCTCGGGTTCTCCGACACCGTCACGACGGGGAATCCAACGTTCTTGGTCCAGATATCCATGACCTGCTCCACCGGCTTGCCACTGGCATCGGCCAGGGCCGACCACAAGTCACCGGTCTCGGTGTTGCCGTAGGCGTGCTTCTTGATGTAGTTGCGCACACCCTGGAGGAAGACATCCTCACCCAAGTACTTGGAGATCATGCGCAGGACGGAGGATCCCTTGGAGTAGGAAATAGCGTCGAAGATCTGGTTAATCTCATCGGCCCGCTTGACAGGTACCTCAATGGGGTGGCTGCTACGCAGAGAGTCAAGGGAGAGAGCGCTCTGCAGGTTATCGATGACGTAAGTCTGCCACACCTTCCACTCGGGGTAGAAGCTGTTGCAGGAGTACCACGACATCCACGTGGCGAAACCCTCGTTGAGCCAAAGGCCGTCCCAGAAGTCCATGGTCACCAGGTTTCCGAACCACTGGTGGGCCAGCTCGTGCTGGACGGTCTCCGCAATACGCTCCTTGCGCGACGCACCGCTCGTCTTCTCATCCAGCAGCACATCCACAATACGGTAGGTGATCAGACCCCAGTTCTCCATAGCCCCGGCGCTGAAATCGGGCACGGCCACCATGTCCATCTTGGGAAGAGGGAACTCGTTGTCGAACGCCTTCTCATAGAAAGCCAGAGTCCGAGCAGCCAGGTCCAGCGAGAAGCGGCCGTGCTCGATATCTTGGTCGGGCGTGGCATAGACGCGGATGGGAACGCGGAAGTCCTTTGTCTCGATGTAGTTCAGATGACCGACGATGAAAGCCACCAGGTACGTAGACATCTGCGGGGAGGTGTTGAACTTGACGGCTTTCTTGAGGCCGCCCTTGACGTCAGTCTCCGACTCAACATCCATGTTGCTCAGACAGGTCATGTCCTTGTCGGCGATGAGAGTGATTGTGAACTTGGCCTTGAGGGCGGGCTCGTCGAAGCAGGGGAAGGCACGGCGAGCATCGGTAGGCTCCATCTGCGTGGAAGCAAGGTACTTCGTCTGGCCGTCCTTAGCCTTGTAGGAGGAGCGGTAGAAACCGGCCATGTTGTCATTGAGGATACCGGTGAAGTCGAGCTTCAGCTGAGCCGAGGAACCGGCGGGAATGGTGTCGGCGAAATTGATGGTGGCCACCTGCTTGTCCTTGTCGGTCGAGATCTCGGGGTTGGAGGAGACTACGGCGCCCTGGGCAGAGATGGTGGCAGCATGGATATCGATTTCATTGGTATTGAGGGAGACGAAGGTGGTGTCCTCTGCAACCTGAAGACTAGATAGAGACCGTTAGTTTAAATGCCACCCCAAGACTCCAAACCGCAGCTGGGAGGAGCAAGCATACTCAATGACGACGGATCCATCGTAGGTGAACGCTTCGAAGTTCGGCTCGAGCGTCAGATCGTAGTGAACGGGCTTGACGTTCGTGGGCAGCACCTCACGACCGTGGGTCAGGTTGGTCGAGCCCGAAGGCACCTCGGCACGTCGGGAGCTGCACATCCTGCGGTAGGAACAATAACGTTTGGTGATCTGGGAAAGGGGGGAACGACGAGAGGAAAGGCGATGTAGGGAGGTGGGGGAGGAGGAAGAGGAAGAGGAAGAAGAGAGAACCGATGAGGAGCGAGAAGAGGAGTAGAAGAGGGGACTTCTGGAGGGGAGAGAAAGCGGTGGCTTTGCTGAGTTCAAAACCAGCGGTAACCGCGTGGAGGAGGGGAACCGACGCATCAGCCCCACCAGAACAAGAGGGAAAGAAAGGGAAAGGAAGAGGGGAACGAAACGAAGGAAAGGGAACGAGTCAGAGGAGAGGAGGCTAATGCGAGGAAAGTATACAGAAGGAAGAGACAGCCAAACAAACGCCGCGGACAACAAAGAAAGAAAATCACGGGGGATGGTTGGTCCCAAGAGAGAAGGCGGTGAAGCGAAGAGCTGTCGGTCCTTACGTAAGACGTCATCTGATCGTGCACTGTCTCAGGCACTCAGGCAGCACTCCCGAACTGGATTAGTCTCGGAAGATCGTCCCTCCGCAGCCGTCTGCCCGCCGCTCTATTTTTTTTCTCTGCGATTTTCCCTCTCCTTTCGATCTCCATACATACATATACATTCAATTCACGCAAGTTACTTATCCAGCGTATGCCAAATAACTCCCCCGGGAGCTTTTCATATGGCAAATGCCTGACGGGCTGTCCCTCGTGGACAGTACTTGCCAGACCGAGCACCAGCCAGTTTGAGGGGTCCATGACTTGCATTCCGTTGCAACTCTTCGTGAGTGGACTTCCATAGATGGTTGGGACAAGCAGATTTCTCTCTGTAATTTGATAGATCAGACTTAGTGCGGAAATTTACTTGAAGAAGTGGGGAAAAAATTGATTCGAATGGAAATAGTCACAATTAATGCTCTATCGTATGCAAAACATCAAATCGCAAGTGAGTCACTAGAACCTCGCTCAACGAAAGTATGTAAGTAGCTTTTATCGACACAAAATGTAACATAAGATCATGGATAAAGAAATGCAGTTGATGATATCATAAAACCCAAACTCCGCCAAAATGCCTCCTGGTATCTTCCTAGCGCTGTTAAAACATTAGAATTATGGAATATAAATATGAAGAATGTTGAATCTTGCGTCATAATCCCGAGATGGCCAAGCATCTCTTGTTGTTTAGGAAAATAGACTTAGGAGTGTTGTTCTTGCTGTTGATGCTGATGCTCTTCCAGCTGAGCCAACGGAAGTTTGGTGAAAACACTCCGGGACCAGCCGTCGGCATCAACGACGGTTTCCTTGACCAGCATGTAGCGGCCAAAGCGAGGCATCAGGACGGCCCACACCACGTAGTAAATGGCACCCGCGGCGAAAATTCCGATAGCCACCACGCAGTGCAGGTAGTACGGCAGCTCGTCGTAGACACTCTGGTCGGCGGAGGGAGGCACGTAAGGCGCAACCACCAGATAGCACTGAGTGAGGAAGAAGAAGACGGTAACGGGGAGGGTCGCACGGATACCCGGGGCGAAGTCGGGGAATTCCTTGGGTCGCAAGTAGATGTAGATAAGGCCGGCCGACACGAACGCATTGACGATGGACAGGGGGTACGAGATCAGGTTGACCAGGAAGTTATAAGCATCGCCGGGGGGAGGAGCCAGCAGGATAACGACCGAAACCACCCAGTGCTCGAAGAGACCGGCGGCAGGAGCGTGGAACGGCTTGTTGCTAGCGAAGAACTTCGAGACAGGCAGGATGCCTTCACGACCCAGTTCTTGGACGACTATTCGTTGACATGGTTAGTATTTTGGATTTCAGCGGGTATAAGAGAAGAGCACATACTTCGACCTTGCGAGAAGATCACGGACAAGACGTTTCCGAAAGCCGACAGCGCAACGAAGACGGACATCACCTTCTCAGCGCGCGCACCGAACATGTTTCCGAAAAAGGTGGCCGCAACGGTTTGCCCAGACGAAAGGAACTGTTCCTTGGGCACAGCGGCAAAGTAGGCAATGTTGCAGAACATGTACAGGATTCCGACCGCTCCAATGGCAATCGGCGCGGCGATCTTCAGGGTACGGGTAGGGTTTTTGGTCTCACTCAAGGCCTGTAGGATGTTAGGATGTCATCAAGAATGAAAGACTGAACTGGTTAGAACCACTCACGTAGTTGGCGTTGGAGTATCCGATGAAGGACCAGATGACATTGTAAAGCGCCATCACAATTCCATACCCACTGCCAGTCGTGCCCTCAAACGCATTTCGGAAGTTGTGAGGAGGGTCGATCTTCATATGGCCGCCCAACGCCACCCACCCGGAAACCGTGACGAACACGATGATTACAAGCTTGACCACACCGAGCAAGTTCTGAAGATGAAGACCCCACTTCAATGCGAAAGCGTGAACCAGGAAAGCAGTCGTGAGACAGGCAAGACCGATTCCGCGCTGGTTCCAGCGGTCGACCTCGACGTCGGCAGCGTTGAGGATGTACTCTCCGAACACGACACTGTTACTGGCAGCCCAACCCAGCAGAACGACGTAGGCGGCAAACATGGCGGTAACGAGGAAACGAGGCTTCTTGTAGACATATTCGAGGTAGTTCTTTTCGCCACCGTTTCTAAACAGTTGGTCAGATGTGAGAACCCCACATGAAGTCGAGCAGGTGAACGTACTTGGGAATAGCAGTACCGAATTCCAGGTAGACAGCAGTACCGGCCATGGCAATGATAGTTCCAATCACCCACATGAAGAGGGACAGGCCGACACTACCGGACAAGGAAAGGATCGTACTCGGAGTCGCGAAGATACCGGTACCGATAACACGGTTGAAGATCAGGAACGAGGCACTGACAACGCCGATCTGGCGACGGTCCTCAGGAGTCGCTTCGAAGACATTACCCTCATCTAAACGGTACCAATTAGACCCTGCACTAGAAAGTGACCTCCCGAATAGGGAAAGTGAGTCAAGAAAAGAACATACAGAGCTGAGAGACGCCGTCCGTTCTGCGGGGGCCGCCTTCTTCGACGGCTTTCGTGTCAGACATGATCTTCTTGGACGAATCCGTGGCCGAACTCATTTTCCTGGATGCAGTAAACAGAAAAGTAGTTTTTTTCGGGGATTCTCTGGCGAGAACCAAACCTTCCCAGGTCTCGAGCTATATAAGCCGACGAGCACACGAGAAAGGGGGCAACACGAGACCGGACAATCAAACGGTTAACGACGGAGGTATAAAAAAGAAAAGTGATGGTGTGCTGGAACTAAATCTGATGCAATAGTCGAGGCGTCTTGGAAGGTTGCAACTGGCAACAGCACAAGCCGGGATGACCGAAAGAACAATCTATAAAGGAACTCCGATAGGGCCAGGGCTTTCTGGACAAAAAAGAGCGAAAATGATGCGATGCTGACTTGGAGGCTAGGCGCAGGATATCATGATCTAGTGACTCTGCTCCGGAAAAAACTCCAAGGAATGCAATGCCCGCCGCCGATGCAATGATGCGGGAAACGAAGGAAAGTTTAGGAAGACGAAGAACGAGGAAAGCAATTGGACGATCAGGAAAGAAAGAAGAAGAAACGAAGAAAATTAAGGTAAGGAAGGAAAGAGGAGCATCATGACAGACGCCATGTGGGAAACTGGGAAAAGAGGCGACAATGGCGCAATAGAGAAAAAAAAATTCGAGAAAAAATCCAAAAAAAATTGGGTTGTGGCGGACCCGCGATGATTGGGAGATCCACCGGAGCAGAACCAGAGAAACGGTGACTCGTTCGAGGGCATTTGCCATGACACACGGAAACCGAGCACGCAATTTTCGAGCTGTTTTCTTCATGGCGGATCCACCGTGGAACGCATGTTCGATGCAACTTCGGCTTCCCGTCTAGACTGCATAGACCCTGCTTGGCCCTAGTCCGTAGTCCGTGATGGATTCGGCCCTAAACAACACAGAGTGAGTCAAGATCCCGAGAGGCACCAGGATATCCAAAATTTCCAATAGGGGTTTTTTTTCTCATTGGTTTATGTACAATACAAAAAGTTCCGTCCAGGGAGTTCGCGGCTCCAAATCCTGCTCTCCTAGACTCCAGTTCCATAGCATCCCATTCCGTCATTCATACCCAAGTTGTGACAATTTGTGACCTCTTCCAGTTCAAACGCCGGGATGAAAGAAAACGCAACCCAATCAACACACGTGGAAGAAAGCAAGAAAAAACAAATTATGAATAGCAAGAGAAAGGGACGCGACGGGCAATCGAACATCACGTGTACGTGACGATGCGTATATGAAAGAAGTCCAATAGAGAAAGAAAATGAAAAGAGAACAGAAAAAAGCCAGGCAAGACGGAAAAGACGCTAATAGTAGATAAAAATGAATCAACAGCCGGCGCCTTCCTTTCCTATGGAACCTCTCACTGGACTCATTAATTAATTATACTTCGCAGAAAAGAAAGAAAAAATCGTAAGAAAGGTAGCAATGCGAAATAGAGGTGCTGCTATATTCCGACGGGACATGTGCCTGCATGTGTAAAAATGGAAAGCTCGAAGCGAACCGTTTCACTTCGGGGTTGCTCCAACTGCCTGAGCTGCAGGGACCAGATTCGACGGAGCTATCTTGCCCGGGCAGCTCGACGGAGGAGTTTGGCGTGACGCTAAGAGCGTGAGTTTCTTGCGGAGAGAGTTTAGTCGGCCTCGGATGCTCGACACCACTGCGGTCACGCGTTAGCAGTCCGGCTTGGAAAAAGTAGAACCCCAGGGCCGCTTTCCCCCAGGAGGTGTGCATGTAACTTACATTTGATCACCACCCGCCGGTCTTCAGATTGCACCCCGTCCAACATGATCTTGTCATGGTCTTTTCGGGAGTCGCCTTTGCCGGCGTTCGGACCCTGTCCCGACTGCGGTACTTCCTCATCCTCCAAGACTGCCTCCAACATCCGGATGGCCGTCACGTAGGCGATCTCGCAGCCGGAAAGATCCTCGCTTGTTAGCTCGTTGATGGCAGCTGCCCGACTCATCTCCAGGGCACGGTCGTACATCAATTTCTCGGCGGTCACTCCGGAACTGACAACGACATCGGCAGTGGAGCCCGATCCTACGGACGAGCCGACCGAAATATTGTTCGGATGGCTGGGGTGATCGATTGGCAATCGCCTCTGCCCTTCGACCAACTTGAGGCGGACAAATTCTCCTTTCTCCAAAACCTCGTTAAATCGGTTCCGCACCCATTGGACAACGTTGTTAATCCGGTTGCCGACGAGAGCGCTCGCAGCATCAGCCCTACTCAAGCCGGGATCGGCAAACCCTTCGCCGCGGTTCTTTCGCGTCCACCAGCTGCCGGCGATGTCCATCGACTTTGCCAATAGAGAGAGCGCCTTTACGTATAGAACCAAAGCCTCCTCTGATAGGGTCACGATGGCATCGACCGTGAGTCCGCCATCGGTCGAGTCGGTCTGGTCCCCAGGAAAGTTGGCTTTGCCCTGGGGATCGGTTTGAACGGATGGGGCGAGGGGGATCAGTTGTTTGTATTTCACCTCGGCAAACCCGTAGACAACGTCGCTGCGAGTAGCACACTCTTCAATCAGTTGGACGATCTTGGCATCTTCGTCCATGGCCATGTTCGTCTTAGACCCGTCCCCGACGAGCATCATATTGGCTTGGGCGGCGGGATATGCGGGGAACGGATTGTAAGCCAAGGGAGGCGAACGGCCACCTTTCGTGATGGGCATAGGTGGGGAGAAACCCACGCCGAATAGCCGCCCGCTTGCCATATTGAGCGCCTTGGAAATTGCCGACGTGGCTGACGTTGGGCTCTGTCCGTACCGCCGTTCGTACGAGGGTTGTCGCGCATGAGCTGAGTCGGCTCGTGTCCGCCCAGAAGCAACCTGCATTGCCTTACCGGTCGTAGCAAGAGGCGACGTGGCCGTCCCCGTAGGCACTCCTTGTGTGGTGGATCGGCGGGAGAGAGCGCCAGCCTGCGGATTCTTGGTGTATCCGGTCTGAAAGCGAGGACTGTGAGCTAATTCATCGGCGAAAGCGTTCACCTCCACGGCGCGTTTCTCCACGAGCACGTAGTCTCTCTCAAACGCCACGTCTTGTGCCGCGCGCTCTCGTTCGTCCTTCGTCTTCTCCGCAGCCGGCTTCTCGGATGGGGACGATCCCGAGTGAGTGTTCCGACTCCTCTGCCGCTCCATGGCGAGGGCCATAGCGTGTCGGTCCACCAGTTCCTGTCGCCCGGGCGCCGTGGCGGTAGCAACGACGGGGGGCCTCTGTGGAGTTGTGCCGGAGGCGGGTTCTCTGGGCGAAGACGCAGTACGATCCGCACTGCCGACCCTCCGCATGGGCGTGACAGCCGGAGGAGTCCCCGATCGGTTCGGGTTACTGCTCGTCGTGCGATGAGGAGGCGGGTATCCCTGTGGTTCATCTCGCGTCTTTGCCGGGGTCGAGGCATCTTTCTCGCGCCGTGTCCCGGCGGATGTGCCAAACCCGGTTCGAGATTCAGGCCTGGGTGATGTTTCAACAGGACCGGCCTCGACGGGAAGCGAGGTTGGTGTGGGCGCATCATCGGCTACTACACCGGGAATAGGCCCCGTAATTATGCCACAATTAAAGAAATCAGAGAAATTCATTCGTTCGACAGGGTTTCGTTTCAAGAGCATCCGGATCAATGTCTTGATGTCCTCCGAGGCGGTATTGTCTTCGGGGAATCTGATCTTATCCTCGCCCTTCTCGATCTTGCGCAGCAGCTCGACATGGTTTGTGGCGCGGAAGGGAGGCTTGCCGACCACCATCTCGTACAAAACCGTCCCTACCGACCATAGATCGGCTTTAGCGTCATATTTCTCGTAGCGCAGTATCTCAGGGGCCATATACAACGGCGAGCCACAGAGTGTTTCGGCCAGCGACGTGGCCGGCAAAGACCGAGCGAACCCGAAATCTGCAATCTTCAGCATAGGCAATGATGCAAGTCCCGTCGTGGGGTTGAACGAGTCTTCATTGCCCTTGAACGGTATCTTCGGAGCGAGGCCAGCCTCGAACGATGTAGGAGAAGGACAAAGAAGGAGATTCTGAGGCTTGATGTCGCGGTGTATTAGGTTTCGGTCTCGCAGGAACTTCAGAGCGCTAGATAGTTGCTTGAGGAAATGGCGAACCACCACCTCGTTCAGTGCGCCACCACGAGGTTGCGGATATTTCCTCATCATCTCCCTCGTATACTCATGATCCACGAGCGATTCTCGTCGTTTGATAAACACGGAAAGATCGCCCAAAGCGCAGAACTCCATTACTAGATGGATATGCGCTGTCGTCTCATGACAGTCGATAAGCGCAACGATATGCGGGTGATAAAGACCCTTGAGGATATGGATTTCCGACGAGAGATTTTCCCTCAACTTCTTATTTAGTTTCGACAGGTTGACCGATTTGATGGCGACGTAAGTACTAGATTTCTGGGGAGAGATGGGAACAACCCCTATCAGTACAGCCCTACTCGTTATCAAATGGACCGGGTAGCACGAGAACTCACCGTATGTACACCTTGGTAAACCGTGGCAAAGCTTCCTCGACCAATTTCACCGAGGCGAGTGTAACGACCAATCGGCATCTCGGGCTGAGGTGTGTCCCTCGACCGTCTTGAATGATGTGTGGATGCCATGACTGCAGCACGACCCCAAAGATGTCCAGAGAGAGGGAGCTTGTGACGAACTACCGAACCCAACGACACCCCGTCAACCACACAACTACCTGAGCAGCGGCAGCAACGACCAACGATCAGCGAGGCCCATCAGGGGAATAGACAGGTCAAGGTCCAGTAGACCGGGTGAGGAAAGGGTTCCGATAAAGAAGTGTCGGAACCGAAGGAGATAAGGAAGGTATCGGACGACGAACACGGAAAGCCGTCGATCAGTATGGAGTGAAACGATAGACGAGTTGGAGAGTGTTGTCGGTCGTAAGCAGATTAGAAGCCGTAATCTACTTGAAAGTCTGGGTGAATCGACTAGGCCCGCAAGGTAGATGGGAGCGGTGAGGCGGGAACGGGGATGGTATAAGATAGGATGATTCAACGTAGGAGCGAGTAATGGGAAGTAAGTACCCCGGAGGAGACAAGGAAGGGCAGAAAGTCGGAGCGTTGACAAGGATGTATGAAGATGGCGGAGAGATGGGAAAGTAGACCGAGAGATTTACAATAAGAGATGGGATGAATAGTGAATGAAGGAAATCAACAGAACGGAAAGAAGGGGGAAGGGAAGTAGTCAGAGGCGAGAGAACGAGAGCGAGATGATGTGATGAGGAAGAGGAAAGGCGGGAAGGGCAAGCAGGACCCAAAGAACGCCCGGAGAGCGTGACCTTGCGATAAGATGACCCGGGAAGGCGGTCAGAAGGGCGGCGATAAGGCACGGTCTTCTTCTGTCTTCCTGAGGAGTGAAGGATCCCCCGTTCTTACAACTGATCGGCGCTCATTCTGGCATGCACTTACTACTCAGTATTGAGTAGCCAGTACAGTGTCCCCAAAAGTGCTGGCAAAAGAACAAACACAAACACAAACACCGACAAGACCTAGACTCCTCGCAGGAACTAGTAGGTGCGCAAGACCGTTGGGAAATGCTACCACAGTATCTAGGGGCCCCTGCCAGGCCAATAACGTCCCCCCGGTGGATGGTCTGAGGCCGGAAGGAAAGGCCGTCTACCTATCAAGTGTATCAAGCTATCAGATGGCGGTAAACGGGCGATCCAATTGCTGGCCGATCGTCGATCGTGTAATGCACCCGACCCGTGACTCATGATCCCCTTCCTTAGTCACTCGCTGCGGCCATGACATCAGGTTTCAAACGGAGCAGGTCATTCATTCCCTGTCCTATCCATGGGAAAACCGGCGAGGAACAGGATCAAGATCGCGATCCGATCTTGATCGTCTGCCTCTCGTCCCTTGCCACTACTGCCTGACGCCGTACCCACGACTGCAGAAAGGGGTGATAAGATCATAAGCTACGCGGCAGTGGATACGCCCATACGCCGGAAGTTTAGCTCGGCGGGGAGGCACTAAGTGGCGATCAACAACGCGGTTGGCCCTGGTTGGCCCATGACCCCGGGGAATCGCTGCTGGACGCTGGTACGTTTGTCCATAGTCGACTGCAGCCCAACGTGACGACCTCGTGCGCCATCACAGCCTCGTCTGACGCTGTGTCGAGGTTCGCTTATGCGGTGTCCTGTCCCTAAAGATGGTGACTCCCTGATCAATCAAGAATGCTATTTTCTAGCTAAATATTTCACACGAAGGATACGTGAGTAACCAGGTAAGTCCATCCCCGTACATTACACTCACTCCAACCCCGTCGGTCTCTCGGCTTTCTAGACGGTCTAGAACTATAAATAGAACAAAAAGAATAAAAAATAAAAAAAAACACAAAAAGTCGGGGAACCGGCTCGCTCAATGCATCGTCAATCAAGTACTCAAGAACCAACCACTGTACGGGGGAAACCCCACATAATCAAGAATGAAACAGAAAAATAAACAGATAAAAATTTACACCCCCAGTCCTCGGACCAGCAGCCACAGAATAATCGGCACGACGACGTTGTCGTTGCACCCGGTCAGGATGGCTTCCGTGGCGCTGGTGCCTGCAGCCGCAAAGGCCGCCTTGAGCAGCGTCGCCAACCAGCCATGATGGGCCTCTCCGTCGCTTCCACTGACGTCCCATTGGCCCACGACCAGCCAGGCCCGCGCAAACACCAGCCCGCTAGTCACAGCGACCGCAAAGGCCACGCTGCCCTCGAGCGATTTTCCTCCTCCCCAGAACCATTTCAGTCGCCCGAACCGCCGACCGATGAGTGACGCGGCCGCATCCCCCATGCCGACGCAGATCACGCCACTGACCATACTGACATCGCGAGTCAGTACATCCCATCCTGTCCAGGGGCCATCGCCCGTCCGGGAGACGTCGGTCAGCGACAGCCAGAGGGGGATGGAGCACCCGATGAGGAGGAAGATATGGGAGACGATGACGGGTCCCCGATGATCGCGCCCGTCAACGTAGGGAGCCAGGAAGTAGGTCAACGGTCGCGAGATGGGCGGGAGCTGAGAGGCCCGGAAAAGATCGAGTAGAAGGAAAATGGCGAGTACCAATCCCAACGCAAGCGCGCAAAAGGTAGGGTCGACGAAGATGGTCGGCAGAAACATCAACACCATCATGCCATGGAAGACTTTGCGTCTGGTATCGACTTCAACGACGGCGCTGAGCCGAAAGACCACGCCTAGACCGGTCAAAATGACCGCCATGCAGTACGCAATAATGCAAAGACGTGTGTTGGCCTCCCCAAAGGTCCATTGTCGAAGGTGCTCCACCCATCCTAAAGAGCAGGTCGCATATAGGTCGCTGTCCAGGCGTGCGGGGAGAACAATCCAGTTCTCCAGGTTCCCCATCACCACCCAGAACCGAAACCAGGAGACGTTGCCAAGTAAGTATCCGAGGGCCCATCCGAACGGTTCGGCTCCATGCAACGCCCGTTGGCCCACGTATTTACGGACCGGGCCTAGAATGATGACCAGCACGACGAAGTACACGTAGATAGCGTAAAGCCACTTCCGCACCTGCGCTTGAGGTACTGTCAAGGATAGGAAAGACGCCAGTCCCGGGGCCATGGAACGCTTTCGTCGGCCGCTGGGAGTAGTCCTGACCCGCTCCGAGCGTACGGCCTCCTCGAAGGTCGAGATAGTGTGCCGTCGGCGGCGGGTGGCCTGTGTCTGCTGTGGATTACTGTCCTCCGTGGGCTCTTTGCCGGCTGCAAATGGTTGCTGCCCGGACGAGATCTTTTCCCGCAGCTCATGCGTCGTCCTGCGAGAGATCGGTGCCAATCGACTATCAGGCGAGTCGCTGTCCGACAGAAGCTCTTCCGAGGATCCCGTTCGGCTGAGTTTCTGACAGAGCTTGTGGTCGATAAAATTGAGGATGTTCTTGGGGGTTTGGGAGGCGCTGGGAGACCGTCGGAATTTCCAGCTGGGGATTCGGGCCAAAGCCACCTCCCAGCGCAGGATCTGTCGACAAGAGGTAAAAATACAAATGCTTCCAAGCCATAGTAACGCCTTGAGAATCTCGGCCTGGGGGGAATCCGCAAATAAAAACAGATTAATGAGAGCAGTGGTTAGGAGTTGGAGTTCTGCTGGAAGAACACTGGAAGTCAACAAGAAATCTAAAGTGGGTATCAACGCTTGATGCAAAGGGAAAACAAGAGTCAAAAGTTCGGAATTAAGGCCGCGCAGGTTTAGAGGCTGGGGCACGGTGCTGTCCCACAAGAAATGCTCTGAGATGACAATCGGAATCAACGTGATGATCCAATGCGCAACGCTGTCGCCATGCGTCCACTCATGTAGAGGGATGACTGCGGCCGGTAAAGAAGAAAGGCTAAGGAGAATGTTCGGTAGTACAAGGGCGGTGCTTTGATGGGAGAGAGACAAAGAAACGTAGACGGGTATAAAGATCGGATACAACAGTGGAGCAGGATCGAACGTGGATGGGATGATAAAGGATGATAGTTTTGAAAGGCATATTCGTCCAGTTTTGGCAAATGGGTAGGCCGCGTATAGTCCGGTGACGAGGAGGGCATGGGTCAGGAGCTCTGCAGAATGGTAAGTCAGCAGATGCGGCAAACAACGACCAGCAATACTAGAATAAAGAAGAGAAGCAGGCAAAATAGAAAAACTAGGCAGCATAGTAGAGCAGTATAACAGAAGAATATCCATCCGTACATACCTTTCTTCCAGGTCCAAGCAAGCGACCTGGCACTCTCCTGGCCCAAAACAACCGCGCCCACGGAGAAGAGCAAGCCCGCCTCCAACAACCGTCGCAGGATCTCAATGCGTCGCCTTTTGTTGACCTTCTTGCGCAGCTCCGTCACGCCCGCTTCCACCTCCTCGCTCGAACTGCGCTGCGAGCTCCGAGACGCAGATCGCACAAACGAAGGCCACGGCTGCAGCACCGGCAACCACTGATCATTCTCCGCGGCGCCATTCCAGCCGGAGCGCAATCCCTTTCGCGGTCGCAGAGGCGGCGCCGGCAAGCCCTTCAGTATCCCCGTGCTCTCATCATCGGCCTCAGTTCCACTGTCGCTGGACGTCCGCGGCCAATGGGGATGTTGTGAGCGGTCGCCCGGGTCCGTAGGCAGCAACTGCGGGTCGGGACAATTCAAGCCTTTTCGATGATACGGGTGAGGCGACCGGGAGAAATGTCGAGAATGACTCGGGGAAGATGTCTCGGGTTCGGCGAGATTCTTGCTAGGAAGCAATCCCTCTCCTTGCGGGGGCGGCGAGGAGGCCATGGCCCCATGGGACGGTATTTTTTTGTTGTTTTGACGGAGAGAAGAACGGAATCACAGCGAAATGTACGTCATATCGGAGAGGAACAGCACGTAGGCAGGCACACACTCTAGAACAACTAGAACAACTAGAACCAAGGAGGTCAGTAAATCAGGGGAGAAGGATAAAGATCCGATGCAAGGCAACACGAGGAAAAGACAGAGACTTACCCAGCAGCGGAACGACAGAAGGGAAGGAAGGTAGTGGCGTTGTTGATCTTAGCAGCTGTTGGCTCGCAGGCGACGGAAGCGGGTTTTTTCGCTTATCACATGCTCTGCTCTCACGCCGCCTGAGGCTGGAACATCTGCCCATTTCCCTCTTTCTCTTGCCTTCTCTTGCCTCTTACCACTCCTCAGGGTAGCCCAACAGGTTCCCAACGCCAGAGTCTTGGCTCCAGTCCGTGCTCTCCATGGGGGTACCTTGCAACCCTCCATCTGCTCCAAATCTATACAAGCAGCCCGCTTATCGTGGCTGTCAGGGCCAATCATCTACGGCACGACTGGTCTAGTCCGGCGAACAATGCGACGTCTCCAATGAATACGCCATATGCTATCTCTATCCCGCTATCTATTTCAACTTTTCTGTATAAGTATCCCGGCTGCCAGTCGTCTTCCTTGTCGGCCCCAGACCGACTTGCACGGGATGACCTGTCCGGACCAAACACCGCTGCGCAACGGTTGCGCAGTGTATACGACGGAGTGGATGTTCCCTGGCCGCTCGGAATACATTTCCAGGAAGCCCCGCAGACTGGATTCTAAGCTGGGTCCCGACTGGTCCATGTCGATTTCAATGGCCGTGTAGCGCATCCCCTCCTTCGTCGAAGCATCAATCCTGCGCCCCAAAGCTGTGTCCTCTGTGGCCAAGTTGATTTCGTCACACCGGTATCCTAGACCTTGCCATTCAATGTCACTTCCACGAGGCAATTCCTCGACCTGGACGGCGAAAAAGGCAGGAATCAGGACATCTGACTGCACCACCGAAAAGTTAGGTAGCGTAGTAGTTCCCGCAGGACTCTGCTGCTCATGAGCGCGGCCTCCGTACTTGATATCCCAGGCATCCAGGGCTGGCTCCTCATCCTCTTCGTCCTCTTCAGCGTGTCGACTATGCATGATTTCCCACAGGTGCCACGCGACTGCCGCCTTTTTATCGATCGCGTCTGTTCCCGATAGGAAGGTCACAGTTCCCAACCACCAGTCGACCTGGTTGGCGCTGCCGATTCTCCATAGATGCTGCAAAGACAGCACAGCTCGCAAAGCGTAGGTCTCAAACCACGACGATTCTGGTCCAGGGGATGCAATCGGCAGTTCCATCGAAGCCGGCTCCAGAGGGATCTGACCTGCGATGTACACCAGTCGCTCTGCTCCTTGCCACGGGATCGACATGGCCTGCGAATACGGGCCAATATTGGCGGGAGCCCAGTATGACCGCGATTGAACGTGGAGTCCCTGGCGTAGATCTCGAGATCCTAAATCCACCACCAACGAGACCATCACCTTCACTCCTTCCGGAAGACTGTCGCCACAAGCAATGGTGGCCCTAGCAGGGGGGTTGGGTTTCTTGAACAGTGAGACGTAGATGTCGTTCATCGACGGGAAATCAGCCATAGACCGCAGTAGCACCGTAGTAAAGACAATATCCGCCGTTGTTCGCGCATCAGACCCAGAATCATGGACGGTAGAACCCAGGATATCTCGAATCTTTTGTGCAATGGCACGCATCTGCTCAGCGGCGCCAGGACCAGCCTCTGGCGCCGTGACGTTGGAAACCGTCCATGTACCTCCGTTCGTCGACTGCGACACGCCAGGACACTCCCAAGGGCCCGTCTCTGTCTGCTCAGCCATCTCCATCGTAGAAGCAAGCGACGACTCCGCCGACAAGGCATCCAAAGCTGCCGCAAAGGCCTCATCCAGCAACGCAGGCCGCCTCACATCCTCCGGCTTCACATCCTCCTGCTCCTTATCCACACACCTCGCTCCCTTCAACCTCATAAATCCAACCCCTCCATCCCCTGACCTCACCTCCCTCTGCTGAATCTCTATCCTTTGCTTCCACAAGAACCCCGGCCCATCCAACGCCAGGCTCTCATACTCCCCTCCCTCCCCCAGTACCGCACCCCTAATATCCTCCGCCTCCGCAAACCTCTTCATCCCCTTCGCAATACGTCTCCGCACCGCTCCATCCCCCGAGGACAAATCCCCCCACAGAAACCCCTCATCCAGACCCCCCGACGCCACCTTGATCACTCTCGCCTCGCAGCCCACGGCCGCCATATCCTCCAACAGCCCCGCGTCCGCCACGTCCGGCATCATGGCCGACAGTTCCGCGCGCTCCACCGGCGCAGGAAGACTCGGATACTGCCACAACCAGGCCAGCGGGACGAGGCCCAGTCGCGCGGCTACATTCTCGATGCGCGTGCGCTGGTACGTTGAGAGGATCGCGCCCGCTGACACGGCGTTGGCTTCTGGGTGGGCGAGCTTGATGCGTCGGAGAAGGGGGATTAGGGATTCCGTTTCGTCTTCCCCTTCGTCGTCCCTGTCGCCATCACCAGATCCGGATCCAGATCCTCGACCTAGACCTTGATCTCGACCACCATCATCCGCCATCTGATCCACCGCATCCTCACGATACACTCTGGCCGTATCAACCGCGCCGCCTGTGATCGGGGCCCTGTACAACGGAATCCCCAGCGCGGACTCATACAGTGGAATCACATTGTGTCCGATGGTTTGGTACATGAAGCTGTCGATGTCGTCTTCTTCTTCTTCCTCCTCTTCATCCTCTACCCTCTCTGGCCCCTCTGCTTGCGCAACGCCGTTGTTGTCATTCCGACCGTCTCCTGTAGCTGTTTTGTGCTGCTGCTTCGGCGCAGGATGCAGATTCCCTAACGCGACCACGTTGTGGCCATTGCGGAGACAGTGCAGGATTGAGTAGAGGGAGTCTTTGCCGCCGGAGATCAGGGCTATGACGTTTAGGCTTGGGGTTGAGACTGCGGTTTGGGGGGTAGATGTAGATGTAGGTATTGAGGAAGACATTGTAAGGTAAGGTGTGAATAGAGTAGGAATGTGAACAGGTGGGTAAAGATGTTAGAGAAAGGTTTTATGTTCTCAAGTTAGTTACCCAATTTATTGAGTTGGTTTTGAACTTGAAGATAGATGAGGTGGGGTGATAAGAAAGAAAAAAAATCACCCCTCGTTTTCGATCAACTGTCGCAAGGGAAAATGGAACGCGAAGGATGGATTGATAAAGCAATTAAGACCGGTGATCTGGAAGTGTACTTAAACGACCATGGGTTGTGTTCGTGGTTGGGGGGGAAAGAATTCTTAATCAGTACTTGCGGGGAGAAAAGATTAGATGTGCAAGGTCAAGATTCCATGGCACAACGGATCTGCCCGAATTTCACTTCTTTCCGTTTTAGTGCTCACTGATAAGATCCCGATAACGCAGATTTAGAAGCACCCCAGAACAACTACCGGTTATTGCAGCTAGTTGATAAAAAAAGAAGCAGCTGAATCCAGAATCACCCGCATAAAAATGTTATCTCGATCGTTAATAGCAGCATGCGAGCAACATTCGCCCGTCTTCAATATACATCATGGCTTTCAATCGACAGCCAAGCTTAAGTTTCTTCTCTCTGGCAACAGTTGTCAGCATCTCAATATTACTAGTCAGAGTACTTGCGCAGTGCCATCGAATGATACTACTCACATTCAATACTTTAACGATAATATCCTTGCTGAGTCTATGTCTAACCTCTGCCTTGTATACCAGATGCCACCACTTCCAGAATGTTTCTAGAGAGCTCTTATACTTCATATCCACAATCCAACGACCGTTTTTTCACCGTCGTCGATCACATCGCCAGAAGAAAAGAGCGGCAGAATCTAGAGACAAGGTTGTACCATTAGCACTTGCATCGAAGTTAAGAAACGACCGTTCCTCACTGATCCTAGTATTCCTTCACGTGTGCGACTTATTCGCCCATACCAAGATCAGTTTCCATACGTCGGTCAGGCCGTTGCGAAGGGTGCGTAGATTATCGAGCCAGCACTAGTTTTAACGGCACGGCCATATAGCATACTAACGAGGGTCGTCCATATATTGGCATGACTGGCGGGTTGCGAGAGGCAAACGCACGGATGTAAAGAGGCACCAACCACTCACAAGTGGGCTTCAGTGGGTTTCCTTCGGAGAGCACACTTCGATTTGTTCTTGACATGGTCAAGGATATTCGATCGTCACGACTGGACATCTGGATGTTAGATATTATTGCATGTAGATAGCTGCTACTCCTTTTCTCCACCTCGGAGAAGCAAAGTGCTCCGCCTCCCGGCCACATAATTCACAGACTACTATTCAATCACTCATAGAGACATCCTTTAACTGGCGCTTCCGCATTCGCCAGCGTTGTAAGACAACAATGTCCGACAACAGGCGGCTGGCTCTCCGCGTCCGAAGGAACAACAGCTGCCCACTTAACAGGGAGCCACGCAGCATCACTGTCACCCCCCGGCTGGTGGCATGCCGCACTGATAGCAGCACTACATGTCGAGACCGGTGGAAGGAGGAACTTTGTCCTCTGGAACCCAATCCCAACAAGTGCAACAATAAGAGCTATCCCCGTTGCTAGGGACAGTATGATCCCCATGGTGGAGTAGCAAGCTCTCGATGAGGAGTCCGAATCGATTGGTTCGCCGCTTGGCAGGAATGCCGCAGACCGAGCCAGGAACACACTCTGCGACACAAGCCAATGGAGCAGTAGAAGGCATACACTGAGGGGGACGCTATACCGAAAGGGCAACGAAAGGAAATACGTTGACCGTTGCATACCCTTTGGACAAGAGACGCGGAGGGACTTCCGCTCTAACCCGTAATGACTCCATTCGACTGCGATGCAGAGGCGTGTGAGGAGGGTGTTATAGAGGAGGTAGAGAAGGCTGATCTCTAACTGCCAGGAGTTTGCGAGGATCACGGCGCCCCAGAATTGCGAGGGGCCACGATGGATGAAAATTTGGATGACGGTCATTGGGTTGGGACGACCGAGTCCAGCTTTCCAGAAGGTGCTCAGGCTCATCTCTACACCCTCATTCTTCTGCTGTGCGATGCCCCTTCCGAGGAGCGCGAGGACAATGAAGAGCATTGCTGTGCATCTGGAGCAATCAAATCTTGGTCAGCACGTAGACTATATCTAGGCATCGCTGGTACTCACGCTGAGATTGTTGCAATCCAAACACTCCGACTGGCCAACTTGAACTTGCGAATTGACCGTGGACCGGACCACGGCCGACTACCAGCAAGGCTGCTGTACCATCTTCCCCGCTCAAAGTCAGACTGCGACACGAGACACATCTGCCTTGTGTGCTTATCGCTTCGTTTCAAGAAGGATTGCATGGAATCGCCAATCGTTACCAATGCCTCCTGTGCAGTAGAGTTGTAAGCTCTTCGCTCTCGCCGATGGGCCCGCAAGGATTGAATCCAGGTATAAGCAACACCTAGGACTTTGACGAAGTTCATCACGCAAACTATTATCATGATGGTGGTGTTGAAATGAAGGCCACACCGCTTACTCAGGTCCTGGACTGGCCCGCCGAGACAATATTCGACTGGGATAGCTTGATCTTCGACATTCACGGTCCAGTTGCCAGCATAAGGAAGCAGCTTACGCTCCAAGTATGGACGATGCGGATAGTCGGGACTATCGTACATCCAGGTTTGCAACCGATCCCAATTGCTCGTGTCCCAAATGCGAAAGCTCTTGACGAAAGAGGTCGAGTCGTTGTTGGTTAGACTATTGTCTAGCAGCTTGGTTACAACCACAATATCCCCGGCGCCAGACAGTGGATCCATGTAACGTTGAATGCAGCTTGTTCGATTAAGCCACTCAAAATCTCGTCCCTTCGTCTGGAGCGCTCGAGTATGAGCATCTCCAACATCGCCCCATGGGTTGTTATTCGTAAGGTAATCATCTGTGACGAAAACACTTGTGTACGAAATGAAGGGAAACGATTCGAATATTGCTGAGTTCCAGCTGCCACATGTGGTTACTACATTACTGTGCTAAAAGAGGGGATGGAACACTGACAAGAGATGCAGAGTCACCGAACTGAGCGAGAGAACAGCACACACAGTAACACGCACTCGGCTGATCATTCCTAGGTTTTTCAGGCTGGGAGAACCGATGTTGAACCATTCCTTTCTGCTATGGGCACGATCAACCTCTCCCCTCGTTGGACTGGCTAGTAACTGCATTGAGAAGTTGCTGGCACCGAGAACAGCAGTCGACAAGAAATTGATGGCCAAATGGAATCCGGAGTTCAGCCGGTTGGCCTTGATACAACTTCCTTGAAACAACGTTCCCGTGTCTCCTTTGATATCATATCGTACTGTCGCCCATACTGTTGTGAATATATTTATAGCAAGAATCACAATGGTCAAGCCTAGCTGTAAGCCTAGGGCAAGGTGTCGCCGCGATAAATAGGATCCCAGAGTCTGGTATTTCTGATCGTTTGGGTCAATCGCAGGGATCCAGGACCGGAGATGCTTTATGCTACCGAAAAGGGTCTCCGGAGGATCGCTTTGCCATGTCAGAAATAAAATTCAGAAGAACATCAGGGACTCATAGTTACCGCTGTAGTAATGTCATGGTTTCACAGCGACTCGACTCGGTCGAGTTTCGGGCATCTTGAGCTAGGGATTGAAGTGGTGCTTCTTCAGAACATGCAGTCGTTGATAAGAAGCTCCTTTCATCAAGCTTTGAGACAGGTACTGCATCTGCGAGAACTCCAAGATTATACTCAGCAGGCTGCTCGGCGAAGCCAACCGCGTCATGGCTTAACGCATTCGGATTAGCCATAGTCGTGACCTCGGGAGGATTTAGAGATCTTGTATTTCCAAAAACCAGTTAAAACGTGAGCAAGAATGTTGAAAGGATATGAGCCTTGATATGTACGTGAATTTCATTCTTGGCCTCCGAAATCGTGTGCTTAACCGATTTGTTGTCGCCCTCAACTTCCTTTTTGGGCTTCCCGTTTACCGCATCGGTGTGGTTCAACAAGGCCAATCCAGACGCTTGTTGAATCCTCCAGGCGTTTCTCTGAAAATATTATGCGGCTTAGCAGCATGGAAATCCTTACACTTTCCCAGCCGGTGCAGGCGCTGGTGCATCACTCAGCCCAGTAATGACGATATGGCAATAGTCGGCCACCTATATTTACAAAGTCTATATTTAAGGTCGCCAAAAGACGTGAAGATTGCAGGTCTCTCAGTCGCTAACCCTTGCGAGTGGTGGCACTGCCGACCTGCCCTAGGCGTGGGCGTGTGTATTTCCTAACAACATCCTACTCAATGAGGTTATAAAGTGACTGAATAGTTTGCTTCCGATCTTGCTTTGAGCATGGTTGAAGTCATTAGGATCCTTTTACTTTCACCAGTATCATACATAATTCCAGAATCCAACGCTTCGGAAGAATTGACCAAATCAAGGAAGCCCTTGGTAGTAGAGCTTGATCCCGAAAAAGAGGTATACATCCCCTCGTGCCGCCTCGCCATATGAAATTCATGTTGACCAGCCATGACAGCGTTCATCAGGTTTCTAATGGCATCAATCTCCGGACTCGCGGGGGGGAGATGATCATGAGCTACATGCAAGGGCATGATGAAGCAGAGGACCCCGTAGACACTCGTATCATCGCCTATAGATTGCTGTGCCAGACACAAAATCTCGCTTGCCAGAGCGTGCCTGCGCTGCGCTCGCGTGTGTGTCGTTGATGACCTGTCTAGCCTGGCCGATACGTGACTTGAATCAGTAAAGAAATCCGCTTCCATACCACATTTTACCCTACGATCCCTACATGTGTTGCACTTTTTTGTTCGGCAAGTCTGCGTGGCGCCAGCTCCATGGCGTCGCGCGTTGTCCAGGGAGGTTTTGAATCTGGTTACAGGTATGGTGCTAAGAGGGACGGCCGATGTCTTGCCGGCGTCAGGGAAGGGAGTCGATTCTGTTCATCTCGCCCTAGAGATCGCGGGGCTTGAGAGGCTGACAGAGCTGGTTTCCAATGTTTCTTTTCTTTTTCTTATGGCGACCAATCGGCTTGAGCCATCGCCCTCGACTGCCTATTACGGTAATTGGGCATCAGATCTCATCGATCTAAAGCTTATGCAACATCTCTTTTTTTTTTATTTGGAGAGATGGGGAAAAGGAAGAATTTCAGCCTCATTGCGGGAGATCCGGCCAGATGGATGCCTACAACGCTGTGCACCAAGGTGTGACTTGATTAGTTACTGTCAGCGGAGATCAACTCTACCTATGGCTTCAAAACCGCCTATTTCAATGAGGACACCTGGCCTCATTAAAATCGTATAAAGGGCTTCGGGGTTCGCGTGTCTTCATTCAGCGAAAAGCTGATCAATGGTCTGCTTCCGGACGTTCAGCCAATAACGTCTGCTTTTGTCGGTCTGGAGCACTGCTGAAGCGCACTGCTGAAGTCTGACGTTAATTCTTCCTTGCTGGAAACTTCAGGCTCTCAGCCCATAGATAGTACAAGCCCTGTTTCGGCTCGACAACCTTCGTGCCCAGATTCGCCCCAGAATCCTGGTAAGGTCTGGGCGCTGTGCAAATTGCCAGGATTGGACTGTGGGTATACTCGGTGCTCTTGAACGACAGGGGCTGGCTCCTCAGGGAACACAAATCTACTGGAAGGGCAATATCGGGAAGTCCTCGTCGGTTGTTGGTGATGGATTGACAGCTGATGGCAAGTGTTGGATTCCGAAACGCGACGTCGACTCTGCCCAGCGAGGACCGGCGGATGCTACATTTGGACGAGACCAGGCCTCGCGCCCAGTTGGGCGTTTGAAGATGAACAAGTTCGCGAACTTTAGTGGGCCTGGAAAGTCAAAGAAGTAATTGGCTGGTGAATTTCTGTTTTTCATCATTACTTGCTGTCTGTTTTATGGTGTATAGTGATCTCCGATGCATATTCTTATGGTTTTCTACGGGAGAGATTAACCTACCTTGTACTAATGGATAAATTTGAGTACTTTAACTAACGCCATGGCGCTGCCTGGTGTATCCCAGAGTCTTCAAGTTATAGGCCGGTTCTCTTACTGGTAATCACAAAGCCCCTCTCGGCGCGCCCTCATAGCCATTTTCCAAAGGCGGCCACCAAATCGACGGTCGCAGAGCATGAGTCCCAGCCTGACAGTCGAAGACTTCTTAGTTACAGACCGTCTTGGCCCTGTGCGCAGGGAGTGTTCGTGTGTAAAAGGACACCTTGGAGATTGCATCGTGGCCTCCATAAAGTAAATTCACTCAACCTACCATAAATGACATGATCAAAGCAACATGCTGTAAAAGCGCGCCTAATTTACGGAAGTTCAAGGCAAAGTAGTTCGCCAATGGAAACGAAAGTGCGAGAAGGATCCCATGGAGCTATCTGTTCCGCGGCCATTCGGATGGCTCGCGTTGGATTGAATGTTCTAGATGCCTATACACTTCTCGCTTTCTTGGAGTTGGAAGTTAAATAAACGCAATGCAATGAGCTTATAGGTATCCAGCATCGTGTAGAGTGAAACAGTACCATTGCCTAAACCTTTAAACGCTCCCATTCGACCCCAAGGGCGCCAGCTCAGTTTCTCGGTTCCCACATGTCTGGTCCCTATTGCCCTGTGCCTGCTCAGATTGAAAGCCGTCCAAGATGAATCTGAACTCCACAATTGGTCCATTCTTGCTCCGCTTTGTATGTACCTCACGCACTCTGACAGTGCCAGATATACTCCTCCCACTCTAGCAACCTGCCCTCCAGGCGCTCCTGTGCCTGCTGCACACTCATCCCCTGGCTCACCGAAGAGCCACCACTATATGCCTGGGCCTCTGTCTGGGAGGCCCACACCCGCTGCGCATCGAGAAACATCCACTGAACCGTCGCCGCCCTCTCAAGCATCTTGTTAAGCCCCTCCCTATCAGATGCCAACCCGAGCAACTGCCAAGACAGTTGTGTCTGTGCCCCCAATAATTCCGGTACAACAGCGTCCAACCCATGTCCCGCAGTGTCGAGGAGTTTCCCCCTTAGATCGTCATGCATGCTGCCACACAACTCCCACCTATACTCCGGCCCCATATACTCCTCCGCGTCGAAGAATACCTGCAGATACACACAGAGCGCCTGCAACATATCCTGCGCGCTCTGCGTCTGACTGGCGTATCCCCATTGCTCGAATAGTCCATGGCGTACGACGTCGAGAAACGCGTGCGCTGCGTGCGTCACGAGCTTGGGGTTGTCGTTCTTGAGCGTCCACATTGCTTCGAAGTCCAAAAACGCGGACTCAGCGCTTGGGAGGATGATGTTGTTTATGAAGAACTCGAGGTCTTCGGGCCGCGGGCAGAAGAGGGCTGCAATTGCGACTTTCTCCATTTCGTCAAAGTAGCCGCCCTGCCGGAAGAGGTAGGTCAGGAGGCCAAAGGTAGTTTCGTCGATGGGGACTACCTGTGCGACGGACATTATGGATGGTGAATGCACAGGATGGAGGAGAGAGACGGAGAAGAATATATTTTTGGGAATCGGAAGAGACAGAATGGACCGTGGCAGGGTTGCTTGATTCTCTGCTCTTGTCTTCGCAGACAAGCGATGGAGACTGCCTATATGTATACCACTCAATCCCCAGATTCGCTCTTCGCATTCAAGACTGCCAGCGAATGAGGCTGTGATCCGCAAGATCATCGGGCTTCTGGGAGATTTGCCTTGGAACCCCACTAAACTACACCTATTCTAGCACAAGATGAGGTGTTCGCATGGCTGTTCTTCGTAGAAGGTAAACCTCGGAAAACTGACGGTTCATGTCTCCTATTGGTTATGGATACGCATATGATTGACAATCATATTCCCCTAACCGGCAGTTGAGGGCGAGCGGGTGTGATAATTGGCTGTAATACTCAGCCAGGGCGTCAGCTCTAAGAAATTAAGAACAGGCAACGACCTAGTCTGAAGTGCCCCCGCTCGGCCCAGTGGCCGTCTATCCTCGCACTCAGCTTCCTTTCCCCTTCATGGAACCTGGGCCTCGTTCATTTTCAACGGAAACGCCACAGACAGCTCCTCCTGATCAAAACATGCAGTTCACGACAGAGCGGCTAGCGCGCGGGTACCGAACGTGGAAATGTGGGACGTGCAGAGACAGGAAGGTGAAGTGTGGTATGTATCGCTCACTTTTTTGAGACGCCACCTGCTCTAATGTTACTATGTACTAACTTCGTTCAAGACAAACTCCAGCCCTTCTGTGCAACATGCACGACCCGAGGCTATATCTGCAAGGGCTACGTCGCAACCCCACCAGACGCGTTCATTCACGTGGAGCCGAGTAGAAACAATACACGGCAGCGGTCAAGGGGAAATCGCAGTAATAGACGGCAAGGCCTCGTCCCAATCCCTCGGCGAGCAGCTCCCCCACCGCCAGGCCCAAAGCTGCCAACCTGGACCCCAGACCCAGTCTGGACGTTCCGACAGTTTTTCCTCTTCCATTTTGTTGGCAACGCTCCTCCTCCTCCTCGACCTTCCGCCTCTGGCCTCCCCGGTCTCCTATGTGCATTCCTAGAAAAGCCCATGCCGCCCACGTCCATGCAGTACAGGTGCATGCAGGCGCTCACCGAAAGTTATTTCTTGATGAGAACTGCAGGTCCTGATGCTTGTCAGCAGGGTATGATAGCGTATTCCCGGGCTATTAATGCCGTGCACGCGGCAGTTTATCGGACATGTGATGTTTCTGAGCCAGATATCCTTATGGGGATAATGTGCCTGTGCCTGTATGAGAATATTATTGTCACTGCGCCAAAGTCTTGGATTAAGCATTATCTGGGAATTTCCAGATTGGTAGGTTAAAATTTATCTATTACTTCTTCTCGCCAAAGTATGTGTTGCTGACTTCTGTTTCAGATTGAGAGGCGCGGCCCCGACTACTATCGAACCGGGATGCAGAGGGGGATTTTGCTTGCGTTCCGCTATACAATCGTGAGTGCTCTAGCCATTGAGAGGTCTATAAATTGTTGCCACCCCCGATACGAAGGCGACTCTAGATAATCAGCGCTGGAACCATTCGTCAACCGTGCTTCCTTGCCCAGCCCGCGTGGACGGAAGTCATACAGCTAAGCGAGGCTGAATCACGCGATGCATTCGACAGTATACTAAACATCGCCGTCGAAGTGCCCGGGCTCCTGCATGGCCTCGATTGTCTCAATGAAGGGGCACTGGAGAGTACAGAGATTGCGACGCTGTCTATGATCCTGGCACGCACCATGGCGGCGCTACAGGAGTGGCGGTCTACCTTTTCCAGTGATGACTCTTTCACATCCAACGGCAGCACGGCCTCCGCAATTGCTTTCCACTATATGGTTCTTCTCCTCGTGGAGGACTTATGTTACCAGCTTCAGGTGCCGTGGCCACCATCTCTATCCCCACCCTCGCCCGTCCCTCTGCAAAGTCCGATCTCGCAGAACGAGCCGCTAGGTCTGTCCGAGCGCGCACAACAAAAACACAGCCTCGCAGCCGCCATCGTTCACCTAGCGCAGGGATCCATATCGCCTGATACCGGTATATATGGAATCCTTCGCTTCATTATGCCGCTGCATGTGGCGCACGATAATATCCTTCCGGGGAGCCCCGACCAGCAAGCCCTACACTACCTGATGAATACCGTTATGGCTGGCCAGCATGGGTTTCAGATGGCGAGGCGGTTTTGGGGGCAGTATACGTCTTTTGCGGAGTCCCTCTCCACGCCCTGTCAGACTAGTGAGGATCTCCAGAGCTAATCTAAAGTTCCTCCTGCAGAGGTTCTAGCAAGGGTTGTGGGTGGTCATCAATCCTAGTGGCTGGTTTGCCTGCACGGCGATACGGTAAACCAAATGGCCACGCGCGAGAGAGCTCCAGCTCTTTTTTCTCGTTGCCCGCATGCGCCCGCACAAAGTCATCTCTCGCCTTGGGGAGAATTAGCCCGAGCTCCGCGAATTGCGCGTGGCTCACCAATCCCCGGGCCGGGAAATACTGGCTGCCGAAGCGCCTTCGCTATCACGTTTGGTCTTCTGGAGAACATCGTGGCGAGAACGTAAGCGGTGCCTCTATTCCAGTCCTCAATATCCTCGGGACACTAGCCCAATTCTCCTCTTGCTGCTTGGCTAGGAGTCCGAGGTAGGTGGCCTCGCCATCGACACCAAGATTCCGTGCGAACAGAAGTAAGTCGAAGCAGTCCGTCTGCCGGCACTCGAGGGCCTTGAACAACCGGGGCATTGCTTTATGCAAGAGATATCTGTAAAACGCAAACAGAGACATGCTAGTAAATAAAAACTCCGCTTTGCGGGTTACAACTGCTTGGTCACGTTCATCCTGGAACAGCACTTTAATATCAGCGAGCTTCGGTCGGTCGGTCAAGGAGGCCTTCAAGAAGTGGACCCTTTTAGTCTAGGATATATGGTTCAAAGGTGTGATAGTATAGCAAAGCGAATTCCATAGATTACCAATCAATAAAGACACATATCTCTGATAACCAGATCCTCTGGATTAACAAAGACATTCATTCTCAACATGCAAGTCGTCATGTCATGCCAGATGCAGAACGCCGATATGTCCTCGTTCGTCCTCGGGTAGTAAGAAATCTACCCAATTTGAGGCAGCTCTCGATCGCGAAAAAGCTTTGTCTCGCGCGATGGCTAATAACGTCCCTGAATAGTGAATAGGAATTAATTATTCCATACTTCTGTCCCGGTCCGCCGGCGGAGGACGTGAGTGAGTAAGCAATAGATGTACATTTGGGGTTCTAGTTGTCAATTGATCCGACCCAGACACTCTTCTCATTATGCCATTGCTGATAGAAAATGAAAATGTAGTAAACAATAAAATAAAAAAGTCTGAGATAGATAGTATCACTTGATATCCACGGCGGGCCCAACTAGAAACAATCACAGAACGAACATTTGCAAAAATTGCGAGAACTAAAGACTTAGGATATCGATAAGTGAACCATATATACCAACTACATTTGTTACTACAATCTACTCAGCAAAAAGAAATATTCACAAATCCTCAATTATCACACTAGTTATGCCGCAAACGAATGGTACGCTCAACAAAGAATAGCAGAAGAGGGGAATAATTATGCACAGTGCAAGAAACCACAAACTGAATGGGGTTGGAAACAACAAGATAAAGATCAGACAAGGGGGGGAAAAAGGAGATATGCGCACAGGGGTATGAGGCAACGATTGGGGGGAGATCGGAATTAGATTATACATGTGACCAGCACAAGAAAATGAGTTGGGGTGCGAGATGGGAAAGATCAAACAAAAACCAAAATCAACACAGAAAGATGATTACATCGAAATAAGGGATACAAGAAGGGGGTGAACGAGAAGTATGGATAGAGAAGCGAAAATAATGTGAGGGTAGGAAAAATGGGGAGTACAAGAAGTCCCAGGATGGTCGGTTGATCAGACTTTGGATTCAACAGATCGATCCATTCCAGGGGAAGAGGGTAAATGGCAAATGTGTGTCAGATGTGCAGACAAGAAAAACAAATGCAAAGACAGAAAAAGGAAATCGGACAAAAGCAAACAAAACCCCAGTCACCGTCCTTGTCTCGAAACAATAGGAGACAAATGCGTTCTATGATTTTAGGCCAACCATGGACTCCAGAGTGCGCCCAGACAGCCGGTCTATTGCCTCCAAATAAAAAAAAAAAGAATGCCGGTCATTCGCCGACCATGAAACCTGTATAATTTTGTCTTCTCTGCCAGCCGTGAGAAAAGACTTCGATGCCGTACACCTTTCCGTCACCGCCAGTGTGAATGCCCGGACGCCAAATCGCAAAAGAACGATGAGTATCCAACCCAGGGTTGGAATGATTATATGTGTATAGATATTAGTTTATAAGAGGATGCTCCTGGTCTCATTTCATCGTGATAAGCTGTAAGCGGGGAACGGTTTAAGCGTTCTCCTCGCGCTTGCGCTTCTTGGCGGCACGTCGGTCGACGGACGGTGTCTCGGAAATGCCGTCCTCAGAGTCGCTCATTGTCGACTTCGTGGCGGCAGCGTTGGCAGCTTCGTACAGCGCTGCTCCCAATGTGCTGGGATCGCGCTCGTCGAAGGAACCCCGCTGGGACGCATCAAGAACGCCCATCACCATCGATCCACTGCCGTGAGTGCGGGCGTGCTGAGCGAGGTTGTCACTGCGCGAGAATTTCTTACCACACTCGTTGCATTCGAAGGGCTTGTCTTGAGTGTGCAGAGACCGGTAGTGGCGCTTGAGGTGCTCCTGGCGACGGAAGCGACGCGAGCACAGGGTGCAGACGAACGTCTTGGAGGGGTCGTCAGTCAGCGACTGCTTGCGGCCGCGACGGTTGACCGACACAGGGGCGGAGGGAGCCTCGGAGGGGCTGGAAGCGTTGACTTCCGAGCCGCAGCAGCCATCGGCCGAGTGGGTCAACGAGTCGGCACTGCCGGAGCGAGCGCTGACAGAAACGTGGGCCTTCTTGCCGGCCTCGTCGGTCTCCGGGTTCTTAACCGACTTGCGTCGCTTCTTGCTCATGTCGGTGGAGGCCTCGCTAACGCTGCTAGGGTACCCAGTGAACTCGGAGCTATCCAGAGTGGGGAGTCCAGACAGGCTCGAGTCCTGGTCATCCGACTCATCCAGGCTCTCCTCGCTCAGGAACTCATCCTCGTCAAGCGAGTAGGTGCTCATGCGCTGGCGCTTGTCACCCATGTAGAAAGCGTTACCGCTGGGGTGGAAGTCGACGAGGCGGTTCACAAACTCGTCCTCCGAGTCCAGGTCAGAGAAGCTGTCAAAGGTGGGCAAGGTACTCAGGGGATCCTCGGTGCAAGAAGTGAAGCAAGGCGACGGGTTCTCATGGATTGGCAGGGTCACAGCCTCGTTGGTCAGGACGACCTTGGGCTCCTCCTCATCGCAGCCAAGAGCGGGCAGCGGGGGAAGATCCCCAGGGGTAGCGGCGTTGATCGAAGACTCCACGGTCAGCTGGCGGGGGTCGCAAAAGTCGGAGTTGGACTGTTCCACAGGGAGACCCGATTGAGACTGGGCAAGCATGTTGGAAACGGGCGGCGGCGAAGGGGAAAGAGACGGGCAGGAGCTGTTGGCAGACAGAAGATCGGAGCTTTGGCTGGCGGCGAGAGAAGGGGGGTGAATGAAAACTAAAAACCGGTCCAGTTAGCCCTGATCCCTTCGTTGTCCCACTGTTGCTAACATATTTCCTTACCAGGCGTCATAGGAGGCGAAGCAGACCGGGTCCAGTCAGCGTTCGCCAGGAGTTCGGCGTGGACTTCGCCTTCACACCCCTCTTTCACGCCCTCAACTTTCTCGAATGCGAAGAAGCTGTCTTGAAGCGGGGTATGCAGCGTACCGTTGGTCGACGGCGGGCTGCTGATCGAGCTTCCGGCAGTAGAAAGAGGGGGAGTAGAAGGAAAAGCGTAGTAGTCACTGCTGACGAACCGCGTGTCCAGAGGCATCAGAGTCGAACCATGCTGGCCAACAAAGGCAGTCTTCATGTGGGATGGCTGAGGAGAGGCGACGGGGGTCATGTTCATGGCCCCACGGAATGCATTCGCGGTAGCCATCTGGTGCATGTTCAGCGTGGTGTACATGGGTTGCTCTGGAAGACCGTGCTGCGGTTGTTGGTAGGCCTGCACCTGTCCATAGTACGGTTGCATGTCGGACGGGTGACTGGTGAAATGTTGCTGTTGTCTCGGTTGCGAGTCAGCAGCCGGGTAGTATGCAAATGACGGTTGTCCCTGCACCGAGGTGGGAGCCATTGTGTATGTTGCGTCCATTATTGGCGATCACTAGATCTAGGCATGGAGGCATGGTTGAGTCAGTCATGTTTCAACGAATGATCGATCGTTCGAGGGGTGCACACTAACAGGTGGTGAGATGTTTGAGGATTGGGCGAGAGTAGAGTTGACTCTACTCTCTAAGATATTAAATATAGTATAGTAGTAGTGTGGTGTGCGTCCGAAGCGATGAATGCTCTGGTTATATCCCGAGCAACAGGCAATCGACGACGATGTGAATGAATGTATAGTGTCTCTTGCTCTTAGAATGAAGGAATGACTGAAGAAGGAAGTACGAAATAGGATATCGGCTTCCAAGCTTCGCTGAAGGGGGGTGGTTCTCTTGCTATATCTGATAGAAGTGGTTGGATTCTGTGAAGGAAGGACAGGGACCAGTGTTCGACGAGACGAGCCAAATCATAAGATGGGATGATTCGGGACGTTTCTTCGATCTCGGTACCGGAAGACAGATAAGTCGCAAGTAGTTAATGAGAGAGAGAGAAAAAGAGAGAGAAAGATAGAAGAGAGAGAGAGAGAGAGAGACGTGGGAAATGAGGGAACTAAGAACTAAGACCGAAAGACCAAAAACATATAAGAAAGCGAGGGAAAAAAGGGAAAGGAAGGGAATGGCAAGATGATGATCGAGACAAGTCTAAAAAGGGAATAATCGAAAGAGAAAAATAAGAGACTAAGAAATAAAGAAGATTAAATCGAAGGGCAAGGACAGTCGCGGGGAAAGAAAAAGAGAGACGAGGCCGATATGGGAAATGGAAAGAGGGAAGACGGCCAGAAGGATGGAGCAGTGGATAAAAGAGTGAGGTGATCTGCCTGTGCTACGGAGGTAGCGCCATGAGTAGTGAGCAGTAGGAATGGAGCCGTACTTTTTAGCCTGCGAGTCTTTTTGGGCGAGAGAATAATGTGAATGGATGGCGGGTGGTGCATGCGCCCATCAGGTACTGATTTGCCATGTTGCCAATGGTGGTGCCAGAAAGAAGATTCCCCATGATAATCAATTTGTCCTGCCCCAAACCGTATGGTGGTTTTTTTACGGGTATTATTATTTTATTTTATTTAGCACTGGTATTATTTATTTTTATTTTATTATTTTATTATTTATTATTTTTTATTTTCCATTTCAATGTCCCTCCTCCGTAGGTTTGTAATCTTTCATCCAAAAATTACAGGGTCCTAAAAATTGTCGATTCTCGAGAATTTGTGTTTTCTGACTTGACATGAAGACCTCTTTTTTTTTCTGTCAGTCCTCTCAGTTCTTGAAGTTGATTATCTCCAGACTATTTTACTCCGTACACCCTCCCTGGTAATTTTGGGTAGTATACCATCCTAGCCCGGGACGGGACAAGAAAAACAAATTGGCGCCGGTGCACATCTCAGTTCAAACCAAGCCAGTTGGAAAGTTTAGTAGGTAAGGATAGGAAGAGTAGCAGCGGAGACCAAGAGCGCGGAAGGTGGGTGGGACTCTTCATCATCAATCGTCGGCAGCATCATCATCAAGCAACGAAGAATGACCGAATGTTAGCGAAGGGGGGAAAGATCAGAGAGAGAGAAAAAGATAATTTTAAAAAATAAAAATAAAATAAATAAATAAAATAAAATAAAATGCGTTAAGCCATTTCTCTATTGGGAGGACCGCGAGAGAGAGAGAAAGAGAGAGAGGGAAAAGATGGGGACTGGAGTAGCGATTGGAGCCAAACCCAAGACGGAGCAAGCGTGGTAGGATTCCAAGCTAGAGCGGTCCAGCGACGAGAGACCCCCCACTCGCCTCTCGGCGCGGAGCCCAAAATGGTGCAAGTTGCGTGGGGCGAGAGCACGAGTACTACGCTGTACGCTGACTGGTGGCCAACCCATGGACGCTCTTCCCATGGTCGAATTGGTACCTGCGTAAACTTACCACGTTACCTCCTGTGTCCGACTCCTCTAACCGGGCCAGCCACTGGTAAATGCGGAGATGGGATGGCATAATAATGGGATGGGCGTGGGATCGTCCGGCTTGACCACTGTTCAGTGTTCAATGACCAGTGTTCACCTCACTGACCGTCCGCCGGTTCAGGACTCGTGGCCAACTATCGCATGGCCTGGTGGGAGCCATGATGGTGCAATTGATATTATTCATATATATTGGACTCTAGGGGAGAGTGCGCGTAACGGATTCGGTACGACCAGTATCGGCGTAGGGCAGGCGAATGTCTCAGGTCATTCAATCATTTTGAATTTGGCAATATTAGATTATATTACCTGATGGGTGTCCGCCGTCCGGTCATCTCATTGGTAATAGGAATCAGTATTGAACTTCGCACATTGATTGAATAATAATAGGCTGTGAATCGCCACAGTTCATCCGAGACTAGGTACCTACACTGTGTACACAGTAGGTATTATTATTATGGTTTACTGAGTATGATTGTTTATCGATTCCCTCGATTTGATTTTTTTACGGTCCCAAAATAGCTCCAACATTTTGATTGCCCAGACACCCTGCCAGTCAAACTGCATTCCCTTCCCCTCCATCACGAGATGACCTCCGTCTGCCTGTCATTCGCGCGCGCGTGCAAGCGTCTGTTCCCTCTTACGCCATCCATCGAATGGATGGAATGAATGGCCATGCATTGGAGGGTGGTATGGTTCAGATGTCGGCAGTCCTATTGCCAATGAGAATCCGCATCGCACTTTTAGGGCCTATCTGGGCTTATCAGCCCGGTCGAACAAATCGGGGGCCAGTCATGTTATGCGAAAGAGACGCAGAAGTGGGGGCCCTTTTTTTTTTTCTACCTAGGCGGGGCCGGAGGGCCGGAGGGTTGGTTGGCGTTATCTTAGGACTAATAGTAGCTGCAGTAGTAGGCCGACAAGAAACAATGGGAAAAAGCCAGTACTCAGTAGTCAGTACACCGTACAGACATCCCAACCATTAATTCATTCAATGGATTGAGGGTCCCTGATAGGTGCTGGCTCAAGCGAAAAGGTGTGGTATGTAAGACTTTGGGGAGGGGCGTGTGGTGCACCGGCGCTGCAGTGAGGACCAATAGCCTCTGTCTCTGAATGGGAGGGATTGACCTGCCGGCTAAGCTAGTCGGCCCCGCTGAGCGTCCCGTCCGCCATTTGGGGGAAGGGAGTCTTTTCCCGGGTGTGACTGTGTGAGACTGAGTGGGAGTCTGAGAGTCGGAGTCTGAGAGTTGGAGAGTCTGGGACTGAAAGAGAGAGAGAAAAAAAAAAATGAAAATGAAAATAAAATAAAAATAAAACTTACTTCAGCAGCCATGATCCACTTTACTTACGGAGTACCCTAATTTTCGTATTTGCTTTTTCTTTTATTTCTCTTTTTTTTTTTTTTCTTACGTTGGTCAAGGTACCGGGCCATACCTCATCGTACAGTAAGATCAGCACGCAAGACCTTGACGGGACGGCCAGTCAATCAGAATCACTTTCCCCGTGTTGATGCGCTGCCAATCCGAATTTTGGTCGCCAGTCCTGGATTGGTACTGGTGGTCACAGACTTGGTCTGTGCCACAAGTCATATCGCCCTGTACTTTCCTTAACTTTACGCTCGAGGCTTGAGAGGGGACCTTCCCAAGCGGGGAAAGCAAAAAAATGAAGTCGATCAGAGACTGAGGGTCACATCACCAGTGGCAATTCCTGACCAGGCCCGGCGTACTGAGTACTACGGAGTCCCCTACCCTCGGAGATGGTAAAATTCGAGAAAAGACGCTGGAAGAAATTATTCAAACCAACGGCGAAACGCTCTGGATTAGGCCCACTTCGCCGTGGTGGCATGGTGCTACTACGGATACTACGACCTCATAGTACTTTAGGGCAGGTACTAGAGTGACATCCTGCATCCATATTGACGGGGATTACCGTACGGAATCCATTTCATTCATATGATCCTGGTCGCTTTTACCGAGACTACACCGTAATGGTGAAAGAATCATTAATGACTATATTAATGCCGAGACCTAAATTTATGAAACGGCTTTGCCTCTGATCCGGTAGCTTATCATCTGCCATGCCCATAGGACAGCGAAGGAAGTTATAGTTCATGACAGTATTGAACCTTAGTAAGGGTTCCAATGAGCAGAGGGCAGAGATCCATCCCCGTGCATAATACGCCTCTTCCTAATTCTTGCCTTGATTGCCCTGCCGTTCACATGCAGTTATGGGTATATTATTTCATAAAGTGGTTTCCGGGGAAGAGGAATGGTATCGACCAGCTCGTCGGGACAACCCAATTGAAGCCCCGAAAGTGGAAGCAGCATCAATTAAATTAGACTTTGAGGCATGGTGATTCGCCTTCAAATTTGGGATCCCCGAGCCACCGAAGCCCATAGTGCTATGTACCTTCCACCTTTGGAACAAAGAAAAACACAACCAGCGGTCGGTTGGTGGCCGCTCACATTTGAGATTCGACCTGTTCAACGGCGGCTGGATCGATCAGGTTTGTTGTCACCGTCGCTTTCCCACTTCTCGGCCTACTGCAGGTACCAATGCGGAGAAAGTGTATGTGTGCCAACATGTCGGAACAACATCCTGTCGCCCTTGCTTGGATCGGACTCTCTTCGGATGGACGGTTACACAGCTGTCAGAATTGAGTTTCTGGGAAATTGGATTTCCTTTTTCTTTCGAAGAGGCGAAGGTTCATTTTCTCTTCTGCCTACTTGGGAATCCACAGTCCACAATTCCACACTCTCATGGGGTGGGTTTGTCTCGCCCACATGTCGTTTTGATTTGATGTTTCCAATTTCGAGGTTTTGATTGGCACCCATCTGCAAGCCATTCAGTTTTACATTCCAATAGTTTGACATGCGACTCAGTCAATGTCGCTGCAACGGACCATCGCCCGCGATTGTTTGCTCGGCTGACTCATTGCATACGTCCACCCGGTTTTTCGTGCGCCCATATGTGAGCCCATATGTACCAAGCAAATAAAATCCTAAAATCAACCAGATGATCAGCATAATCCGAAACAATCAGCAGCACATCATGAACTGCAGCGGATATCGATAACGCTGACAGGCAACGCCACTCCCAGTCAAGCAAGGGACTCCCACCGGAGCTGTCAGATCACAGACCACCCAGCCAACAAAGCAAACCGGACAAACGCCGCGCAATACCTTGGCTATCTGCAAGAACAAACACGCTGTGTATCACGCAAACCGCAGGCTTGGAGCGACCTTCGCCATAGGGTCCTCCTACTTCTCGGTCATGACTCGTCCGGCCAACTTTCCGTCTTACCAGAGTCCACTATTTTGTCTCTACGCCCTACTTACGGGAGTGCAGTGTACTCTCGTCCACAATCCAGGCCCAGCGATTGAGATTGCACCCTAGACCTTTGCCTACATTTGGTATTAATTGATCATTTATAAAGTTCGGGGACTGGGGCGCATTTCAGAGCATGATTGGGCACGCTAAAGATAGAACCGTCGCTACTGCGTATTGAAACCAACCCCACCTTTCCCTTTGTGAACGAAGCTTCCGGCTGCTTTCCCCCCTCCTTGGACAGACTGATAAGGGAATGTGCAATCAATGGGCGGATGTACGCGCCTTCAGAGGTAAGAC